GGACACTGCAACCATTGCAACCACTCCAAAAATCACAACTCCAACCACCTTTCGGTCCATCAGTGGATTCGCTTTGCCATCCATGCATCACAACAACTCACCTGTCTTATAGTGTCCTATCCTTGAAACTTCCGCCACCGCCTTGTGCGGTACTACCGGTATACAATTATTCACCAATATGGGGATGTGGATTTCCATTAATGTGGTACAGCCAACAATAAACCATCCCCAAAATCACCATACATGGGTCGGATTCCAACAATCCCCAAATAATAGGTTATTATGAAGTTTCCCACACGAATATCAACCCAGGATTAATAAATCCCTAGTTTATTACTTGGGTGGATAGCATTTTTGAAGGGAAACATCACTATTTTTGGGACGCCCCATGTTAATCAACTTCTTGTTTTTTTAATCCTGGGTTGGCACTATTGATGCAATCAAAAACGTTTGATTAATCTAGGCAACAAAATGGGGCCCAAATGGGGATATGAATGTTTGTATTGTATGACTATATATATATATATTATTTTATTTATATAGCACAATGGGGATGCATAGCAAGAACGGGGGATGTGGATTGTATAAAAGGCCTTGTCCGTCCTAATAGCCATGAATGATGCGTTAATCTTACCTCATAATAAAACAATTAATGACGGGGATGTCATCATCAACAGATTCAATATACAGTAGAAGGGGAGTATCATACTAGGATAGGTGTTGATATATTAATAATATATGTTTTAAAAACTGGATATGCAATCATTGGATAAATCATCTACTTGGTAAAACTAAGTTTTCCAAAATGGTGGATCCAACCAAGATAAATGTTGATATAATATACTGGGCAAATAATGGGGATGTAACCCGCAACAATCATGGGAGATGTGGATTATATCAGGCGTTCTTTGGGATTGTGCAGGGACTATACAAGAGGTTTCTGTTGGAGTTAAATAAATGGAGTTAAAATGTGTTTCTTGAGCAGTCAAGTTAGCAATAAGTATCCATAAGCCCTTTATACCCCCTGCTAACCCATAGGCTACAGGGGTACAATATAGACATTACACACTTACACGCTTATACACCTGGGGATGCACCCCAGAGAAGCCCAAACAACACCCTTTGGTAGTCGAACATAGCCATGGACGATGGCCATGTTGCATAGGTCATGATGACACGGAAAATGGGACTTCAACCAAAATTAGGATTGAACTGAGCTAAGCAATGCTAAGCAGCAAATATTTGGATTCAGCGATTTACCCAATAATCTATCATCGTCTATCATAGCTCCGGACATATCGAAGTTGGACGGGATGATCAATTGTTGGTATGTCCTGGGAGGATTTCTCATGGAAAAATCTCCGCAAAGGATCTTCCATCCACATTTGTCAGTGATTTATTTTTAGGGACAGCAATCGTGTTGGGGTCCCCAATTTTGGAAAAATCGCGCAAAGTAATGGGAAATTCAGACAATGAAATTCAGTAATTTATATTTCAAAACCCACTAAATACAACTATTTAGTATCATGGGATATCTCACAAGTCATGAGATGTTTTCTGCTCGATTCATGAATCACTGGCCTCTAGTTATATATAGCAATTTCAAGTATCAATCATAATGGGGGTATGATTGATAATCGATGAATGATGATTAGCATGTGTTCTAAGCAAAAAACATGTTTTTAAGGCGACAAAAAGTTGGACATAGTTTCACAGATGGTTTGTTGATGGTTGATTGGTTGCCCTTTGGTAATCAAACAACGGTATATAATGGAATGTCTCTATTTATAGATGATTTTCCAATTTATGTCCCTATTAAAACCTCCATTTCAAGGTGATTTCCCCATATTTTCCCATGATTTATGATTTTCCCAATCAAACCTTCATTTAGTTCGAGGATTTCCCAGCCTGCCGCGATGGAAGATCGCTACCAGGCAAGGTGGAGGAAACTGATCCAGCTGGCTGCGGCGGGCCGTTTTTGTCCCAAAGTGGTGGCGAAGGTGCGCGCAGAAAGGGTATTCTACTAAGACGTGAACAGAAATGTTCATGGGTAAGGGTAACTATCCCAAAATGGCCATGATGCACAATAATCTCCAATGTATTGTAAATGTGCCAGTCTTTACTCCTAAAAGGGACCAAATGCAGGTAGATATTTCTGCACCAAGGAGCAACTCTGGGCTTAGCTATTGGGCGATTCCTTCAAAGGATGGGGAAATTACTACAATTTACCAACAAAAAAAGCGGATTCAGCAACATTTAAGTGGAATACATAAATCAATGTGTATTGGGCGCAGCGGCTTGGGAAGCCTGGATCGCTAGAAACCACATGCATAAGATGATTGGCCGTGGACAAGTGATGATTCATTGGTAGAACTAGCAATGACCCATGCCGGATCTTCGAGTTCGAACATTGGAGAATTTCATGAATCCTCAAGAGCTGCAGCATATTTCGGCACCTGAACAGGTAGCAATGTCTATTGCAATGGTTGTGTTGAGGCCAGCTATGGTTGTAAGATTTGCAAAGTTCCAGGTGGGCCAATCCACACCAAAAATGTCAGACATTGCCCGTTTCCAGTATTTGAAAATAGAATGTCCATGAGTTTTCCTAAGTGGGATATACCCAAAGGGTCCCTCACAAAAACATGTCAAAACCCTTTATATGTATGATATATATATATATATATATATGGGGGAATGAACATCAATTTTATCAGCTATTTTGGTGCTCAGGGGCTGATAGCTGAAGGCCATGGGTTGGGTCATGTTGGGTCCTAAAATCGGCAGCATGAGGCCTCGAAGCAGCTGAGTTTGGAAGCCTCTGTGGAAGGTGGTCGGAAGCAGCTTCTGGAGGTGGGGCCTTAGTACACTTTACCTTCTGGTAAAGTATCCAGGCTATGAAAAAATGCCAATTCATAGTGGATTTACCTATTTAAAATGATCATTTTCCATGGTCATGTTAGTTCACTAGAGGGTATCATAATTCAGAAAGAGAAGGTTGCGAACATTTCAATTCTTGGTTCGTGGATGTGTGGATGATCGCACTTTGCCCAGATGCTAGTACATGTTCAATCTCCAAAACATGTTTTGCCGAGCCCAATTCACCTCGGAGGAACTAAGGGTTACAAAGATCGTGTTCGAATAGGTTGTGAATTACATCAGGGATCACCCTGCGAGCTACAAGACTAGGATACAAGGTCCTGGTTCCTTCCTGTGCTTTTTATTTACACCGGTTGTCCAAGCAAAAGCAATGCAGAATAAACCCAACCATTATCCCCAAATGTATCCAATTGACTCAATTGACTCCATGTTTTTCTGATAAAACCCAAACCATTTCTGATGATTCTACCCGCCTTTGAGTCGTTGGGCTGCAGGACTTGATGTTCACCTTCCAGGACTTCCGCTTCCCGGAGCCGCCCCGGGACTGCACCCAGCGCGAGGCCACTCTCACAGGCGGGGACGCCGATGGCAGCGATTGATTTGGTAAACTAACAATCTATATCTATGGAAAAACACATTTTCATGGCTGAATCAACGAACTAAATGGCCATGTTTTATAATTAATTTAATAGCTATGTTAGGGGTACCTACCATTTTTTCAGGCCCATGTATATAAGGGAATACCCCCCAAAAACATCGCCTTATATGGTCCAGTCGTTCATTGACTTTGAGAAGCCATATCCCACCATATATGCGCAATCGGTAGAAGGTATATATATATATACATATGACATTATGACACATTTATACCGTTCAGAGTGCCAAAAGAAAATAGCCAAAAACAAGGCGAGCCCACCAAGAATAGGTACGAGTTGCTGCCCAGTTGTGAGTTATAGATACTATTCTAGAACCTAGATGCCCATATTCAGAAAATCTTCGCATACCATGTTTTCATCGTACTCCAGACCTGGGCTTAGATATATTACTTTCATAGGCATTTCAGCCCAATTTGGGTGCAAGAGTTGGGTCATGGAGAACCCAATGCCCCCATGAGTGTGAATTTTGCGTGGGGTGAAAACGAAAACGAAAAGACACTGGTGTTGGGCTGGCTTTGGGATTGGAACTTTTGGTGGTGGCCCTAAAGGACATATACCCTTTTTTGGTCTTTATACCAGCCACGCATACTCAGAAATCATCGCACCGCACAAAATCTTCGCACTCCACAGATGTCATCGCACTGCACAGCGGGTGAGTACACATACTCAGAAATCGTCGCACTCCACGAAATCATCGTATACAAGTTATAATGGAACGTATTTCATTTTTTCCGGAAATTAGCCAAAATTTCATTTTTTATTTTTGTTAACTAAAATGGCCTGGAATCACGTCTTTCTGGAATATGGGGAAGATGGAGTTCCCACCTGAGACATTAGCAGTTTGACATACTATCGCATTCCATGCCGTTTTTGCTCCTAGGATATTTTTTCTTTTTGGCACTCCAGCAGGGTCTGCGGGGCCAAGTGGGAAACTTTTCTGGTATGTGAAAAAAATTGAATGGTGTAGCAATGTAGGGCTATTGGGAAGGTCTGAGGGGTCCACACATCACATACTTAGTTTTTTTTGGCATACCAGACAATTATCGCGCTCCAGGGTGTCGTCGTACTCCACGGTTTGACAGTCTGCCTTTTGGGAAACAATGACTGTGTGCTTGCAAGTGGTTTTTTTGGTTTCAAAATGACACTAATCTTGGAATTTCCTAAAAAATATTTTTGGGGGCAGGAACAGGTGCAGTTGACAACGCACGTGCCAGAAGAAAAGGTGTGCTTGGCAAACATCATGAAACCCACATTTCACCTCAATGGAGTCTTTGCAATTTTCTCGAATTTCCAAGCCATTTTGGCATGAAGTATGATAGGCCATGGAATATGGGTAAGAAATTGCTAGAACTACAGATTTATATTGTGTATAGAATACTATATAGAGATATCTTCGAATTTCAAGCTTCCAATTCGAAATTCAGGGAGTGATTTTCCGTGGCCCCTGGCAGAGGTGCTGTGCAGCTCTGCACCCAGAGACTGCAGCAGTTGTTGCGACGCCGAAGTCATGTGACATGCGAGGACATGAAGAAGCCCACTGGGTGTGGCTGGTGTGGCATGGGTCAAAACCTTGAAAAAATAGAACTTAATACAATAACACATGTCATGTGATCAATTTAGTGGGCCATCGGTTCTCAATTAAGACATATGAACGGGCTGAGCACGCATGTTGAAGTATCCCATTCAAAGGTCGCCATTTTTGGGTGGCTTTCGGTATGCAACCTGAAGAGGCTGGCTTTGTTGACGCCTTCTGACATCTCTTGTTGTTGCACGTTGCACATGTTGTGGTCGGTTTGGGACAGCCCTACCATTTGTTAAAAGATAAAGGCCAGTGTAGCATTATCATTAGCATTGGTCATTGATTAATATTGGTTATACTATGTTATTTTCACATGTATTCACCCCCCTGATGACAAAATCCATTGGACAACGGATTCGACTGACCACCCTTCCCTGATGCCTAGGTCCTGGCTCTCAGGCACCAGCTTGCTGTTGCTTCAAGAGAATTTATCCCCAGAGTTTTTGTTGACGGCATCACTTTGAAGTGACGCAATGTTCCTTGACCCCTTCTGATTTCCCAATCGTTTGGGCTTGAAACATGTTGGCTCACAGTACTGCATCTCCATTTTGTTGCTCTGCATTTATAAGATTCTTACTGCTACAGTCTGAGACCATCAAAATTATTATTTTTTCATTTTTTCATTTTCATTTTCATTATCATTTTCATTATCATTTTTCATTTTATCTTCATTTTTTCATTTTTGTTCATCACCTTTTGCCATCAAACTTCATTTTTTTAATTTGCAACTTCATTTTTTCCATTTGCAACTTCATTTTTTCCATTTGCAACTTCATTTTTTTTCGTTTTCCTTTGTTTTTGATGGTTTTGGATTGTTTTTCATTGATTTTCATGGCTTTCCTGGATTTCAGGTGCCACGGGCAAGGACAATGAAAAAAAAATGATAAAAAAATGAAAATTTCCTCGAGTTTTTGAAGATTTCCTGGTTCGGAGTGAGAATCTGCAACTTTGAGCCCAAAATTTCATTTTTTTTCATTTGCAACTTCATTTTTTTTCATTTTCCTTTGTTTTTGATGGTTTTCCATTGTTTTTCATGGCTTTCTTGGATTTCAGGTGCCACGGGCAAGGAAAATGAAAAAAAAATGATAAAACAATGATAAAAAAAAATGAAAAAGTCCTCGAGTTTTTTAAGATTTCCTGGTTCGGAGTGAGAATCTGCAACTTTGAGTCCAAAATTTCATTTTTTTTCATTTGCAACTTCATTTGTTTTCATTTTCCTTTGTTTTTGATGGTTTTCCATTGTTTTTCATTGTTTTTCATGGCTTTCTTGGATTTCAGGTGCCACGGGCAAGGAAAATGAAAAAAAATGATAAAACAATGATAAAAAAATGATAAAAAAAAATGAAATCCTCGAGTTTTTGAAGATTTCCTGGTTCGGAGTGAGAATCTGCAACTTTGAGTCCAAAATTTCATTTTTTTTCATTTGCAACTTCATTTTTTTTCATTTTCCTTTGTTTTTGATTGTTTTCCATTGTTTTTCATTGTTTTTCATGGCTTTCCTGTATTTCAGGTGCCACGGGCAAGGAAAATGAAAAAAAATAAAAAAACCTGATGAAAAAATGAAAAAGTCCTCGAGTTTTTGAAGATTTCCTGGTTCGGAATGAGAATCTGCAACTTTGAGTCCAAATTTTCATTTTTTTCATTTGCAACTTCATTTTTTTTTCATTTTCCTTTGTTTTTGATGGTTTTCCATTGTTTTTCATTGTTTTTCATGGCTTTCCTGGATTTCAGGTGCCACGGGCAAGGAAAATGAAAAAAAATGATAAAAAATGATTAAAAAACGATAGTAAAATGATAAAAAGATGAAAATTTCCGCGCGTTTTTGAAGATTTCCTGGTTCGGAGTGAGAATCTGCAACTTTGAGTCCAAATTTTCATTTTTTTTCATTTGCAACTTCATTTTTTTTTCATTTTCCTTTGTTTTTGATTGTCTTCCATTGTTTTTCATGGTTTTCCTGGATTTCAGGTGCCACGGGCAAGGAAAATGAAAAAAAATGAAGTTTAAAATGAAAAAAAAATGAAGTCTGAAATGAAAAAAAATGATGTTTGAAATTTTCAAATGAAAAAAAAATAAGTTTGGAGAAACAAAAAACGAAAAAAACTGAAAAATAAATGAAAACAAAAAAATGTTTGAAAAACAAAATGAAAAAAATGAAGTTACAAATGAAAACCCAAATGAAAAATAAATGAAAAAAAGTATTTTTAAACATTTCCAATCTGTGGCTCGATGCGAATCATATAACTCTGCATTATTCTTGCGTTTCTTTTCACACCCTGATGTTTCAGGATTTTTCCCAGTTTAATGTCCATTTCCTTCTGCAACGTCCCAGAAATCACCATCTTCCCAAGCACGGGGGCCAGGACGAGCTGAAGCCTTGCGACGAGGACTGTCTCGCGCTGTGCTGCTTGCAGCGTTTCGCCTGCACCACCAGCTGCTGTTTGCAGCTATGCGGCTGTGATGCCAGGCCCCGGGGGGTTCCAACCTTCAATAGAACCAATGAAGGGATTATATATATATATGTACATACATTGATATATTTTGTATTATACACACGCTATATTTCACACACATTAAACAATAAAATACTGTAAAAAAGATAAATAGATAGCAAATAAATGCAGTAGATAAAAAAAATGCACATATTAGATTTATATACGTGCACCTTTGGCAGTCTCAATAAATCCCGCCATTAAAAAATATGATTTTCCAGTGTCAGATCTGTTGACCAGAGGGTGCTGATACCATGTCACAATCATAAACCATTTTCAAACTGTAGGGATCATGTCAGTAGGTCGGTGAGAAACCAACGGTTTGGCGTAAGGGAACTCATGCAAGAATGTCTTTGATTTGCATGCTGAAAAAGCATGCTTTTCCTCTAGGTTTGGGTGGATCAAGAGTAGTATTCAAAAGTATCAACCCTCCGAAATGGATGGGTTAAAGCACCACCCAAAAAAAGGATAAAACTGATAGAACCCTTTCAATTTAATTATCACTACTTGAGTAGGAATTGACTAACATATACTAAAATTTTGCTATTAATCTTAGTCTTAACCCAGGTGTTGCTCGCTTTGCGTGCAGGTGTTGCTGCCAGTGCAGCTGCGATTGGCTTCTTCGAGAGGAGGAGGTGGGCCTCATTTTGGGGGATGATGTTTACCACTGTATATCAGGGATGGTATCCATATGGAGGTCTCCTAAGTCATGGGGGGAATAGCTGGATGGTTTATAGTGGAAAATCTTACTAAAAGGGACCGTATGTCCATATTTAGCGGTTGCTTAGAATATGTTTTGAATATTCAAAGCTTATAGAAATGGGATGATGATCCCAACTGATTCGTTTTTTTGGGTTGAAACCACCAAACAGAAGAGGTGGTACCTCGAATAGTTGGCAAAATTGTTTAATGGTACCAGTCGTAGGATGTTTTTTGCGACCATGGAAATTGGAGGTGTTGAGTGTATGCTATGGATTAGCATCGCAACATGTGTCATCATATGTTTCCCCTAAAATATCCAAACAAATATCTTCCAGATACCTTTAGCGTGTCCCTCCAGCCCGCCCAACTACTTTGTGTCCCATGCTCCAAACTCTAGCCCCAGGGTAAAACAGGTAAATAGGTAAATTTCTACTTTCTTACTTTGTAGGGACTGAGATGCCTTGTTAAAAATGAGCTGTGATCCTGTGTATCGAAGGTTCGCCAGAATATCCGTTCCATATCAATCCATTGTTTGCGGGTCATACTTGTGACTAACAAAAACGAAACAACGTGGCAATGTAAAATATCGTATAAATGAAAGTTTTGTTCGCTGGGAAAATCATCGAACTCTTTCTGGGGGATTGTTCATTGCCACGATTGATTACCGGACGGTTAACGGTTATATCATCCATCCATTTGAGAGTTGTTTTGCTGAGGATACAAACCATAGTAACCTGTGTAATGGGAACCCCCATGCCATAAACCATCCCCAAGTCATCACCATTCTTATGAATCCGTTTTAACCTTCCCTAAATGGTAGTATATTTTTATTTGGGTTTCCCACATTTTTCCAGTTATATCGCAATGCTTTATTTAGCTATGATGTATATATATATATATATACATATATGATGCAGCCTCCCAGGTCCCCCCCCCTCCCCCCCAATGGGTATGGGTATACAGGAGCGATGTTCCCCGCCCCCCCCTGTGGGTGGGTGGGGGGGTTAGTAGTAGTAGTGGTAGTAGTAGTAGTAGTAGTAGCAGTAGCAGTAGCAGTAGCAGTAGTAGTAGTAGTAGTAGTAGCAGCAGCAGCAGTAGTAGTAGTAGTAGTTGTTAGTGAGTAGTGAGTAGTGAGTAGTGAGTAGTGAGTAGTGAGTAGTGAGTAGTAGTTAGTTGTAGTTAGTTGTAGTTAGTAGTAGTTAGTAGTAGTTAGTAGCAGTTAGTAGTAGTTAGTAGTAGTTAGTAGTAGTTAGTAGTAGTTAGTAGTGGTTAGTAGTATTTAGTAGTAGGAATGGGTATGGATATACAGGAGCTATGTTCCCCGCCCCCCCCTGTGGGTGGGTAGGGGGGTGGAGGGGGTTAGTAGTAGTTAGTAGTATGTAGTAGTGAGTGAGTAGTAGTTAGTAGTAGGAATGGGTATGGATATACGGGAGCTATGTTCCCCGCCCCCCCTGTGGGTGGGTAGGGGGTTGGGGGGGTTAGTAGTAGTTAGTAGTAGTAGTGAGTAATAGTGAATAGTAGTTAGTAGTAGGAATGGGTATGGATATACAGGAGCTATGTTCCCCAACCCCCCCTGTGGTGTGGTGGGGGTGTGGTACTGCGTATATATATATATATACATAAATAAATATATAAATAAATATATATATATATGTAAACATGTATGTGTATTTATATATATAAATACCAATATAAATAAATAAACAAATATATGTATGTATGTGCCGAGATGTATGTATGTGTACATATATATTTATATATGTGAATATGTGTATATTTGTGTATGTATATATATTTATATATGTACACATGTATATTTGAATACGAATATGAATATATATATATATATATATTTATATATATATTTATACATATTCATGTTTGTATCTATGACATGTAAAGAATATATAAATAAAATTATATATACATATATGTATAGGAAGTAGCTACATATCACACGTATATATGACTATAGGCAGCACGTAGGTACTTTGAGGGAGTATGTGTGCTACGTAGGTCGTCTAAAGGGTAGCATGTACCTAGTAAATGGGAGGCTGGTAGTCAGAATCGCTGCAAAAACCTAGGAAATACGAGGCTGGACTTCAGAAATGCTGCCAATAGCTTGCAAATAGAAGGGAAGGGGGGGTGCTACCTGGAGACCCATCCCATTCGGGGGGGGGGCCTCGTGGGCGGAAGACGGGATCATACATATACCCATTTACACATAATGATATATAAATATACCCATGTGTATCTAATTATATATACCCATTACTAACCATTATTAATCACCATTGTTCATTTTTTGGATGGATTTTTAAATATTATTAACTATTATTAAGATGTACTGTATTAACCATTATAAACCCTTATGAACCACCACTAACAGCCATTAGCATCTATTAACCATTACTCACCACTAATTAATCATTATTAAATGTCATTAACCACTATTAACCATGAAACACCAGGTATTATTATTTTTTCACCACTATTAACCACTATTATAACCACCAGGTATTATTAATATTATTCACCCCTATTAACAACCATTAACCTCTATTATTATTAACCGCTTTTAATAGTTGTTAATAGGGGTGAATAATATTAGTAATGCTTGGTTTTTCATGGTTAACCTCTATTATGATTAACCGCTATTAACCATGAAAAACGAGGTATTATTAATATTGTTCACCACTATTAACCACTATTAACCTCTATCATTATTAACCGCTATTAACCATGAAAAAAATGTATTATTAATATTGTTCACCCCTCTAAAACCACTATAAACCTCTATCATCATTAACCATTATCAACCATTATTCATTTACAGTACATGATTTTTCCATTGAATACATTTGATCTTCAGCAGGTGCGTCCCCTCTTCGCCTGGTGCGTGCAGCACGGTGAGCTGGCCGCGGCGCGCAGCCTGTGCCGGCCCGAGCTCTGCGGCACTGTGGGGGCGGAGATGGAAGCGCAGCTGGCTGAGTTGCTGGAGGCCATGGATGGCCATGGGGTCAAAGTAGCTATAGATATTACCAAGCTATCTATCCATTGTTTCACCAATAACTATAGTTACAGTAACTATAGAGAACTATAGTCAAAGTAGCTTTTTTTTGAAGGAAAATCCATCTATCTATCCAGTTGTTTGACCAAATCCGCTTAACATTATCCGTTATAAATCGCAATTATATCTGGGTAAATTATAAGGACCTCACTGCCACCTCACTGGAATAATGGTTAGGGGAATTATCCCAGAGGAGCCTTCTTTCAGATTAGTGAATTAATGTAGTATCCTGATTAGTGTGAAGCCTCCCCCCCCCAAACAATTCTTTGAGTCTCATTAATTTGGAAAGTTCAAGGGACCAGGGTCAGCATAAATGGAAATTAAAAAAATGATAGATTTCAATTGATTTCAATTTACCTTCAATTGATTTTCAATTGATTTCAATTGATTTCAATTTACTTTCACTTGATTTTTAATTGATTTCAATGTACTTTCAATTGATTTTCAATTGATTTCAATTTACTTTCAATTGATTTCAACTTACTTTCAATTGATTTCAATTTACGTTCAATTGATTTTCAATTGATGTCAATTTATTTTCAATTGATGTTTTTTAATTTATTTTCGATTGATTTTCAATTTATTTGCAATAGATTTTAATTTTATTTTCAGTTTACGTTCAATTGATCTCCAATTGATTTCAACTTACTTTCAATTGACATCCCATAGTAACCCCATAGAAATATCATAGAAATATCATGGAACTGCCATAGGAATTTCACAGAAATCCCATAAGAATTTTGTAGAATTCCTGCACGAAACGAATCCCATAGTAATCCCATAGGAAAATCATAGAAACATCATGGGGCTCCCATAGGAATGCCATAGGAAACCATAGGAATCCCCAAGAAATCCCATAGATACATCATAGAAATATCATAGAAATCTCATAGGAACCCAATGGGAATTCCATAAGAATACCATTGAATTCCCACAGCATCTCTTCAGAAATCCCATAGAAATCCTCTAGAAATATCAAAGAAACATGATGGAAAACCCATAGGAATCCAATGGAAATCCCATAGACATCTTTTTGAAACCCCATAGGCATCCCATAGAAATACCATTGACACCCCATAGAAATCCCATAGTAATCCTATAGAAATATCATAGAAATAGCATCGAATTCTCACAGGAATCCAATAGAAATCCCATACCACCATAGAAATTCCAAAGAAACTTCATGGACACCCTAGAGAATTCCAAAAGAAACCCTCTAGAAATATCATAGAAATCGTGTTTTAATCCCATAGTAATCTCATAGAAACCCAAGAGAAATATCATGTACATCCCAAAGAAATCCCATAGAGATTCCACAGAAGCACCATAGGAATCCAAAGGAAATCCCATAGACATCCTTTTGAAACCCCATAGGAATCCCACAGCACTACCATAGACACACCTTTAGAAACACCATATAATATCATAGAAACACCATAGAAATTACATAGAATTTCCATAGAAAGTTTGTGAAAACCCATAGAAACGCCATAGAAACCAAGGAGAGGATGCCAGGAGAATTGAACTAAGTAAGAGACAAAAGCTATAGCAAAGGAAAGGAAAAGGAAAGGAGAACATGATTTTCGAAAATTTTAACTTCCAAAAAAAATGGACACAATAGAGGACCACCACAGCAAACATACTAGTTACTATTGAGGATCAGGGTTGCTCATGGACTACCCCCTTGAAAAATTGGTTGGATACTGTTTTCTTATTGGGTTTTTATAAGGCATCATATATTTTGGGAAATTGGGCATTTCTGAGAATTCCAAAAGAATGAAGCTAAGAAAGTAAAAAAGAGAAAAGTATTAGCAAAGGAAAGGAAAAAAAAGGAGAGAATGATTTTGGATTTGTTTTACTTCGAAAAAAAAACTGAACAAAATAGAGTTACCACCACAACAAACATGTCATTTAGGATCAATATTGCTAATGACAAAATGAAAAAGTAAACAAAAAACTGAAAAAATGAACTATATATAATATAGTTTTGTTATTAAAAAATGAAAAGACACAGAAAGATTGAAATAAATTAAAAAACAAATTAGAAAATAATTTAAAACAATTTAAAAAAATCAAGCAAAATACAAAAACTGAAAAAACACACCAAAAATAAAATCTACAAAACCGAACCACCCAATCAATTTCCCTGGGTCAGAATTATTTCGGAAAAAAAAAACTACAATAGCGACCCACCACACTAATCAGGAACCAACATTATTGTAATTCAGATATATTTCTGACTACTTGTTAGGTACTATCCCAAAATCAATAAATAGTTATTATATATCTAATGTGGATTTAAACAAGACAATAATGGTTGATAGTGGTGGAATAATGCTTGAATAATGGTTAATATTTGATGATAGCGGTTGAATAGCGGTTCGCCATGGAAAGCTCCGCTGTTTGATGGACCCGACTTAGTGGTGGCGAAATTCTGCAGTTGGTACCCCTTAGGTGGCTATGAAACATTGTAAAGAATGGGATTGGTTTAGGGATCAACCATCTACCAGCTGGTGCAGGATTGTTTCCATCCGCAGTATGTTTCAATGAATTTGAGATGCGTGCTGAATGTAATTTTAAAATTATGTTCTTATTTCAGAGTATCTTTACTGCAGATTACACAGTGTATGATCATTGATGTCCCCGTTTTGGGGCTATATAGATGATGTTGCTTTTCTGTAGGTAATTTTAGGATTGTTGGAGGATCATATCATCGTGGATGATTTGGGTTTGGAGGATTGCGTTTTGAGCAACATAGCCGCACATAGCCATGATGGTTAACCAAACCCAGATGATACCTAAATGGCCAGTGGATAATGATGTATGATGTTGATGATAATGATGATGAAATTCAAACCATTGGAACTCATGGGAGAAAGGTTATCATGTTTGCTTCGTAAATCGGTATTTCGTTGGTCGGTAAAGGCCCCAATTCCCCAAGTTTGGTTGGTTGCTTGGAGGATCGGCCTACTGAGCAACTCAGTTACTGGTGACTATACACTTTCTCAGTTTTGAATTGTTATTATTACCTAATTATTACTACCAGTTACTGGACAATAACCCTGGTGACCACTGAATGCCCCACATTTATTTTTTTAACCAACCACCTTTGCCTTGGCCGCAAGGCCAGTGGTATCTCCTTGGGCCGTCGCCAGCGGCGGAAGGTGGGCGAAGCGAAGGCCGAGAAGACGCCGAAGGCGCGGTGGAGAAGTCATGTCATGTGGTGAAAACAATAAACCATCCCCAAAATCATCATAATTGGATGGCATAACCCATCAAAAATAGGTTGATGTGTTATTGTTTTACATGGCTATGTAATTACTGTCAACCCTGGATCAATAGACCATGGCTTATGAAATCTTATGAATATTAGGGCGATGCTCCCGATAGTGGTGATAATCTGATAATCAAGCAGCCTGGGGGATTATTAATCCAGGGTCGGCATTCATGAGATTTTTATGTGAATTTTATGATAATTAATGAAGAAATGAAGAAATTTATAATAAAATGGATAGAACTACCCAACAATATGGCCACAAGTAAGCAACCATGTATGGTGAAGTTGCCGGCAAAGCAGAAGCATTTTGCATCATTTTGGCATTTTGCGATGTTCTGGGGGGATATAATGCCCCCCCCCGTTCTTTGCAGGGTATCAAGATTGGCAAGGGATGATTGAATTCCCAGAGGGTCCATGATAATTTGCGTAGTTTGTTGCGGCTTGCCACAATTTTGAAACTTATAGTCATGAAATCAAGTCATTGCTAGTGTCTGACAAAGTGAATCTGGGAAATCCCAAGGATGCTTTATATCAGCTTGATGACCTGATGCATAGTTTTTTTTTCAGTTGGCCTGGTGACATGGCGAGTTGGAATTCAAAAACAGGAATCGATGTTGACCTATTCTTATTGCTACTAAAGTGTTCTGGAACAAAAAAACAAAACTGGACCTCCAAATCAACGTTTAAAAAAAAAGTCTTAGACTCTTAGATTTTCACGATGTCAAAACAATTCTTAGGTCCGGTCGTAGGACCTTACAGGCTGAGGCCCCCTAAATATCTAAGTTGACGCACATAATCTGGTCAACTAGTTAGGTGTAACAATGGAAAATTTAATTCTATACATATCAGAATGTGTTTTTTTTTACATAGACATAACTGGAGGATTTTTTTTCGAATGATAGAATGGTGCTTTAAAAACCAACAACCGACGGTAGCCCTTGGCGCCAAGGTAGAGATGGGCTGTTTGGAGCCGCTGCAGCTGCTGCCGGAGGTGCAGGTCATCCAGGTCACGCATGGGCCTTTGGAGGCCAGGGCGGCCGGAACGAAAACAGGGGATGGGCATATCATAGGGACTGTTTTACATTGTTGACAGTGTTTTATATCAGTATATATCGGCATATGTGTATATATATATATATACACATTATTTACATTATGTTTCTATGGGATTTCATATGTCATATGTTTTACTATTTGACAAGTGTTTGTTTGATATTAGTTGGTGTGAGCTAATGGGATTATGATTTGATGGTGTATGGGTTAGCTATGATGTGGAAAATGTGGATTGAACTGATTGAACTATGACATGATTGTCTTGTAAGTTTCGCAACTGATGAGTTACTGATGATTTTCATGACTGTTCATGATATTTAAGGCATAAGCTTAGAGCTTAAATTCTTGGGGTGAAGAATTTTGGAGCACCGACTTCTCTTTACAAACCACAACAGCAGCAAACATGTGGATAGAATCCAATCATGACTGTTGGAGGGTGCTTTTTTGTTTGACTTTCGATGCTGAAGACTGGGATGATGATCGGATTGAAACCACCAAACAGCGGAGAAAAATCAGCCTGGAAGTGAAAGTGGCTGGGCTGAGGACTTGCGGCTACTCATACGCATTCATGGGGAGATGCACGGGTAATTGCACAGACAGATATACGAAGTGGGAAGGTCGAAAATTGGACGGAGATCTATATAATATTATATAATTCTATATATAGGATATAGAATCGTATAGAATTACATGATATGGATTGTGTGTGGAACTCAACCGATTTTGACTTCGGCGGGAAAAGCGCAAGTGAGCGTGCATGATCGTATCATGCTTAACATGTGCATTCAAAATTTGTTGCGCAGGATATTTTTGTCCGGGCGAAGCTTGAGGGTGGAGTGGTGGCAGTGGATGCTGAATGGAAGCCCTTTCAAGCAGGCAGCGGAGGGTCGGGTCCCGAAGACAATTGTTCCTATTGGAAATAACTAACTTAACCATGTTTAAACTGTGTGGATAGAAAGACAGATAGATAGATAGACAAACAGACAGACAGATAGATAGCCCGACACTCCAACCGCCTTTTGATCCATCAGTGGGTTCGCTCTGCCACCCCTGATTCACAACAACCAAACTCTCCTATAGGTTTCCTATCTTTGAAACTTCCGCCACCGCCTTGTGCGGTACTACTGATGTATAAGATCCTTAGGCCCCCCCCCCTCGAAGATTATTACCTCAACCAGTGGGCTTTCATACCCTTATATGCAGTTATATTATATAATTGTTATATCCTTATCAAGGATGATAAGGAACCTGCAAATAAACAACCTTTTTAGGGAGGTCAGCAGCCCTAGCCTGCAGGCTTTTGTAATCACTTAGTTGCTCAGTCGCCGCAGTCCATTTCAGCCATTAGTCGCGTCAATATTTCTATGGCGCCTTTCCGCACTGACAGGGTTCCTACAAGATGCAATTTGCCTGTATTGCCTCGATCACAGGACGGGTATGGATATGGAAAGATGGCTGCAAACAAACTACTGTTCATATTTTTTAGAATTTTACCAAGCGGTGCTTCATTTATTTATAGCATCAAAAAACTCATAAGGATAACAGCCAGATAAAGAATCGATTCATCACGGATTTAAATACGCATAGCAACCCCCCTCTAACAGATAAAACAAACTTAAGATACAAGTAACATTTAGTTTTAGTGACCCGTTCTGCATTTTTGGGTTCACTAGAAAGTGGGACCCCCGGTCGGCAGTTGGTTGATTTGGGTCGATAGGACCCCTTGGCCCCTTCGTTATATCCCCAAGAAATGCCATAAACATCCTGAAGCATCATAGGTGAGGCACCTACACCGGTGGAGCTTTTGCAACTTGCTGTGCTCCTTGGATGAGGATAGGACCAACGGTTTTCCGATTTTTGCCGGTGGAAGTGGGTGATTAAACCTGGAGTTAACCACCAACAAATGGTGATTCAAACCGTGTTTTGCTGGTGATGTTGATGAAACTGATGAAAATTGAGGTCGTCACGAACCAACTGGGAATTTCACCAGAACAAACTTCAATCAATATGACCCACAACAACTTGTTGACACAGTTTGGCAATGACAACCAGTATGCGGCATATCATACAGTGTATTATGATCTATTTTGATAATAATTATCAGACTATGGCTATCATCAACATCATCAACCTCATCACAACCCTCCTCATCATCAGAACAATAGCAATGATAGTAACGAAAACAACAATAACTACCATTAAGAATATCACTACCATCACCATCATCATCACCATCATCATCATCACCATCATCATCATCATCTTCATCATCATCACCATCATCATCATCGTCATCATCACCATCATCACCGTCATCGTCATCATCATCATCATCATCATCATTGTCATCGCCACCGTCATGATCATCGTCATCATCATCATCATCATAATCATTGTCATCATCATCATCATGATCGTCATCAACCTTGTCATCATCATCATCATGATTGTCGTCATTATCATCGTGATCGTCATCATCATCATTATCGTCATCATCATCGTTTTGTTTTCTTCATCATGATCGTCATCATGATCGTCATTATCATCGTCATCATCATGGTCATCGTCATCGTCATTATCATCGTCATCATCATTGTCATCATCATCGTCATCATCATCGTCATCATCACCGTCATTGCCATCGTTATCGTCATCATCATCGTCATCGTCATCATTATCGTCATCATTTCGTCATCACCATCGTCATCATCATCATCATTGCCATCGTCATCGTCATCATCATCGTCATCGTCATCATCATCGTCATCATCATCATCCTCATCGGCATTGGCATCGTCATCATCATCGGCATCATCGTTGTCAACATCATCGTCATAAGCATTGTCATCGCCATCGTCATGATCATCGTCATCATCATCATCGTCATCATGCTCATCATCATCATCGTCATCATCATCGTCATCATCATCGTGATCGTCATCGTCATCATCATCGTCAGCATCATTTTCATCGTTTTCTTTATCATCATTGTCTTCAGCATCGTCATCATCATCTTCATCATCGTCATCATCATCATCATCATCATAGTCATCGTCATCGTCATTATCATCGTCATCATCATTGTCATCATCATCGACGTCGTCACCGTCATTATCATCATCATTATCATCGTCATCATCATCGTCATTATCATCCCCGTCGTCATCGTCATGGCAATTGTCATCGTCATCACCTTCACCATCGTCATCATTCTCGTCATCGTCTTCGCCAATGTCATTACTGGTATTATCGTCATCGCCATCATCGTCATCATCGCCATCATCACCATAGTCATTATCATCGTCTTTGTCATGGTCATTAACATCATCATCATTGTCATTGTCATCATCATCATCATCAGCATCATCATCATCATCATCATTGTCGTCGTCATTTTCCTCATGCTCACCCTCATCCCACAAGATAAGCCCAACATCCAGCCATTTTTGTTGGTTATACATGTCTTTACACTCAAGATATCACCGTTTTGGTTCTCCCAATACGTTTCGCAACAAGAGTAGTTGGAATACCGGTGCGTCGTCAAACATCTTTTCAACAGCAACCCCAACAATAATCAACATAATATGCGTAATAGTAGCATTTATTAACAAGTATTGCAAATATATTTGCTGTATTGATTTAATTTGTTGTTGGCAACTATCTCTCTGTCTCTGTATATATATATACATGTGTGTGTATGCAAATGAGGATAACTATACATCATAAGAAATATAATAACTGTAATCTCGAGGCCCTCCTGCTGCTGGTTATTGGATCTCCGACAGCTGCCTGCCATGCAGATCTCCCAGCTGCTGCGGCGCTTGTGCACCGTGGCTCTGAGATGGCGAGGTACCCGGGAGCCATGGCCCATTTAGATTCAGATCGATTTAGTTCGATGATTTACCGTTAAACATGGTGATTTTCCAGCTAAATTACAAGAGGGTATGGGCCGGTATGGGGATTTTACATGATTTTATACCATCATGATGGGCTTTGATGGAGATTTAGTGGAATATGTGGCATCGATGGATTTAAATGGATTTAACATAAGGACGTTTATTTTATTGTTTTTTTTTCGTTTTGTTTTTTTTTGGATTCTGTCTTGAGAAGGAGAGGCCAGGAAGGAAGGAAGGAAGGAAGAGAGGAAGGGAGGAAGGAAGGGAGAGCAAGGCAGGAAGGAAGGAAGGAAGGAAGGGAGGGAGGGAGGGAGGAAGGAAGGAAGGAAGGAAGGAAGGAATGGAGCCTGGTCGCCTTTATATCTATGTCTATATCTATCTGTATCTATTTATATCTATCTATATCTATATCTACATCTACATCTGCGTCTACGTCTAAATCTATATCAATATCTATATCTAAATATATATATATAAAGGTTTGCATTATCATCGAGATGATTCTGATGTTCAACCCCCAAGCCAACCCTGAACCAAGCCAGAATATACAGTACGCCAACATTAAAGATATCTTAAACCAAGATGATAGCATCCAATGAAACTATTGTGCATCATTGTGCCTTAACCTACATTCCACATGTTTCCAGGGTGCATGTTGTGTAGCATATACACCTTGAGTATCACATTCAACCCAGCACCTTGCATGTGAAAATAGGTGTTTCGAATATGCATTGGGGGGGAGGCGCTGCCTCCCCCTCAATCCCCCCTCCCGTTTTTTTAAAATTAAATTTAAACGTGCCCACTTTTCAATACGCTAGTTTCATTTGTTATATACATATAATCATATAATATATAAATATATATATATACACATTTACTTGTATTGTATATATATATATGTATACATATATATATACATATATATATATTTACATATATATACATATATATATATATATATACATATATATTTACATATATATATATATATACATATATATATATACGTATATATATATATATGGTTGTTTGTATACACAGTTTTCATCCCAAAATGAACTATAGAGAATCATGTGCATGGATATGCATACAGATAATTATAGTTGTATGTACATGTTCTATCCCCAAATAACCCCTAATCCAACCCTAAACAAACCCTGAACAGACCCTAAACCAGCCCCAAAGAAATCTTAAACTAACCCTAAATAGACCCTAAACAAATCTAGACGAAACCATAAACCAATCCTAAATAAACCCTAAGCCAAACCCTACATATATATATAATTATATAAATAAAATACACTTGTAAATACACTGATCTACATATACATATAGTTGTGATTAGTCATGCATGCGTACCTCTATACATCCCTCTATACATCTACAATTTTTAGTTTGCATAGCGTGTATTTCCAAAAATCCATGAAAACATCGGGAAAAACAATGAACACCATGTAAAAAACAATGAACACTCTGGAACAATCAATGAAAACAAGTGAAAACTGAATGAAAAACACACATAAATTGAAGAAAAACATAGAAAATTTGAAGAATAACACCATTGAAGAATGGAAGAAAACCGGTGAAAAGCATAGAAAACACCCAAACAACGTTTAAAATTCTGGAAAATGAATGGAAACCAAGGAATACACCGGTTGCCGCAATGGAACAAGCAAACAACACGCACCGCCACGCAAATCCAAAACAAATCCCAAAACGCGGGGAAAAAAAAAACAAAATAATTCTCCATCCCTACATAACCATTTATCGTGGGCATGATTTGGGGGTAGTACTGCTGTTAGTCAAGGAGATGGTCAGGGGTATATTAACTTCCTGGACCTTTTGGTTCCGATGATGAGTCTGGATGGTCCTGGAGAGTGGGTGCGGATTTCTGACACTTCCTATCACCTTTGCTGTTGGGGATACCACCTAAGCCGATTTTTTTTTGAGATGTATATAATGGAGGTACAATGGGCATGAAATGGCATGAATGGACATATCATATGGGATACCATGATATAATTATATTATATATATTATACAGCATGCAAAGTGATTGTAAGTGTACATTTGTTTATTTATATTGTATATATAGTTAATATGTTTTTCGTTGTGTCAGAAAATGGGGAATTTACCCCCCCGGTTGTGGCTGTTTGATAGGGCAACATATAAACCGCGGTATAATATGATGATTTTGCCTTAAATTTAATGATGTTTTGAACTTCAATGATGAGAAGAACATCCTGGTGGTTGATGCCTGATGGATGTGGATGGTAAGAAACCGGCTAGGAATGAGCAGAATTAAGATATCAACATCAACTGACAACAGGCATGGATGGGATCGGATCCCTTCATGATGGTCGGTTGACAATAAAAAATGCGGTTATATTTTAGTATGTGTATACAATATATTTCTATTATATATATATATATAACTCTTTTATATATATTTGAGAATGCAAATGGATTGTTAACTAAGCTTTGTCACCCAACAGCAGCGTTTCAGGGTTCCCGGTTTCCTGGTTTTTGGCTCTGCAAGCAAATGACGCATCACTCCCAGACCCTGAGATTGAAACCCAACAGGCATTCACTGCGAGAATTGCCCTGAATCGCCCTGAGCCAACCTTGGGGTTGCGGATGACAGAGGGTTTCCGGTCCGGCTCATTTCGGGACGGGGTGATCCCAAATCTTTCAATAGCTAAATATTTAGCTGTTACATTATTTACCAGTTTTGCTGGTTGTACATGGCCATTTGCGGCCCCATCCTTGCTGAGGGATGCCATGTTCAACCCCCATTTTTGGGACGCAACCTCCTGGAGGTCCAATGGAAAATAGATTCCTCCAGGCATTTTGGCCTTTCCACATCGTGCATTCTGAAAAGCATCCGCACGCAGATGTTGGGAGACAAAACCGATAAAGAGAGAGAGAGAGAGCCAGAGACAGAAGATAAAAATGTGTTTTTATCCCTTCATTTGATGGTTAAATCATGTTAAATCATGTCAAATCAATTCAATCCCCATGTGTTGATGGTAAAATGTCCCATATCCTCCCTTGGCCGAGGCGATGAATGTATCTTATTGGGCTTCGGGCTTTGCGGTGATTTGGCGCGGCTCCGTGACCTGTGTGGACACGTGGAGCCCAAAACGTGCTACTCGACCAAACAAGGGATGTAGGGGCACTTAAATGGGTTTCAAACGATTTCAACAAATTCTAATCAACAAAAATAGTATTATGGACTAGTCGACCGAAAAGAATCTTGGAGAGGGCCGTGGAGAGAGAACAAGAGAAGGAGAGATGAAGAATTATGGATTTGGATACTTAAACCGTAAACCGGCTCGTGAATCATTTGTGAATGGGCTCCTGTTTGCCATCTTGATGGGGGGAACATTGGTGATACCCCACTAAAGATTGACAGGGCCCAGTCTGGCAGCCCAGTTGGTCAATTTGATCGAGGAATATCCTATCCAGTCATATCCCACTATCATTGGCTGTACCATCCCCCTGAACTCACATTGACCCTGAATCGATTAGCGAAGGAACTGCCATGGAAGATCCTCCAAGGTATCGATCTGCAAGAAGACCTGCGGAGCGGCGGAGGCGTGGACGCCAATCAAGACGGCCTTTTTCTTCCAGAAAGGGAAGCCACCAGGGCCCACAAATCACATACTTGCAATTTTGCTGATGTTTAGTTATTTTCTTTTTTTATTCTTGCTGTTATCAATGACTTCTATTGGAAGGATATGCATATATGTATACATTTCATCAAATACACGTATCTATTCCATTTCCCCTGAAGGATTCATACAAGCATGTGTTTCAGATTGTTTCAGTGACGCTACTCCAGGGGGTGGGTCGAGCAAAAAAAAATAAATATATATATAACGCTACTCCAGGGGGGGGTCGAGCATTTTTTTTTTGCTCGACCCCCACCCCCCTACTCCCTGTGAGAAGAAAATGCGCAGGATGTGGCCAATGGGGACTAGATCGATGCCAATGCCAAGTTAAAACAAATGGAACACCTGGGGACAAGTACAGGGGACACCTGGGGGAGAAGTAAAGGGGACACCTGGGGGAGAAGTAGGGATACACAAGGGTGACAAATAGGGACAAACAAAGTGGGAAACATGAGATAGAGACATTCAAAGAGGACAGAGTAGAGACAGACATAGAAGATGACAAACTAGGGACAGACATGGAAGATAACTAGAGGCACACAAGGGGGGTACAATATGGAGACACAGGAGAAGGGGAGGAAACAAAGTAGGAACATGCAAGGGGGTGAGGGGCAAAGTACTGGTAGGGACAGATTAGGAACATGCAAGGGCACATAAGTGTTTCAGTGCTTCAAGAAGTTATGGTCCTAGGTATGGTATACAATATGTCTATATACCATATAAATAGCAGTCTTCAAGTAGATATTGATGTCTCAAGAGCTCCTTGTGATGTAGGTTGATGTTGCATATGCTATAGCCATATGCTGCATCAGCACACCCAAGGTGCATATGTGTTTAGAATGCCACTGTAGCCATATCAAGTGTGTATATATATATATATATTGATGAACTTGCATGTTCCTTGGTCTTACTACTGTATGCATCTATGATATGAATGGTGCATATAAGTAGTGCATGCCAATACGTACACACATTTTCCACATGTACTTTGCATATGCAATGCAATTCTTCTAGGACTGACTGCAATAAAGACTCTTTGGTTGCAACTGACTTTGATCATAAGAGTTGGCACATGGCAAGGGCAACTCCAACTTACCCGTTCTCCAAACATATAGGTTTTTTCCTGCATATTTCACAGTAATTTGCTATGCCACTGCACATCTATGCAGATACCCTGTTACCATAATTGTTTGGCTGTGCTTTTATGACAGGATGAGTAACATATGACAGGATGAGTGACACCCAAAAAGAATTAAGACTGTTTTTAAAACTGGACAGAAAACAGCTATGACACAACACATTGGACTAGGAAGTAGCATCTCCCAGAATGCATTCGTATGGAAAGGGGTCCCTTCTCCATCCTTTTGATCAATACTCATTCCTGTTCTTAGCTCGTTGATCTATATACTGTATGAAAAGTTTCAGGTGTTGTTTGTGCTTCAGTGGGTGAATGGTTTCAAGCAGTATGCAAGCACATTGCCACAAGTGTGTAGTAGATATACAGTAGAAATGGCAGCTTCAAACATGCACTGATATCTAGAGGGTTGCTTGTGATAAAAGCAATATTTTTTTGCAGATACCATAGCCATTTGCTGTGTCAACACATCCAAGCTGCATATGCACTTAGAATGCAACTATTTTATATGTACATTTTCTTATATAGTACATACAGTTATGCAATGGGTTGCATGTATGTCACCTATGCCCTTACAGGCACAAGATTTTGTACATGTTTTTTCATGCATATAAAATGGTATTCTTCCAGGCTTTAATGCAGTAACAGCTCTTTGCTTAAATATTGGTTGATCACAAGAGTTGGAAAATTCCAAGAGCACTTCCATTTCCCCCTTGCTTCAGAAAATGCGTTTCCTGCATATTCCATGGTAATTTGCTGTGTCACTGCAAATATAACGGTATACATTTTAGAATCATAAATGTACTCATGATTGTGGGTAAAACTTAAATTATGCCAGTATAAGTTTATCATGGTATCCAAAAGGGCACACAACCAAGTAAAAGAAACACCTATGCAACCTTACCAAACAATTGTATCGATAGAATGGCAGCCTTGTTTTGTGCATCGATGCAGCAAGTTATCACGAAGTATGCCAAAAAAATATTGCAATTACTTGAGCAAGGACAGTAGATTGGAATTTGCACTTTCCTTTGCTAAGAGAGTTCCACTTGAACTGTCGTGTCAACCAAAAGGCGACCTGGCAGTCCAATAGCAAAAACCACCAATGCAAATACCAAGTGCTATGTACATTATATATATATATATACATACCTGTCTTTGCAATAGCTGTATACCTAGGTAGTATATACCGATATTTTAATATACATATATATATACATGAAGCACCAACTGATATCATGAATCTAGCTGTATACCTAGGTAGTACCAACTGACAAATCCTATGACCTATGAACTTAATAAATATCACACTAAAGGTATGCAGTAAATGACAAAAAACACAAAACATATGAAAAAACAGAGAAAACACTGAAAAACACGAGCCCTCACAACGTCCCACTCTCTTTTCTTCGGACACGTGTTGAGAAAACGTTTGATTTTTAAGGCTACCCGATCAGACATATGTTTTTTTGGTGCTATTTCAGGTATTTTCATCTTTTTCCCGAGGATTTTTCAGATGTGGATTTGGACTTGGATACTGGCCAATGCCTTTTAGGGTTGAAAGCGGCGAGAATGGCATGAATGGAAAGAAATGAGTCTTGGTGTCTACAATTTGTAAGAAAAGCAGGACCGGATGATGAACTTGTGATTTTTGTTTGAAGCCATGCAAGAGGATATATGTGATGTCTTGCGGCCGTAATGCTGATTTAGCCACTCCGTGTTTATGCTGGGATATCTCACCAGTGGTTTGTACAAAAGTCATCAGGTACTCTCCAGTAATCAAAGGTGGCAATGAGAAACCCCTTATAAATATAATTAAATATTTACAAATGGAGGTTTTATTTATGGGAAAACATCAATTACACATCAATCTATGGTGGATGTTCCATTGCTATGTCTGATTGGAGGGTAAGCATCATGCTGTCTTAGGACTCCCCGGGCTCCCCTGCACGTTGAAGTATCTCATGGAGGTTATCCTAGGCTTCACCCGGAATGATGGAGTGGATGTTGGAAAATAAAGATCTCCATTGGCAATAAGAGAAAGCCATCCTGGAATGGTGGATTTCCTTTCTTTCAGCTTGAAGCGCATGGAAGCTATCATGTCATTGTTGTATGTTGCGCAAATCGCTGGCTCCAGACACACTCCTGGGGTCAACTGCACCCCCTCACAATTTCTCCATGGCAGTGGTTAATGATAACACTCTGCACGGCAATCACCATGAGGTGGAAGGGAACCATTCTCATCATCACACCAAAGAAGTTGCAGATGGTGGCCCTTGGTTTCAGTATGTTTCGTCAATAAGTGATACTACAGTATGTGATACTATATATTTATATATGTGTGTATATAATACATATATATATATAAATTGGGGCCCTTGAGGTTTCCATGATTTCAGGGGCAAGGCAACAGGACACTTGCACCAACATCCAGTCATTGTCATGCGACAGAGCGTGAACAGCATCAGTTTGCGGCGCTCCAGAGGCCGGGTTTTGAAACATTTGATAATCCCCCGATGTTCTACTTTCTCACCTCACCCCCCAAAAAAATATTCACCTCAGTGACACATGAGTTTGTCTGAAATTAGGTTACCCCGAAATCAAGCGGTTTAAAATCATGTTTCCCATTAAAATATATTAAAATTGCATTTGTTCAAGACGTTGGAGCTATATATATTTCCATTGTACACCCACACCCAATTCTTCATGATAAGTCTGTAATGTTCAATATTTTCACAGCCTCCATGGCCCAGGTTTGACGTTGGACCTTCGCTTCAGTGAAGCCGCCACGGAGGCCGCGTACTGCCGCCACCGCGCCGCGGACCCGGCGAACGCGTGGCCCATGCTGCTGGTGCTGCTGCAGGGCGTCTCACAGGTCACCGCAGTGGTCGCCTGGACAATGTGGGGAAGGTGTTTTAGGGATTTCGGTGGATTTCTGCAGGGTTGAAATATTACTGCAATCCAATAAATAGATATATATATATAATCTATATATAGATTGTCAAGTGCAACGCCGTGCACATGGGCATGTGGGGTCACACATGGACTTCAACCTTGGCGTATGCCCCAAAGGGGTGGGACTAATGCGCGCTTGTCGCACCGAGAGTCAAAAGGAGCTGCGCCTCCAATCCCGAAAGGGTTCCCCGAAACTGTTGCCCCCAAACTTCGTGTGTTGGCTGGGAATACTTGTTGTATATAATATAATTTATATATATATATATCATAGATATAATAGACATTATAATTTATAAATGTAATTTATCACATTTCTATATATAATACTATATATATATAATGTTTGCAAATTATATATATATATATGAATATGTTCTTTATACTTATAATTTTACATTATGTAATATAATGTAATAAGATGAGATTAAATATTCTTACAATATCTTAAAATATAAGACAAAATTTTATTAAATAACATTATTTAATATAGTACAATATACTACAAAATAGTTTCATGTATATATATATATATATTATATATATTATATATATATTATATATATATTATATATATTATATATATAGCACAATGTAAAATAATATATAGTTTTTTATGTATATTTAAATGGCATATTATATATATATGTGTTATTTTGTATCATGTAATGTACAGGTACTAGGAAACAAATATGGTGTTTCCAAATGATTTAAGTCAGAAACATGCGGAGTTGATCAGCACATGGGTATTGAATCAAAGAACATTGAAATTGTATGAACAAAATGGGAATCTGACTTTGAAAACTATAGTCATTCAACCAGGAAAATTATGAAAAAAAAGAATTTAGTTATTGGTCCTCTTGAAAACTAGCATTATCGGAGTCTGGAAGAGGAATTCCTAGACTTGAAAATTACAATTGTATCGGCTTTGCGCTTGTTTTCCGGGATGTAGAAGATGATCAGATTTGATTTGAAGACTGTGGAAACCATGAAGCAGGCAAGGGCACACAATAATTTGGTCGTTTTAAGTGGTTGAGCAAGCGCCCAGTTTTGGAGAGCAAAATTACAGGCCAATCACATCTTTGTTGGAAGGATTGAGAAGGTAAGACTCTTGCAATGTGGTGAAAACAAAGGAGAAACTGTGTCTGTCCCGAAAACTATTCCTTCCAAGATTCTTTCAATTTGCAGTGCAGTATATCTCATGATAATTCGTGGCCATACTCTGCCCACCGGTTTTCGACAAGGACTAGTGACTAGTGACTAGTGACTGGATGTTGACGCTACTCTCAACTCCCATGGGGGCCTATTTTCCTGGCAATTTGAGTCGCTTCAGGTTTACATTATTTTTGGCGACACTTTTCCACAGCGATCGTCTCATATCCTGTACTTCTCCCTGCAGTGCGTGGCAGCCCTTGCGTTGGTCCTACTCAGCGTGGTATGTTTCTTCAAGTTTGGAGGAGATCGACGGGAGATGGCTTGGGTAACCCAGGTAACCGCGGAGATAGCGACATGGGCATTGTTTGGGGCCGGGCACCATTTTCCACACAATTTCAAATAGATGCTACCGCAAAGCAATCCCAAGCATTTGGCAGTGTCTTCAAAACTGGGACCCCTCCCAAATTCTCCAAACTGAATGGGCTTGAGGGGTTTTCCGAGGTGCACGAGAAACTTGAACATGAGAAGATGTGCTAAGTGCTATGTCCATTCATTATTGTGCTGATGTTGTCTAGCCTTGTGAGTGCCGGCATGCACTATGCCTTAAGATGTCTTAAGTTTTAGGTCTTGAGACACTTCAATCTTCATCATGTCCTCAGAGGTGGCAAGTGAGATCCAAATATGAACAGATTTGATCCTCTTAAAATGCAACTAAATGTATTGTGATGATTTCTTGTATGCGCCCTACACCAATACCCTGAAAATAGCTCTTCATTCCACAGGCTAAACCCAGTATATACACGGGTGACATCTTCTTTGAAATCTCTGCTTCTTTTTCTTCCATAGACACCGCATTTTGTGTGGCTTCCCATTGCGGGATGGATAACCATAAACCATATACCCTCTGGAAATTCAACATAGCTATTTATATATATATATATACGTAAATATATATATATACGTATATATATATATATATATACATACGTATATATATATATGGCCACTTTATAGAGGATTTACCTATTTAAAAAATAGTTCAACAGCTATGTTAGACTACCAGAGGGTACCATGTTTTGATTCCACAGCAGGAATCTCCTGGAGTTCTGAGTCCCTATGTGCTGGCGTCCTGGCACTCAGTTCCTTGGATGGCAGCTTGCAATAGATACCCTTTGGTAAACTAACACAGCTGTGGACAATCAGCATGTCTAACATATAGATGAATCATCTATAAATAGGTATTTTCCAATATTTTTTCCATAGCTGCCATAGCTATGCTGGTTTACTGGAGGATATAAACTGGCCATGGATGTTTTGAGCCAAGGTAGGTTACTGGCCACAGGGGTGAATACCTTCATTTTCAGACCCAGAATTTGGCACCGCTGGAGGTGCTGTGGCGGGCGCCTTCCAACAGAGACTTACGCGCAGTTGGCTGGGCATTGCCACCACCACCATCTGCGATGCACCTATCGAGCTGGAAATCTCGGCTGCTGGACGCCACAGTTTTATGTTCAGTCGATGATTTACCTCTTAAACAATCTTGAACATGGTGATGGTCATTGATTTTCCACAGGTATGGAATTTTACTGGAGGGTGTATATATATACACACATACACAAAAATCCTGTGGTTATAAACCATAAACACGACACTTTCTTTTGTGATGTAGTTATCAAATACAGACATGCTGCAGTTGGCTAAATGTGGTATAGTTATGCAGAGTTTCAGTTTGTTGCTTTTAATTGAGGGGATTCCCACACATGTTTTTATTGGTAGTACATGTTCGACCCTGCCTGGCATGCCAATGACGATGGCGATGACGATGGTGATGACTATGGCGATGGCCATGGCGATGACTATGACGATGACGATGATGATGATGATGATGATGATGATGCTGATGATGATGATGACAATGACAATGATGATGATGATGATGATGCTGATGATGTTGATGATGCTGATGCTGCTGAAGATGGTGATGATGATGATGACGATGATGAGGATGACGATGACGATCAGGATGACGATGACGATGACGATCAGGATGACGATGACGATGAGGATGATGATGAGGAGGAGGAGGAGGATGACGCTGACGATGAGGATGACAAGGACGATGACGATGAGGATGAGGATGATGATGATTATTATTTTAATGGTGATGATGATGATGATGATGATGACGATGACGATGGCGATGACGATGACGATGACGATGATGAGGAGGATCATGATGATGATGAGGATGAGGATGGTTATGGTGATGATGATGATGATGATGATGATGATGATGATGATGATGATGATGATGATGATGGATGATGATGTTTATTATTATGAGGATGATGATGATGATGATGATGATGATGATGATGATGATGATGATTCCGATGATTCCGATAATTCCGAGGATGATGATGATGATGATGATGATTTTGATGATGATGATGATGATGATGATGATGATGATGATGATGATGATGCTGATGCTGATGATGATGATGATGATGCCAACTGACTAAGTGACTAACAGGAACATGTTTTGAATGGGGTGAAACATGATGAAACCAGTAGACATGTTGTTTTTGGCTATTCACTTTATTCAGTCCATGCCATTCCAAAAAGCTGTAGCTCGGAACATGTCGTACAGGTCAAATAGGGTGCTTTATGTCAAACCCAAACAGCGACGCGGGACATGTTATTTTGCGACCTGTGTCAGGTATGTCTTCTCTCCCTTTTTATGGCTACTTGTCTCGAAGACAAGGGGTGCCAAAAGTGCTATCCTCCATTGTGGACTCCATGCAGCCAAGGCATTTCCGGTTATTTATTAAGGTTGGTCACGATTTGGCCATTGAATCATTGATTCATAATATTTTTGCTGGCATTCCATCTCCTAAAAAAAGGATGGGACGGGATGATGAAGTTTCTACATTACTATTGAGGTGGGTCACTTGATCGGTGGGGCCTGTCTCCCATTGATAAAGTTTTTCCCAATCTCGTGGTATGGTGTCACTTGGACATCTTCTCAAAACAAAACAGAAGATGACCATCACGTAGTGGCCCTTTGCTACTCGATTTTGGTGCCCCTCTGGTGGTTTCAAACATTGTGATCCTCAACGTGTCCTCAACCCGATTTGGTGTGGTATGATCACCAGCCACAGTTGAATTCAGTCCCAACACGAGGCCATCTACTGTCATGTGCTTCCCATGAGCTGCTTGGCAGGGCTGAGTAAGGTTGAGACACACCAAAAAAACATCCTCGCAATACATTGTCACTGTTCCTGAACCAATTCTCTATGGAGATGAGTGGGGCAGAGGTGATGGATCAAAGATAGGACAGCTTTTTTTTGTCAGCAATTTTTTGCTTGGCAGTATCACAAGGCGCTGTTTTGTTTGATCAGTTTCAAAAGACCACAGTTGTTTATCCTTCTATGTGTATTTTAGTTCAGCGGGTATGCTACGATACGTTATGATATGCAATGATATCCTGTCATATCGCCCAACAATAAAACATCAGTACAGCACATCATGTTGTAGTTGCGCATTTCTTGGCCCCACATCCAAGGGTACTGTCTCTCGAATAATATCCACTGATGTCCCGACATGGACTCCGGAAATCTTCAGGGCAGCCCAAGTTGTGGGGTGACCAATTTTGTTGGATCCTTTCAAAGTGCCTCCGGGTTGAAGGTGTGCCACCATCCTGGTGGAGCTTATAGCTAGGCAGTGGATTTTCAACACAACCAGGACTGACCAAGGAGTCACCAAAGGGACACTTTAGGTATGACTGAACTGGAACCCCCAACCATCCCATAAAAACAACCTGGTAATCTAAATCCATCATCCATAAGAACAAGCTGAAGCTTCTGAGGATGTTGTTACTTGGCTCCACTGGTGGTCTTATCCTCCGTCTCTCTGGTGCTCCAACCTTTCGGCGCCAGCTGCGGGTCCTTAGGCCCTGGGCCCCTGGGGTTCAGAGAGAATGGCTCAAAATTTAAGGCCAAGGGAACTGTAGATTTTGATGTGTTGTTTTTATTTTGTTCTTCTTATCCAATCAAATTTAGGGGTTTTGATCTAGATTGTGGTGCTCCAAAAGGTCATTTTGTTTGAGAAAGGTGTGACCTTTCTAAACAACGTAAAATATCAATGAATAGCGTAGGCAGAAAACAAGCACGTAAACAATGACAGGTAGAAAATGATGAAAATGATGGAAAGATGTACTGTACCGAAGAGTACACTACACCACACCTTATCATGTCATACGGTTGCATTACATTACATCGCATTACATTGCATGACATGACATTAGGTTACGTTACGTTACATCACATTACACTACATTCCATTACATTGCAGTACAGTACATCCACAATCGCACATGTCCATTTATAAATTATAACTCATATACGTGCATGTGTACGTTCGCATTCAATTACAAGACATCAATATGTATCTATAGATGTATAGAAATATAAAGCATGCACTGTATTCACTGTATATATGCATTTTATATTAAATTATATGCATATATACAGTGCATGCTTTTTACTATAAATAAATATATATATATATATGTACACAGATAGATCCTTATAAATCCACCGAAAAAGACAGCGGTGGCAGTGAGAGTCCCCCTGCAGGCGCCCTCCAACCGCTGTGGGCGTTCCGGATGCTGCTGCCGCCGGCCTTGCTGTTGTCCTCCTACCGTGCCACGGCGGCCGCGGTGCAGGGGAGAACGCCGGGACCCACTGGGAAGATCTGGTTGAGATCTTTGGGAAATACGTAAGTTACTTAAGTTGAAGAGAGTGACGGGAGAGATATACATAGACACTAAATATCTAAATATCTAAATCGTTCTAAATCCGAACTCTGGGGTTCAGCATGGGCCCAGTTTTACCACCCAAAATTGGGATTGAAGTGAGCTTTAAAGATGAAAAAACAAGATGAAAAACGTTTATTTTGAGGAATCTACAAGGAAGAGGATTGACCCGCCAAAACATTGGATATCATGTGGATGATCAATCAAGTGGGGATGCTGGCTGGCTGGCTCTTATTTTTAAACACTTGTAGTGGTTCCCGAAGCATTTATGATTTTGTAACCCCCAAAAAGATAAAGTTTGGTATTTCCAGGATGATAAGTTCGATGATGTGTTTCCCGTAATTTCATTGTTTCCAACTTTTCAGTATTTTTACATCATGTTTGGATGACATGCACCCTAAACAAATTTGTCCGCTAGTGTTGAGACTGCCAAAGTCGATGCATCACTAGCGGCTAGCGATTTTTCATGTTCATCATGTCGACAAGCCGACAAGCTGATTTGCTTGTTTATGTTGGGTGCGTGTTTGTAAACTCATAAATTCGTTTCCAATTGATTGTAAATTGTAAGTACCCCCCGATGGCAATGGGAAATCCCTGATGGATGTTAACGATCGTTAATGGAACATCATTTATTCATGGTGGATGTTCAATTGCATTTTTTGATTGCCGGAGGGTAAATGTATTTGCAAGTCACTAGGGATATGAACGTTTAGTGGCCAGTTGCTGAATATCCATCAAGCATGCAATGTATGGATTGTTTTGCAGCGCCTAAACTTTGGCCATTCCTTTGGGAATGGTTAATCCACACTGATCGATTGTAAGACATGATCATCATGATCAATGAATCAGTGATCACTGATCCATATCAGCCAGCAGCTCATTTATATTGTTTTACCTATTGTACGTTTTTCTATTTCCGACTAGCTATCAGATATTATATTACAGTAATATATATATATATATGCAGACTATACATCTACAATACATAATATATGATATATGCGTAACTATGAAGAACGCGTCCATCCTACCCATCATGTATGAGCTCGGTCCCGAACGCATGGGCAGATCTGCCCCTGGCCCTTGGAGTTTCCACGTTGTTTGCTCCCGAAAAAATGGGTCTCCCAGCATTTTTCCCTGGATTTGTTTGATTCACCATGCCCCCCATGCCCCCCATGCCCCCCATGCCAAATGGATCCAAATGGTCAAATCCCATAATGTCTTCACGCGTTGAATCCCTATATTTGGCCCTTCCCAACTTTGATGTCTCAGGTGCGGCGCATCGCTGCGAGAAAATGGATCGCGAAAACTGGCTTTCAAGTCGCGAGCAAGAGCGGCACTTAAGGGAGAGCTTGGCACATAAGGACAGCTGCGACTGATTGAGTCTCGACCTTGGCCTCATACTGCCAGAAAAATTGTCAGGAAATGTGGAACATATACTGCAGGATCTGCAGGATATGTGTCCCAATACGTATTAGCGAATATGCCGCTATTTATTGCTCTTTTCTGGATTTTTGCCGATTGTTTTCATATATCGTGACCCAATGCTTCTTTCTGCAGCTATTTCTTTTCTCCGGCGTGCTTGTTTGCTTTCTCTATCTTTCTCTTTCTGCTTGTTTCTCTTTCTCTCCTTCCCCAGGCTCCAGTGAGCAGCCGCATCTGCCAGGCTGCTGCTATGTCATGATATTGTACAGTTGAGGGGTGTGTTAGTTAAGAAATTGTATTATAAACAATTTTTTGAGTAAGCAAGAGTGGGACTCTATTTCGGGGCGAAAGTAAATTACTTAGAGTCTAGATTTATCAAAAACAAAAAATAAAGCATGTTGCATTATCTTTGCAATATTTGCAGTCTGCACGGTAACCGCTGTGCGGAAAGGGTTTTCCCACTAAAACCATCTAAAACCTCCATCATCAAGAGATTTTCCTTCTTGTTGGAAGGTTAAGTTTGTTCTTGATTGAAAATCAACGTTAATTTCATTTGAAATTGATTTAGATGTATATAATTTACAGCGGACTGAATGTAATTATTTAAGTATATTTTCGATATGGCAAATAAAGAGCCAATAGCAAGTAATAGCATGTGAAATAACCAACCACTAACGGTTTGCTTCTTTCAATTTGAAACCAAAGTGAAACCCTAGGAAGCGGCATTTGGAGAGCATCCATCCAACGAAGCACCATTTAAATCACATGTAAATCAGTTAAGGATTGTGTTTGGACACATAAGGTTGCTTTGTGAACAAACGCTGTTTCAAACCGCTTTGAAACTTTGAAACCCAAATCCTGAACATAATGCATGAAACCCAAATTGAGTGGATTATGAGGTAAATCCATGAAACCCCAAAATAACGACAAATCACGGATGAAGTCATCGGCTGTCCGCGAAGTAGAGCCCGGCAAGGCCTGTATAAAGCGTGTGTATATATATATATTAAATTATATGTGTGTGAGAATGTCGGATTAAGAAACCAAATTTAGAGTCTAGGTGGTGAACTATGTGTCTTATTCAAACTGTGTTGATTAAGACATATTCCAGACTCTACCTTGAAAAACACGAGTTCTTTTCACACCCCTCAACCGTATAGTGCCGTGTATATGGCAGAATGTCTATGGCACGGTAGGTGATCGCACAACGCAAGTATTCTGGGTCGAGGAAATCCATGATGAGTTTGCTGAACATCCACCGTCTCATGCAACAGGACTCAAAGGACTTGAACAAATAATAAACCCTATGCCCTAGTTTATTAATTCAGGGGGTACCATTTATAAAGGGACATATTGCTATTTTGGAAACCCCACATATTAATATATATTAATACATTCGGGTTTATTCAACCGGGGTTGATATTGACACAAAATCAATTTCAACAAAAACAACAAAAACACTGTGATTGTAGCCTAGTGCTCGAAATACCCTCTTAACTAAGTGGAGCTGGAGCTGTGTTTTCTTGCCCCTCCAGGAACTTGCGAAAGCTGAGCCTCGACCGATGCAGAGCTGGTGGGCAATTGGAGTGTTCAGCTGAAGACCAAAAGGAGAAACTTGGGATACTGCAGGTACCCCAACAACCTTAGTTTAAAATGGAAGACATATTGAATTTGAGTGTAATTACTTTACTTTCATCCCTGTGGGGTGAACCACCCGCCGACTTCGCTGAGGTCTTAGATAGAGACCTCAAGGCAGTCCCGGGCTGCGCACTCAATTTGGGGTTTCGTCCAACATCCGGGAATATCCAATTGTTGACAGTTTTAATGGGAATCATGATGGTGAAACACAGATAACAAAGTACGGGATTTTGGGGTGCCCCATCTTCAGACAAGACCAAATGGAGCACACATTTTCCAAACTCATGTGTTGGGGATCCAGGATGATGTTGGAGAGTATGGAATGGCATTGTTACGTTCTTCGAAATTGTGGTACCTCCCAAAGAAACGCTGTCAGGTCTTCATATCATGTTCGATATCTTATAGAGCTCCCAAGTATGCATGTTTTTATTTGGGTTTTGTTCTGAATACACTGGTTCCCAACATGGGAGAAAATTGAATCACTACACTGTTTTATACTGTTTTTGATTTGCTTGACTTTTGTCCTTTTGCAGATCCCTCTGGGGGGACTGGTTTCTATGGCTGTGGATGGTGCAAATCCACAATCCTCAACCCGTCACCCTAATATCAAAATTACTAAACACCCATTGTATGGTCCAAAAGAATCCAAAGATGTGTGCATCCCCCTACTAAACCATGGTTTCTGGGAGGTCCTTAATACGAACGGGGGGAAGGGATTAAACCCGTCAAGACCACGGGGGCATTTGGGCCGACAGATCTTGAGATCTTATGGCTGTACTATGGCCTTTGGTAACTTGGCTCGCTTGCATCGAAAAAATATTTGTGGATGTGCCCAAGTGGGATACAGGGGTGAGAAAAACAAGGCCTGTTGTTTCCAATCAATGTGTATAGAAGTTGTGTATATATATATATATATGTGAGTGTGCGTGTGTGTTTGTGTGAGAAGCCCTGAATCAAAGGGTACCAACATGAACTAGCAGGGGGCTTTGGGTCCTACCTCCAAGCCAGAGCCAACGAAGACCTTGGAAGCTAGGACGTGAAAACGTACCTGCAAGTTAGGTGTACCGGGCACGAGTGTGCAGCTGGTAGCCTCTACAAATCTGTTTATGAAGCTGTTGTTTCCCAACACCATTACATACTTCAACTACGTAGATTTGACATCGAACTTCGCCATGTCATGCAAAGTCTTGAATTGCACATGACGACATCATGATCATATTCATCTTATCTCATCTCATGTTCTCCCTTCGGGGTGTTCCAAAGTGTGTCTTTCATGCACCCGGATTTCTGATAAAGTGCCGGGGAAGCTTGGTGGTTTAACCCACTGGGGATACCAGATTACAGAATTCGCCAGACTTACCGTTGCCAGAAGCAGATTTTGCACAAGCACTCAGGACACTCTGTCAGACATTACCTTCAGAGGTGAATGAAATGGAAATTATGCGTCAGAACACTCCAGAGCTTGCTTTCAGAATTTTCATTTTCAGAATTCCCCGTGTCATCCATAATATATTTAATATCAAGCATTGAGAGAAACAGCACCATGCCGTTACCAGCCTTTTTTGTCGGTCGTTGGGTGCTTGCTGAACAGCCGGAAACACTGATGCAGTGGTTTGCTTTTGTCAGCCTTCTTCAGTGGAAATTGAACTGAATGCCGCGAAACTTCCTTTGGTTCTTGTTGGAGCTAGCAAAACACCACACCTCATTGGTGACACCCACGACCCATGTACACAGCAATTTGAGCACCACGTTCCATGTCGCAACCCAGCAACGAGGGAAACAGCACCATGCCGTTACCAGCCTTGTTTGTCGGTCGTTGGGTGCTTGCTGAACAGCCAGAAATTCTGATGCAGTGGTTTGCTGTTATCGGCCTTTTCTCCGTGGCACTTGCGCTGAACGCCGTGAAACTTCCCTTGGTTTTATGTTGGAGCAAGCAACACAACGTCACAGACATTTGAGCACCATGTCCCATGTCACAACACAACACCGTGGAAAACAGCACACTAGATTGAGGACAATTTTCTGGTTCGCAAAATCGTGCCCCAGCTGCTTGCTGTGTGTGAAAAGCCTTGAATCAAAGGGTACCAACATGAACTAGCAGGGGGCTCTGGGTCCTACTTTCCAAGCCAGAGCCAACGAAGACCTTGGAAGCTAGGACGTGAAAACGTACCTGCAAGTTAGGTGTACCGGGCACGAGTGTGCAGCTGGTAGCCTCTACAAATCTGTTTATGAAGCTGTTGTTTCCCAACACCATTACATACTTCAACTACATAGATTTGACATCGAACTTCGCCATGTCATGCAAAGTCTTGAATTGCACATGGCGACATCATGATCATATTCATCTCATCTCATCTCATGTTCTCCCTTCGGGGTGTTCCAAAGTGTGTGATTCTGTGTGTGTGCGCATGTATTCATATATGCAATTATATACATATACATGAAACCGCACACACACACACATATATATATATATATATACACATATGCACACACGTGCGTGTGCTACAAACACGATCGATCTTTCACCTTTAGCAACTCTTGCACTCGCAGTTGCGATGTTTCCCCGCAAATTCACGAGCATGTTTCGGCCGTCTTGGCATGGAGGTGAGGGGCCTCTTTCAACATTATGTGTCGGCCATGCTAGCTAAAATTACTCTGATATATTTTATGATGGTTGGCCACATTCCAGTTGTGCCGTTCTGTTCTTTTCTCATTTTCTGGAGCTGTGTATAGGTCATAGTTTGGGAATTGTGATTGGGGCCTGTTGCACCCCATGCTGAAATAATTGCCCAGTCTATCTCGGGTTCCTGTTCTCAACATTTCCCAAGCATATCCAGAGCCCATGTGGCTGTGTCAGCCTCATAGTCCTGAAAACGGATGGCTTGAAAACTATATTATCGATATTTATCGATTCGATCCAAACATCGATCCCAGAAAGAGGACATGTGTGCAGTTCTCGCCAGTTTGCCTCCGGCTTCCGGCCTTCGCCCTCATCGCTCGCAGCCGAAAAAGCCTTCGGCACCCGAGGCCTTTCGCAAGATTTTCGGATTTGCTGCGGCTCCATCAGGACGGGCGAAGACTTCTTCCAGACGGACCTAATGGGGCGAAGCATCTTCAACCTCATGATGTCTGACACCACCGCCCTGACCAGGTGTTGGGATGGGACGGGATGGAAAAATATGAAAAATAGTCATAGATTTAAAGCTAGAAAGGTTAAGGTGGGCCAAGTTAGGCCAAGTTCGGCCAAGTCAAGTTGCCAAGATTCTTCGGTGATTTTTTCGTGGCATTCAGTTAGAAACCCTTGCCAAGGTTTCTCGCCAATTACCGCAAAAATCAAGATTCAATTCATGAGAGTGAGTCAGAAACATTCAAAAACTTGAACGTAGGAGCCTGCCTCCAAAAGTGCATGTACCGGGCATTTTTGGTCGCACAAAGCAACAGTTTGTCAGATGGTGCATGATACCCCATGGCCCTTTGGCGGCAGGCTGTGCGTGGATAGTCAGGGAAGTCGGATGCCCCGCGCCTTGCAAGTCACACTGCTGGCGGGGCAGGAACTGAAACCTGCATTGCTCATTCTTCTACACCATGGAAGTCCTTTGGCAGCAACGTTGAAGAAAAGGAGCACCTCCATTTGGTTGACCCTGGAAAAGGCAATCACTAGCTGGTCCAAGTTGGTCTATATGCTACAGTAACTTCTGATCTTCCAAGTTGTATCAGTTTGTTCTATACGGTAACGACATTTAAATATGTGGAGGGCGGGCCAGACCGCGAGGCCCCGGAGGTAGTATGAAATACCAGTTCGTATATTTGAATGTAGTTGCAGTATGTTTAAATGAATTGGATTCCGTATGTTTAAATGGCTGGGCGGGCCAAGGAAAACCCTTCCCAGAGGTAGTCTAAAATACTTGTTCGTATATTTAAAAATCCGTATATTTAAAAATAGTTACCGTACCCTACTTGGGATCAAGTCATTATATTTTGATGATTCTCGTGAGTGGACCAAGCTGACAGCCAGATGAGGATTGAATGAGCCATCATCAAAAATGCATTCGCGGTGAGAAATAGTATATACCAGATTTTGACTCTATGAAGGCAATGTTTACAGAGTACAGGAAGCCTTTTCTGTGGCCTTTCCCTTAAACCAATCCTATGATAATGGGGATACTGGGGGATGACTATATAATCCCAAAGTGACTAACTGCTACGACTTTTTGCCGTATTTTTGTCGGCTGGCTTTCACCAGAGGAGCTGGAAAGGAGTACCTGCTGGGCATCAAGCTGCATGCGGAAGTACAAAGAGAAACCGACCGGGAAGGCGTGGAGCTCTGGACAAGTTCAACCTCCTACTACCCAAATAGCACTGTAACCCCCCCAACAATGGGGGCTTAACATGGCTTGATAATAAGCCCCAAGAAGATCAATCAGCCATAATAATTAAGCCCTTATCGTTGAGGTTGATGTGGGTTAACAACACCTGGATGCATGATGCATGTATAAGTGTTGATATTATGTTTGCCCTGCACTGTCACAACGTGTTGTTTGCTTGCCTTACGATCACGCTCCAAAGACTGCATCACCGATGTGAAAGCGCACAAAAATTGTTACTGTTACATGGTAGGATCATGTCAGATCCCAATTTCTGCAGGTAACGGTCTTGTTGGCCAGAGCCTTTCGAAACACCGTTTCAAGTTGTTTCAACCTCAAGCTACACAATGATATAAGCAATAATTGTTCATAAACTCTAAAAACCATGTTAAGCCCCTTTGTTTGTTCGTTGCCACCACAAAACCAGTAGTACCGCACAAGGCGGTGGCGGAAGTCTTAAAAATAGGAAACCTATAGGAGAGGTGAGTTGTTGTGAATCACGGATGGCAGAGGGAATCCACTGATGGACCGAAAAGGTGCTTGGAGTTGTGCTTTTTGGAGTAGTTGCAATGGTTGCAGTGGTCACCTCACTCACAACTGCTGGATGTAGTGTGGTGTAGTGCAGTTGTAGTTGTAGTGTGGTGTAATCAGTGTAGTTGTAGTTGTAGCTGCAAAGTAGTGTAATGTAGTGTAAAGTCTGGTGTAGTGTAACGTAGTGTAGCATAGTGTAGTGTAGTCTAGTGTAATGTGTAGCGTGTGTCATGTAGTGTAGTTGTAGTTGTAATGTAGCGTCGTGTAGCTGTAGTTGTAGTTGCAGTGTAGTGTAGTGTAATTAGTGTAATTAGTGTAATTAGTGTAATTGGTGTAATTAGTGTAATTAGTGTAATGTAGTGTTGCGTGTTGTCGTCGTAGTGGTAGTAGTGGTGGTAGTAGTAGTAGTAGTAGTAGTCGTCGTAGCAGCAGCAGCAGCAGTAGTAGTAGTAGTAGTACCAGCAGTGGTTGTTGTTGTAGTTGTATTTGTCGTTGTAGTTGTAATGCAGTCTATTGTAATTAGCGTAGTGTAGCGTGATATAGTTGTAGCCGTAGCTGTAGTGTAGTGGTTGTTGTAGTTTTTGATCCATCTAGCCATCTGTCTGCAAGCTTGAAAACGAAGCTATTCGGCGAGACTTCTTCAAGTGACAGCGTCAAAAACGCAGCAATTCTGTGAGACCTCCTGAATTTTTGAAGTTGACAACGTCAAAAACGAAGCAATTCTGCGAGACTTCCTCAATTTTTTAAGTTGGCAAGATTCTGAGATACTTCCTTCAAAAATGGAACGTTGAGTGCAGAGCTGACGGCCTCGTACCAATGCGTATTTTGCGATTTGTCCACTCCACCTGTCTAAAGTACTGCGCCTGCCACGAAAAAGTGATGCCAGGTCATACAAAGCGTTGCACTTGTCACGCAAAATCATCTTACCAAAACTGACGATCTGATGATCCAAAAAAATGCAACCCTTCTCAGGAAATCTCTGCCTGATCTCCTAACACATCTACCTCATGTGTCTCTTGTACTGCGCCTGCCACGCATCTTTCCAGATCCTCTTCAAATGTTCCACGCAAGGTGCACAATCCCCTGCAAAACGACATCTAAATGTCCAAAAGTGCTCCGGTCCGTACCCCTCAGTTTTTTGCACTTTTGACTTCGAAATGTGCTTCGCGCCACAACGGCGTGCATTTTTTCAACATCTCAACTTCCAAAAGTGCTCTGAACGTGGTGTGCTTTGTACATTTTGACTTGGAAATATGCTTCGCGCCACAACGGCCTGCACTTTTTCAACATCTCAACTTCCAAAAATGCTCTGAACCTGTCAGTTTTTAACACTTTTGACTTCGAAATGTGCTTCGCGCCACAACTTTTTCCACATCTCAACTTCAAAAAGTGGTCCGAACATGGTTTGTTTTGTACATTTTGGCCGCACCAGCCGCTTTAGCTAGCCTACTCTTCGACCCTCCGGAGCCACAAATCATTGGAAAACGCAGTGTTTCGCAACTTTCCTACCTTTTCGCGCACCTTGATCCTCTTTCTTCTGTGACCTTCTCTTTTTTCATCTTCTTTCTTCTCTTCTCTTCTCTGACTCTTCCCATCTCTGCTTTTCATCTGTCCATATTGTCGGAAGTTTGACTTCCAAACTTCCTTCGAATCTAAAAACTAGACGACGGATGGCCCGAGAGCGTAGAGGAGCAGAGCCTTCTGGTGTTAGTATGGAAACACTATATTAGAAGACAATATATTAAAGATGTAAAATAGGCAGACGAGAAGAGTAGTATCAAGACAATATATCACAAACACAAGACAATAGTTTGCATCCTATTTTTCGTATAGTTTCTTCACACAGACGCTTTTACACACAGGCGCTTTCACACACAGACACTTTTACACACAGACCATTTTACACACAGACACTTTTACACACAGAAGCTTTTAAAAACAGAAGCTTTTACACACAGAGGCTTTTACACACAGACTCCTTTACACACAGACGCTTTTACACACAGACTCCGTTACACACAGACGCTTTTACACACAGAGGCTTTTACACACAGACCATTTTACACACAGACACTTTTACACACAGACCATTTTACACACAGAAGCTTTTACACACAGAAGCTTTTACACACAGAGGCTTTTACACACAGACTCCTTTACACACAGGCACTTTTACACACAGACGCTTTTACACACAGACCCTTTTACACACAGACGCTTTTACACACAGACGCGTTTACAATTTTACCTCAGTTTTTAGCGATCGAACCTCATTTCGTGCGAAAGGGTTGCGCGGGACAACTTGCAAATCGCAATTTTACCGCAGATTTTGTGGCGATCGAACCTCATTTCGCCAGGAATCGCAATTCTACTTTAGTTTTTGGCGATCGAACCTCATTTCGTGCGAAAGGGTTGCGCAGGACGACTTGAAATCGCAATTTTACTTCAGTTTTTAGCGATCGAACCTCATGTCGTGCGAAAGGGTTGCGCGGGACAACTTGCAAATCGCAATTTTACTTCAGTTTTTTGGCGATCGAACCCCATTTCGTGCGAAAGGGTTGCGATTGGACACCAGGAATCGCAATTTTACTTCAGTTTTTGGCGATCAAACCTCATTTCGTGCGAAAGGGTTGCGTTTCGTGCCGTCTTGTTGGCACTGCCCCGCACCTTCAAGAGAGAAATAGAAAAGAAGGAGAGGGCAAGAGGGCAAGAGGAGAAGATGTGAAGATATGAGGATGTGGAGATGAGCAGATGTGAGGATGAGAAGATGTGAAGATGAGCAGATGCATGTGAAGGTGAGCAGATGTGAAGATGAGAAGATGTGAAGATGAGCAGATGTGAAGATGTGAGGATGTGAAGATGAGAAGATGTGAAGATGTGAAGATGTGAAGATGTGGAGATGAGAAGATGTGAAGATGAGGAGATGTGAAGATGTGAGGATGTGAGGATGAGAAGATATGAAGATGAGCAGATGTGAAGATGAGAGGATGTGAAGATGTGAGGATGTGAAGATGTGAGGATGTGAAGATAAGAAGACGTGAAGATGTGAGGATGTGAGGATGAGAAGATGTGAGGATGAGAAGATGTGAAGATGAGAAGATGTGAAGATGAGAAGATGTTTTACAGACCTATTGGAAGAACCCTGCCCTTAGACGCTCTCGGGGAAAGCGGTTGTTTCTGGCCTTCCAAAGATGGCCAGGGGCTGACGACTCGCCGGGCTCGCTGCATCCCTTCGCTCCGCACTTCTCAGAGCAGTGCCATGGCCATATTTCATCCCACAGACAGGGATATTCATGGAGATTCCATTTATGTATATACAACTGGGGGTATAGTTGAGATGATGATATCAACTCCTAGCTTTGGGAATCATGGAGCTATTGAGTTCATTTATATAATGTCATGAATTATAAATATCAAGCTGGTTAATGAGAGGAGAGCCCGTGGTTGATATTATGATAGTTGTTTTTTGATAGTACTTAAAGCGGACCCTTTCTACTGTGCCAAAAACGGGCAACAAGTGCTGGGTGATGCCAAGTCACTTGTAGACCATGGGTTTCCTACCACCAACCAAGCGTTGGGGTTCAGCTAGGCAAGCTGCGGGAAGCAATACCTTGTAAGGCTCAGAAAGTAGGGGATTACTGTCCGGTTATCAAACATGGTTTGCCGGAAAATGTTTCATTTAGTCCGATGATTTCCATGGATGTCCCATTTATAGGGGATATTCAATGGCCACATTTGAGAGGCTACTGTCCCGAATCAAAACAGGTGACAAAGCCAAGGGCTCCGGCCCATGGCCCGGATCCTCATTGACTCAACTGAAGTTCATCCAGTGGTTGCCCACAAAACAGGGGAAAACAACGACATTGTAATTACATGCATAGAGGAAACCACTACATTCATCCATATTCAATGATTGAAAACTGTAAACACGTGATTTACTCCAGATTTTTGTTTCTCATCCATTGAGAGTTTGGCCTTGCTAGGCCTCACGCCACGCTGAGCAGTTCTGGCGACAGCGTTGCGGTTTCCCCTTCTGAATCCTGGTGAAGCTGAAACAGTAGATAGTTTTGCATCACACTGAAAGAGATGGATAATGACCATTGAACAGATGCACTTACAGTTGAGAGAAGGGATCAATCATTGTTACGGTAGAAAAAAAAACACTGAAAACTGAAGTGCCACAGCCATGCCTCATGCAGATCATGCGGCCCATTGAGTGTGACATGGGGTTTCCTCTTTATTTTTCAGGTGCCAGGGGGACAATAAGGTGCGAGACGTTTGAGCGTGCAGGAGAAAACAGAGCTGAACCCCAAAGTACTCATTCACCTATTTTCAACACTTTCAGTATTGATTGACATGTTTGTTGTTCCTCAAATCTTATGTCTAGTAATTCCTGCAGCTGATTTGTCTCAGGACAGCCTGTGCTACACCGTTTCGCTGGACATGGCCGTTGACCGCGGCACCCAGATGGGACCTTCCGGCGGCCGCGACGGCCCCGTCCCTTGCAGCAGCAAAGACAAATGCGTCGGGACCGCCATCGCCCCTCGGCACGGAGCTGCTGAAAAGGTGAACATGGGCAAGGGAGTACCTAGATGTTGAAATAAAATAAAACTGTTTGATATGATTTCTATAAATATATCTACATATGTATTTGTTTGTACACATAATTATACATACAGTAGTTATGTGTGATTGTATAGATGATATACGTATTTATATGTATGTATGTATGTATGTATGTATGTAATGTATGTATGCACTGTATGTATGTATGGATGTATGCATGTATGTATGTATGCATGTATGTATGTATGTATCAGTGTATGTATGTATGTATGTATGTATGTATGTATGTATGTATGTATGTATGTATGTATGTATGTATGTATGTATGTATGTGTGTGTATGTATGTGTGTATGTATGTATGTATGTATGTATGTATGAAATGTATGTATGTATGTATGTATGCATGTTTGTATGTATGTATGCACTGTATGTATGTATGTATGTATGCATGCATGCATGTATGTATGTAGTGTATGTAATGTAATGTACGGTAATGTAACGTAATGTAATGTAATGTATCTATGTATGTATGTATGTATGTATGTGCAGTATGTATGTAATGTAATGCAATGTCATGTAATGTCAGGTAATGTAATGTAATGTATGTATGTATGGATGCATGTATATATGTATGTATGTAATGTATGTAATGTAATGTAAATGTAATGTAAATGTAATGTAATGTAACTAATGTAATGTAATGTAATGTATGTATGGATGTATGTATGGAAATATAATATAATGTAAAGTAATGTAGTGTAATGTAAGGTAATGTAATGTAATGTAATGTAATAAATGGTATGTATGTATGTATGTATGTATGTATGTTTATATGTATGTATGTATGTACGTACGTACGTACGTACATAGGTATGTATGTATGTTTGTTATGTCTTGTTTTGTTTTGTTATGTTATGTATGTATGTATGTATGTAATGTATGTATGTATGTATGTATGTATGTATGTATGTATTCACGTAGGTATGTATGTATGTATGTATGTATGTATGTATGTATGTATGTATGTATGCATTAGTGTATGTAAATATGTATGTGTGTACGTGCGAACGTATGTATCTCATGTTTTGTTTGTTATGTCAGTTATGTATGTTATGTTTGTTTTGTATGTTATGTAATGTTACGTAATGGTATGTAATGGTATGTAATGGTATGTAGTGGAATGTATGTAATGGTATGTATGTAATGGTATGTATGTACTGGTATGCATGTTTGTATGTATGTAATGTAATGTATTGTGATGTAATGTAATGTAATGTATGGTATGTATGTATGTATGGATGTATGTATGTAGTGTAAGTATGTATGTATGTATGTATGTAATGTATGTATGTATGTATGTATGTAATGTAGTGGAATGTAATGTAATGTAATGCAATGTAATGTAATGTAATGTAATGTAATGTTAGTATGTATGTATGTATGTAATGTAATGTAATGTCATGTAATGTTTTGCACTGTCATGTAATGTCATGTAATGTAATGTATGTATGTATGTATATGTGTGTGTGGTCTTGTATGTCATGTTATGGTATGTTTTGTTGTGTTATGTAATGTATGTAACGTATGTATGTATGTATGTATGTATGTATGTATGTATGTATGTATGTATGTATGTATGTAGGTATGTAGGTATGTATGTATGTATGTATGTATGTATGTATGTATGTATGTATGTATGTATGTATGTATGTATGTATGTGTTGGTATGTTTTGCTATGTTTTGTAATGTAATGTAAGGTAAGGTAATGTAATGTAATGTATGTAATGTATGTTAAGTTTTTTTTGGTGTGTGATGTTATGTTATGCTATGTTATGTTATGCTATGTTCATGTAATGTAATGTAATGTAGTGTAATATTGTGTTATGTTTTGGTATGGTATGTGATGTTATGTTATGTTAACTTATGTTAATGTAATATAGCGTAATGTAATGTAATGTAATGTATGTATTTGTGTATATGTGTAATTGTATGGATTTTTTTGATTTGAGGATATCCTCAGGTTATATGGCTCTTGCTATCATGTTCTATATCATATACTCGTATTACATGCTCTATATTCAGAATTGAACATGTATATATAATTTATAGTTATCTTGTTGCTTTTTGGCTGTCATGCATACAATGACATTATAATATGTATATCCCATGTCCCCATTTGACTTGCCCAAAACGATGGGCGACTGCGCCAGGTTTGGTCGAAGGGCGAAACGGGCGGCGAAACGGGGGCCTTTCGCTGCCGGAACTGCAGCAAGCCGCCGAGGCTCCAGGCAGAGGTGATCAAGAGAGAGGAGTCCCGGGGAGAACAGGAGTTGGTGGAGGATCATCCTACTTAGGACATTTTTTTCTACCCTAGGGCACTAGGCTAAACATACAAAGAGAATCAAACATATGTGGAAATATCATGGTTTCCCGTTTAGAAAATGATTTGGCAATGGCGGGAGTTCCACATCGAATTGTTAGTTTACAGGAGGGTATGTGGTTAATGACCCCAATAATTCGAAGATTCTCCCATCATCTCCCATCAGAAAATGGATGAACTAACTAAGTAGGATGATCCTCCAAGCACCCTCCGGTGTCACTAGTCGCCACGATTTCTGGCAAAATCCCGGCACAAAAAAAAGGGAAACTTGGATAAGAAAATCATCTATAATCTATAAATGGTGGCATCATTGGGATTTAATGGCTATGTTTTTCTTTGCAGTTGACCATCAAATGATGGGAATACATTTGATAAATCATGGTGGTTGATTGGTTAAAGGGCATTATACTAACCAAGAGTTCATTGGGAATATCACAATCCATGAACGCGGACCACGCGGAATCCAGTTCTCCACTAACCAGTAAAAACCAGGAGAATGAAGATGCAGATGCGTTGTGGCACATGAAAAAGTAATGAAAAATGAAGTAAATAACGCACAGCATGAATTCAGGTGCGATGGAATACATAAATCCGATTAGATCCGATTAGATACGTATTTTTTATTTACACATGTATTGATGAAATGAATATGTACCGTAAATATGAATCCGCGGTTCGTCCAATCCAGTACACATATGTGAAAATGATTGTACATGCATGATATGTTTGCCTATTTTTGTCTTGAGAATATATGAAGGTTCGTGCCATGAAAATTAGGATGGATTTCTTCGTGTTGGTTTGCACATTTTGTGATTTGCTGAGGTAGTTTCTGGTTAGTGGTTCGCAGGTTTTGGTGTTCCCATCCCCACTCTTGATGACGCATTTGACTGACATGGTTCAAGTTGGCCCCAAAGCACCCGTAACCGTAACCTTTGCTTTTTTTGAAATTTGATGAGAAGGTTGGGGAAGGCTTCTCCAGGAACTCTTGAGTCCAGTTCAAACCAACGTTAGTTTCGAGAAGATTTACCCAACAAGTCAGATGAAGCATGAGCTAAGGGTGTATATATTTATTTATTTATTTATATATTTATTTATTTATATTTGACAATGACGCATGCTCTTTACAATTATAAAAATTCAAATGCACATGTATATGTATAATATATATAAATATTTATTTAATGTATATGTGTTTCCGTGTGTATCTATCTATTTACATATATATATATATACACGTATTTCAAGGACCGCGTGGAACTTCCACCATCGTCTCTTTGTTGACCGCCCAGGAGGACGCCTTGAGCGCCCTGGCGGGTCTTTGGGATGTTCAACCCCAATTCCGCGACATCTCGCAGACGCCCAGCCGCCATTTTCATGTCCTGAAATCGATGGGTTTCATGTGGGGCTGTACGGGCTGTCATGTTTTGGACCGTACAATGGGGGTGTTTGATGTTAGGGGAAAGGCATTAGCATGCCAACTATTGTTTTCGAGATATGCGTAACTATTTTGATGGGTGTTTATACGCTAATTTACCACTGTCACCACCTTTGATGAAATCTTTGTGCGTGGATCAAAATTTATAAAATCTTGGGGGAGATGCAGATCCATGAATGCCAGCTATTTGGGCACCAGATCCATAGGTCATATGCCACTCTCGAAAATGTTGCTCGGTTTTGACATGCTCTCGCATTAGCATAGATTTGGGGTCTTTTAGAAGGGGTCAGAGACAGTTTTCCCGCGTTCACGGTATTCATGGTAACTGTGTCATGGCTTCAGGTCTCCCATCATTGTTCTTGGTTGCAGCTAGTGGCGGTTGCAAAAAGTTTGAATAAAACCACCTGAGATTTCAGCTAGTTCCACGCTGGAAAGTGGTTTGTGAGGCCTTTCATACAGCGCCTCTACATCCAGCCAGATGGTACGTGCATCGCCACTGGGAGTGAATGGCTATGGAAAGTGGTTGATTATTTACCTCTTATTTCGATAGTTATATGTTGAATTACCAAAGGGTAACCCTAAGAATTGACCCATTGGTGCCCCATTCCTGGTTCTATGATGGGCCAAGTGACCCCATGGGAAGAAGGGGTGCAAAATTTGAAGAGATACCCAGATCAATCATGCCATTTCAAGTTCGCAGCACAGTTGGCACGAAACACATGGGCACATTGGTTTAAGTATGGTTTCCTTACTCCTTGTTCGACTGTCTTCCTGTTACATAGCAGCAGCACTTATGACTGGGGACCACTACAGACAAAAATTGATGAGGAATCAATATGTGCAATTCCATTCGCACATGTATATCATAATGTTTCGTCCTGATTAGTGTACGCCTCCCCCCCCTCACACAATACCTATACCCTCTTAAGGCTTGGGCTCCAAAAATTTCTTCCCAGGGAAAAAAAAGCGCACTTAAGTAAGGGTTTCAATTGGATACAATTGAAATCTAATTAAAACTGTTTTTGGCCGATGAACTTGTAGTACTTGTATTACTTGTAGTACTTGTAGTGAGTGGGGTTCAGCATGTTGATTGCGTGACTTTTTCCACCTTAGGTTTTTTCTTAATGAACCATGAAATGAGAGAAAGAGAAAGAGAAAGGGAAAGAGAAACACAGGTTGCTTTTGTAGAAGGCTTTTCTTTCTTCTCTTGGCTCCGGGGTCAGCTCTGGAAAAATTTTGCTGCAATTGTGAACCCTGAGAACAAACCAACAAAAGTGAATTGGACCCTCTCATGGCCCAGCCCCTTGGAAATTTGTGGAAAAACTGTTCTTTAATAAGGGTTTAATTAGCGGCCTGATTCTTTTTGGAAAGGTTTGGGATTGGAACTTGGCAATTGCTTCTGGAAAAGGCCTACCTTTCTTCTCTTGGCTCCAGGATCCGCTCTGGAAACGCTTGCTGAGAACTGTTCTTTAATAAGGGTTCAATAAGCGGTCTGATTCTTTTGGGAAAGGTTTGGGCTTTGAACTTGGCAATTGCTTTTGTAAAAGGCTTTTCTTTCTTCTCTTTGCTCCAGGATCAGCTCTGGAAAAGTTTGCTGCAATTGCGAAATTGTGAACCCTAAGAACAAACCTACTAAAGTGAATTGGACCCTCTCATGGCCCAGTGCCTTGGAAATGTGTGGAAAAATTGTTCTTTAATAAGGGTTTAATTAGCGGCCTGAATCTTGTGGGAAAGGTTTGGGATTGGAACTTGGCAATTGCTTCTGGAAGAGGCCTACAATTCTTCTCTTGGCTCCAGGATCAGCTCTGGTAAAGTTTGCTGCAATTGTGAACCCGGGAAAAAACCTACGAAAGTGAATTCGACCCTCTCATGGCCCAGTGCTTTGGAAATGTGTGGAAAACCTGTTCTTTAATAAGGGGTCAATAAGCGGTCTGATTCTTTTTTGGAAAGGTTTGGGATTTGAACTGGGCAATTGCTTCCGGAAAAGGCCTACAATTCTTCTCTTGGCTCCAGGATCAGCTCTGGTAAAGTTTGCTGCACTTGTGAACCCCGGGAACAAACCTACTAAAGTGAATTGGACCCTCTCATGGCCCAGTGCCTTGGAAATGTGTGGAAAAACTGTTCTTTAATAAGGGTTCAATAAGCGGTCTGATTCTTTTTGGAAAGGTTTGGGCTTTGAATTTGGCGATTGCTTGTGGAAAAGGCATGCCTTTCTTCTCTTGCCTCCAGGATCCGCTCTGGAAAAGTTTGCTGCAATTGCGAAATTGTGAACCCTGAGAACATTCCTACTAAAGTGAATTTGGCCCTCTCATGGCCCAATGGCCCAGTGCCTTCAGTGCCTTGGAAATGTGTAAAAAAAAATTACTTTACTTCGTGTGATCCCCACCATGACATTTATACATTTTCTTACTGGCAAATCTTCTGGCATTCTATCTGACATATCTTCTGACATTCTATTTGGCATTCTATCTGGCATATCTTCTGGCATATGATCTGGCATATCTTCTGGCATATCTTCTGGCATTCAATCTGGCAAATCTTCTGGCATTCTATCTGGCATATCTTCTGGCACTATCTGACATATCTTCTGGCATTCATCTGGCATATCTTCTGGCATATATTCTTCTGGCATATCTTCTGGCATATATTCTTATCTTCTGGCATATCATATCTATCTGGCATATCTTCTGGCATATTTTCTGGCATTCTATCTGGCAAATCTTCTGGCATTCTATCTGGCATTCTATCTGGCATATCTGGCATATTATCTGGCATTCTATCTGGCATATCTTCTGGCATATCTTCTGGCATATCTTTCTCATTCTATCTTATCTTCTGGCACTTCTGATTCTTTGTTCATATCTTCTGACATACATTCTTCTACATGAGGTCCGGCAGGGAACACTTGGCGTGGATACTCGCGGTTGAGGTCCGGCAGGGAACACTGGGCGTGGATGGTCGTGGTTGACACTGGGCGGGGATGGTCGTGGTTGAGGTCCGGCAGGGAACACTGGGCGTGGATGGTCGTGGTTGAGGTCCGACAGAGAACACTGTGGATCGCGGGTCGCAGTTGGACGAGGAGGACGACGAGGAGGACGACGAGGAGGAGACGAGAGGAGAAGAGGAGAGGAGGAGCAGGCAACTGACATAAAATCTAACAACCCTCACCTGGCAGGTGGGGAATTGTTCTTAATAAGGGTTCAATAAGTGGTCTGATTTTTTTTTGGGAAAGGTTTGGGATTTGAACTTGGCAATTGTTCCTGGAAAAGGCATACAATTCTTCTCTTGGCTCCAGGATCCGCTCTGGAAAAGTTTGCTGCACTTGTGAACCCTGAGAACAAACCTACTAAAGTGAATTGGACCCTCTCATGGCCCAGTGCCTTGGAAATTTGCTGAAAAACTGTTCTTTAATAAGAGTTCAATAAGCGGTCTGATTCTTTTGGAACAGGGAGAAAAGCAAGATTTTTTCAGAAGAAATGTTCAGGGTTTTTTTACACAAACATTTCCTCGGAAAAAATGTCCCAAAACAAAATCTTGCCACAATAGTGCACCTTCCAAACATTACATGGGTTCAGAATAATTTAGATTTTTTGCCACAAATAGCGAACCTAACCTAGCCACTAATCAGGATACAACATTATATTATCTCCTTTTGAGGATGACCGACATACTCCCCTTAAACTTACGATTTAAAGTTGGAATCCCAAAATTGCCATCACTGCCATATCCAATTATCTTCAGCTTCCAGACATTTCCCAGGCATAGCAAACTGTTAGTTTGGTGGGGGGTAAGCCATCTCAGCCATCTTAAACCCAGACATTTCGCAGCGCTACCCAGGACGCCCTAGGACAACAGCGACGCCTCGAGTATGATGCCAATGGGGAGGTTCTCTTGCTCAAAGGCCTGGTCTGATACCCTCCGGTGTCAAACATGGCCGGGAAATCCCCAAAAATGAACTATAAATGGGGATGGCTACATTATTTTGCTAGAAATGGTGATATGTTAACCTAACCAGCTCAGATGTTTTTTGTTGACAGAGTATCTCTAAGGTTGACCATGAATTTGGATGATCGTTGTTAGATAAAACATCTTTGGTCTTAAGCTTCCAACGATGTGCTGTGCGATTTTTAACTCTTAACGTGGACTAGACCATCAACCATGGTTGTTGTGCTTTGCCCAACTTGATAAACCTTCGATTGGAGATGGTTTCAGCAACCTGTATGTATATATATATCAGTATAGCTCCCTACGCTCGAAGGCAAAATGTGTCATGTTGCACATGTTCTCTTGGTCATATGGCCATTCCCTGGCCATCATGTCAGTTCGAGTAGATCCATTCTGGGACAAGGAGCCTAAATGTTCGGTTTTGCTCCTGCCAAGGACGTCTTTGGATGAGTGGCGACACCCTCTTCCGGGAAGGAAGGCGGGCCTTCCCTTCGTGCAAGGTGTAACTGCCTTTTGGGAACGACCTATAGTTTGTTATGTATTATGTAATCCTGCACCTTGCAAATCCTTTAAAAGACAGAAGGGGACACCCTCAGAGTGCGTTTTTTCATTGTTCTCTTACACATGCATTGACAGTTTCTGCTTGGCACATCTGCAATGGCTATGTCACAATTCTGCAACCATCGACAATTTCTGCTTGGCATCTCTGCAATGACTATACAACCCCCAAAAAAAATGATAAGACCCAACTCTTTGCCACTACTCCCCCTCGGGGTGTGCAATCTAGTTGTTTTTGCCACCGGGTCGAAAACCGCACGTGTAGGCGTGCACATTTTTTATTTTTGATGATGTAGCGTTTTTGATGATGTACACATGAGTTTCTTTGGGGGGGTCGGCGGGGGTGAGGGGGGGGTTGGGGGGGTGGGAGGGGCTAATCACGTTTTTTTCGCCTGCGTTCTTGACGCTACGTTGCTAACGTTCTTCATGTAACTTGCAACACGCTCTTGATGCTACGTTGCTCGCATTCATCATGTAACTTGCAGCACGCTCTTGATGCTACGCTGCTAACGTTCTTCATGTAACTTGCAACACGCTCTTGATGCTACGTTGCTCGCATTCATCATGTAACTTGTAACACGCTCTTGATGCTACGTTGCTAAAAGTTTCAAAAATTGGAATCCAGTGGTTCCTTCAAGTTCATCTCGCGCAGTCCAGATGGAAAGAAGTCGGTCCTTCTGACCGATGGAGCACCGTGTTATCCTCGCATCTCAGTGCAGTTTTCCATGCATCACTTTTCAGTCAACCACAGCGCAGGTGAATTTGAAAGAACAGTCTGCTTTCGAAACTGCCCCCTCTCGGTACACACAGGTACCATTGATAGTGTTTGGGTTCACCTCAAAAAGAACATACCAGCCAGTTTGAGTTCCAAATCACCCCAAATTGAACATCGCATTCGTGCGTGGCAATGGAGGTTCACATACTCCCATGTCCCAAACCTGTTTATTACAGCTGGGAGCGAGTTGAAGCGATTGAAGAAATGATGGACGAAAAAAATAGCGCGAGTTTTGACAAAAATGACTTCAAAAAAATATCATGTGTTAAAAAAAACACTGGTTGTAGAAACCATAAAAAGATGAAAACATATTATTTTACCTGGGAAAACACATGCAACCAAGCTTCAACCGCTCTGATGAGATTTGCTTGGTGATGGCTGACAGAAGCAAACACACGATACAGAGGCCAAGAGGGAAAAAGCATTTTGCGCGAGTTGCATTGTGCCAAAACTAAGGTAAAATAGCATTTTTCAAAAAAAAGGTAACGTTTTGGGACCCCCAAAAAAATGAAAATATGCTATTTTAACTGAGAAAACACACACGAAATGCCAGAAGCACTGTAACCACATGCATTTTGGAGTATCCAAGGCTTACAAAACACTGTAAATACCACGTTTCACAAAATTCACAAAATCATAAAATCGCAACGACTACACGCTCAGTTCCCGACCCGGCGGGTTGTTTTTGTTTCTTTTGTTTTTTTTGTGTTTCTTTGTTTCTTGGTTTTTTGGTTTCTTGATTGTTTGGTTTCTTGCTTGTTTGAAGGGCTGGCAAAAGCCACCACTTCCCCCTTCTTAGGGTCTGCAAACTTGTTTGGGTCTGTGGTTTCATTCGAACACCTTGTAAAAAATTCGGAAAATGCAGGTATCATTGAGGGAAGCTCAGGGGCTTGGGGCATGGATTAGGCAATTTTGTCTTCGGTTCATGTCTCAAAATATGCCAAAAGACTATGCCAAAACATACATAGTGAATGAGTTTGTGCGACTGAGTTTGATATTGACATTGTCGAGCCAAACCCTTCAAACAACACATGTTCAAACACGTTAAATGATTTCCTTGAAATGACTTTTGCATCTCTTTGAAATGAGTGTTCCCTCCAACATGTGCACTTCTTTTCAAATGGTAGAGCATTCCATTTAACTAGCACATGTCGGCTTCTGTGTCAAAAATGAATCCTCTTGCGCATGCAACGCCCTTTTCACAATAAGTGGTATTGCTGAAATGAAAAAACGCATGGTATTTGTAATCGTTTAAAATATGTCCTTCAAAATTGCACATTGTTTCTCGGAATACATCATGCAATATTCGTCCAAGACATCGAAACATATTTTGAGAATAGCACGCTTTGATGTATGGAGCTCTCCCCTGGAAAGTACTGTAATTCGAAGAATGTGCATCTTTGAGTCCTAAGCCAATGAAACATTGTTTGAACATAAAACAAAAAATAGTGTATATATATAGTATATCAGTATTGTATGCATTCAGCACCCTCTTGACAGGGCATAGTCGTCCTCGAACAATTTGTTGTTTTATTTTGTGCAACATCCCCTTGACATGAGTTAGATATTTGATTAAACGAATAATTACATTATAAATGAAGGCTGGGCTGATCAAGGGGAATAGTACATATGCCAAGCAAAAGTCATCCAGTTTTCCAGGAATGCTGATTCTTCATATGAATATTGTGTTGCCATGCATGGCATTGTTGTAAGAAGAGACTAGCATTCTTTGATCATGCTCACATGTTCAAGCATATTTTTGAGAGGGATGCTCTATGTCCAAAATACCGCATATTGTGCAGAAATAAAGGCATACTGGTCCTTTGAAAGGAGATATGTTAGGATGCACACTGCACTGCGTCAAAGGGCGTGGTGCATCTTCTAAAGGAATGCTTCATTTCGTGCAGGTATATTGTTCTTTCAAAAAAACACTGCATTGCCCCAAAAGAAGTTTATTATCCACGTATTAAGAACGGTATGCTGCATTTCTGTTGTGCAGACTGCATGTGTTGGCAGGTATGGGAATGTTGTAATCGCTGTTTGTCGAAGACACCTAGCAGCATCTAGCATATTCTGCAGAAATTGTGTTTAGTTGAAGTTAAAGGGACAGTGTAGCATTGATCTAAGGTGGAGTGAACACCTGGACACGCCGTCAAGCAAAACGTACTCCCTAGTGGACATGAACACATCTTCATGTCTATTTTAAGCCTCAACAAGTGATTGCAGTTTTGAACAAACAATGAAACATGCACTTTCACAGTGCCCTGCTCTCTTCACAAAATCACTGAGTTCCATTTTTTAGGAGATTTCATCGATTTCAGCGTTTCGTGGCCTATTCACGGAAGTCTGGAAAATCAAATCTACGATTTTCGCGTGATTTTGAACATTTTTGCGGGACTTTGTCAGTAATCCTTGACGTTTTTCAGGCCTTGTGTGTCCAGATTGTCCATTTCCAGTAGATTCACTAAATTTCAACGCTTGCGTCCATTGTCCATCGTTTGCGTCCAAAACATAGTCAACTCCGAAGTTCACTTGATTTTTTAAGGATTTGGAAGGTCCAGGAGAGGGATATGTATATACATATATATATATGTCATTATCTATCTATCTACCTAGGGAACCCAAACTCGAGAAAATCTTGGGGTATAGAAAAATACCCGAGGATTGAAAAGCAAACCCGAGGATTTTTCGAAAACGTGAGACTTTCCTAAAACTGAAAACTTTAAAGACTGCCGTGGAACAAATGTTTTCCCCCTGTGTATGTGCACAAAGTGCTGTGCTTTCTCTTCTTCTTAATTACGAAAACAAATAAAAAAAACAAACTCGAAAAAAAAAACAGCTTACAATCCCGCTCATACAAACCCATGAAAGAAAGTACGGGTTTAGCACGGCTTTGGTACGGGTTTAGTACGGGTTTGGAATAACCGATGCTCTGACAAAACCGATGTATTTTCACTGTTCGCAATTTGGGGTGTAGATCCGTCAGGTTTAGTCCGATACCTTTCAAATCTCAAAAAAAACACAAAAAATCCTGGAAGTTCATATCTGATTGTGGTATCACCGAGGCAGTTATGAAACAAAAGAAACTGCGGGCATGAACGGTTTTCTTACCAAGGCAATGATGATTTTGTGGGATAGGCCGTTAATTGAAACTATGGCAGCCAATCTAATGACAAGTGATCCCTGTCAGTTGAAATTGACGATTAAGGGGTCTGAACGTAGCAGCAGGGATGACCCCGGCGCAATTGACACTGACCTTAAGCCCATGCAACAATAGACACCGGCAACAGCAATGCCAAGTAATGACAACTTTCGCACCTGCATATGCAAGCACATCACCCCTTTAGACACTTGTTGTCCCATATTGAGACATTTGGAGAAATTTTGAGGCATTTTGAGCCATATTTTGAGCAATTTTGAGCAATTTTGAGCAATTTTGAGCAGTTTTGAGCAGTTTTGAGCAATTTTGAGCAGTTTTGATCAGTTTTGAGCAACTTTGAACAATTTTGAGGAGTTTTTTTGGGCCAGCATGGGTGATTTCCAGCAATTTTGAGCATTTTTGTTGGGCAAGTTTGGGTCATGACATGGCATTGTCGACCTTGGACAATGTTCAAAATGTCTCAATTGAGGCTGCTTTGAGACATCTTACTTTGGCTGAAAAAGGTGGCTGATGTAAACCCCACGGATCTAGACCCTAAAACGAGATCAGCGATACGGGTTTGATACGGGTTTCCGAGAAACCGGAACCTTTCCAGACAATAATAATAAAAAAAAGGGTTACAAGACTGTGCAGAGGATTTGGGCACCCGTAAATCTCGAACCAAGGGGTGAAATAGATTTAGATACAAATGAATGGTTCCGTTCTATATTGCACTAGAACCTGTGGAACAAAAGAAGGCCTTAGCAAAATTGAGGAAGAAACTCTGGATAAACCCGAGGTTTTCCGTCCATACCCGAGGTGGTTTTATACCCGAAGAAAAGTTAGGGTTTTGGTTTACTAGGTATATATGATGTGTATATATATATACGTGTGTGTGCGCGTTCTATGTTCTATTGTATATACCAGGAGTTTCAAAGACCCCAAAATCGCAGGTCCAGTCAAGAAAAAATATTTTTTTGGAAAAAAATGTTTTTGTGAGGAAGCCATATCTTGGTTATTGTTGGATGTGCACCAATTTGTCCAAATCGGGTGGACTTGTACTGTATCAAATTTCTGCTTCACCACATGTAGCAACTTTATACTGACAACATCCGAAATCTGTCAGACGGAACACACCATCGAAACCAAAGCAAACGTTATCACACACGATGCGCGCATTCTCCACAAACTGCACTTACCTCCTATGATGCGAACTCTCCCTTCAACGGAACTGGAGGTAGTCAAAAAGTCACTACATGGATATGCATGGCATTTCAAAAGTCAGCTTATCAGATGTGAACCCAGAAAACACTAGCTCCAATAATCTGCGTTGTTTTCTTTTTGCCTGGATCGGGCAATTGCGGAGCGTCAAAACTCGACGTCGCAGCCGCCCATTCCCAGCGGCAAAAACATCAATATTTTGAGTACGGGTTAGTATGGGTTAATTATGGGCTTAATATGATTTAAATACGGGTTCCCTAAAACTGGTGTTTTTCGATTATAGCAGAATATGGGTTTAGTATTGGACAAATTATCGGTTTAGTACGGCTTAATACGGTCAAATTATGGGTGTTTGGCATTCTTTGGTATGGACCCTAAATTGTCATCCAAAATGATTACAGTAAAAAATGCCATATTCGATCGATTTTGTTTCTTTTTTTTGATACTTTTGTTCTATTTTTTTGGATTTTGGCAATCCAGAAACTTTTTTGGCCCAATGAAAAAAAATATCACCATGTTGATCATGTTTCAAATTTATGCTTCTGGGGGTGGTTCTTGTGGGAAAACGTCCTCCAACGACATCAGAATGACTGTGATCACAAGTAATGTTGTCCGACATGTTCCAAGAGCATCGGGTCCTTTCTCGTGAGAATTGCCAGCCATAGCCAGCGGGGGGGAAGTATAACCAACGTGAAGGGTACTCAGAGGGATAGTCCAGGGCTAGTATCAATAAAATAGTAAAGAGGTTTGACTCGTCTAAGGGAACGGATCATGAGAGGCACGGGGTCGCATTTGCCCCTACCTCGGCGAATGTGACCCTAGGGTAGGAGCGAATGTGACCCCTGCTTTTGTGTGGCAGGCGCAATAGTTTCAGAGCCTCGAAAGGATCTTTTCCATTTCACGTGTTACGTTGTAACATCCATGTCAAGCAGCTCCAAGACCCTGGAAGTTTCGTTGTAACATCCATTTCAATCAACTTTCCAGACGCTCTGGATGCTATGCTGTAACATCCCTTTGAAGCAACTCCAAGATGCTCTGGATGCTATGTAGTAAGACACAATTCAAGCAACTCCAAGCACTGTGGATGCTGGATTGTAACATCCATTTCAATCAACTTCCAAGACGCTCTGGATGCGACGTTGTAACATCCATTTCAAGCAACTCCAAGGCGCTGTGGATGCTACGTTGTGACATCCATTTCAATCAATTTAAGACGCCCTGGAGGCTACGTTGTAACATCCATTCAATCAACTTCCCAGACGCTCTGCATGCTATGTTGTAACATCCATTTGAAGCTCCAAGACGCTTTGGATGCCATGTGGTACGATTTGTGCATGTGTGGTTTCAGTGTTTGCATGTGAGCAGGCGACGCTTTAAGCGCGTTGAGTTTTGGCCTGGGGCTGCCCTTTTTTTGAGTGACAGTGTGGTAAGTAAGATGTAATCTAACCAAAATGGTGACTTATTCCATGTCCCCAACCCCCCCTACCCCCCCCTAAGCAATGCCCCCAAGTCCCCTCTAAGCAATGCCCCCAAGTCCCCCCTAAATGTCCCGTGTCCCCAGGTCAAACCCTAAGAGGTTGAATGGCATATTCAATAGTGAGGCAAGTGACTTAACCGATGTCCCCAAGTCCACCCCTAACCAATGTCCCCAAGTCCCCCCCTAATCAAGTCCCCCCTAAATGTCCCCAAGTCCCCCCCTAAATGTCCCGTGTCCCTAGGTCAAACCCTAAAAGGTCGAATGACACATTCAATGGAAAGGATAATGGGGTAGGGGCGAATGTGACCCCCGTCCCATCAGGAGATGTCATGACACCAAGTGTGAGCAAGAGTATTTGTTTCCGTAGTAAAGATAAAACTTTTTTTTTGAGAAAAACATGTTTTTTTTCATAACTGAAAAAGAAGAACGAGTTTTTGGCAAAAGGCCTGCAAATTTGTGGGTTCTTGATGCGCTAGGTATTTATGACTATATTATTTTTGTTTTTCTCACTGTGCTTCGTCGAGTCACATTCATTCATAGGCCCAAGCTAACTTCTGCCCCTTGGCTTCCAGTGTTTGTTTGGAGCATCTCTTAAAAAGTGTTGCCCAATTGTCATTGCACAATGAGAGGGCGGACACAAAATGATGAGGAGACATGTGTTGCTTGCAGTTTCTGGATGGCTAGGTGTTGGTGTGTAGAAATGATGAAATATATGCTCGGCACTTCCCAGGAGAAGAGCACAGTGCGTGGTATTCTTGATGAATCATTTATTGTACTTTAGTGAATTCATAGGACAAGATGGAGCCAGATATTTGCCAACCATGGGCTTCCGGGGGTAAGCGGTAGGTCTGGCATCATCACGGGTTTCGATCGCGCGTTGGAGCACTCCTTGTTGGTGGCCGATTACGACGAGGAGGAAGAGGAGGAAGAAGAACTGGCAGAAGAGGATCAGGCGCCATACGTCAGCTTTGAGCTGGAAATGGAAGATGTTCGCCCAATATAATTAATATGGCAAATTTAAATGGTTTCGGATGATGAGTTTTCTAAACCAGTTTAAAAAAGAGGTGGATTTAGAGATGTTCTATTTTCAGACAAACCCAATATATTTGATTTGAAGGTGCCCAACATGTTCTTGGAGGTGCGTTGTTAGAGTCTTTAGAGAACTTTAATCCAGGTTTTGGGGTGATTTCCTGAACGTTGACCTGGGGCGGCACCAAGAATCTCAAGTACTTTGGTCAATGTCAATGCAAGAAATCTGTGCATTTAATTCAGTACACCCATGAAAAATATATTTGGCTAAGTAGGTGCCTGACCAAGAATGAGTGGTGAATCATCAATCAAAGGTCCGGTCCTGGTTTGGTCATCATTCCGCATTTGGACAGTGGTTCTCACGATTGGGAAGTTACTGTATGCAGCTGGTGAGGTTTCCATGCTACAAGGTGGTATATTTCCTCACTGAACATCAGGAAACATTAGTGGCCCTCCGGTAAGCGGTAATCTTACCTGGTAGTGGAAAATTGCCTATTCTAGATGTTGTATATCATGTTGACGTTGAACACGGGCAATCTCTCATTGCTCGGTGCTTGTTCACCAGACCAGAGTTGGGACCCCATAAGCTGACGTCGGTTGAACGACAGGAGGCAGACAGCTTGCACATTCTGGGAAACATGGTGTCAGGCAACTTGGAAGCACACCACTTGAACCGAATATGTCGATCAGCCACAGCTACCAACCCATCGTAGGAGAGTCAATGACCTTTCCAAGTTTGCCTACTTCCAAGTGTGGAATGGAATTTGCTGCACCAGTTTTTCAATTATTCCACAATCGTTGCTTGCGACTCATGACTAGGTATGCAACACATGAGCAGCTGCACCTCATCAGACAACCTCACTGCCATTGTTTTGTGATGGGTCGTAGCCGTAGCTTTCCATGGCATGGCTTACAATATCTTCTGACTCAAGTCCTTGGGCTTTCAAAAAATATTGGGGTTTTCAATGGTTGCTTCTGACTTCTGATTCTGACTCAAGAATTTCTGCTGAGCTAGTCACCCATGCCGTGCCATGAGGTGTGTATCTCTCTAGTTGCAAGAGTATACGTACTGCATACGACAGGATATACGCAAGTAGAGGGGTAGTTGCATATCATATATCCAGGCGTTTGTCAATTCACATTAGTTTTTTTGATGTCTGTTTCTCATTCCATGCCCCCTGAGGTCTAGCTTCAAACCGCTCTGATCTGGGGAACTTCTTGAGCTGAAGTTGGATCCAAGCGAAATGCAGTGGCTCTATTCAGGTGTGGGTCCAATGCACCGTAAGCCACCATCTACAGGAAAACTGCAAGTGGAGTAATGTGGGTAAAACAATAATACACCACCCATTTGGAACCTATTTAAGGTGATTTGGGGGATGGTTTATTATTGTTTTACCCACTTTATTTTGAGTCTATGTTCACACCTTTGCCAAGTGGAGTCTACAATCATCCAAGACAAGAAGGATGTGATATTCACACCTTCGAGGAGCTTCTCACCGAAGTTTCACCAAAGTTTCACGCGTTCCAATGTGGACGGACGGCGAGCCGAAGTCATGGGTCGCCCAAGTTTTTTGTGCCCACGGTGTGCCAGGTCTATGGGGCGAAGATAGCCTAAAACATATCCCATACCATACGCTCCATGGCGTATCTTTGCATCCAGATATCATACAAAAAAGGGACACCATCATTCATTATATCCACATATAAACTACGAAAATCATACAACATCATTCAATTCCACAGCCAAAGTTTGATGAGCTTAATGTGTTGAACAGCATGCAAATATTTACGTACTTATTTGTCTACAGTATATATATATACATAAATATATTTATTATTTTAATAATAGTAATAATATATAATCATAATAATAGTAATAATAACACTAGCAATAACAATAATCATAACGCTAATAATAATGATAATTATATATATGTGTGTGACGCGTATATTACATATAATCTGGGTAAATTATAACGCCCTCACTGCGACCTCATTGGAATAGTGGTTACTAAGGGGAATTATCCCAATATGGTCCAACATTTCAGGTTGGTGAATTGTTTTAATTTACCCAGATGATATATATATATATAGCAATTCACCCATATATAAATATATATATATATATAAAAACCTCATTGGAATAGTGGTTACTAAGGGGAATTATCCCAATATGGTCCAACATTTCAGGTTGGTGAATTGTTTTAATTTACCCAGATGATATATATATATATAGCAATTCACCCATATAAATATATATATAATATTACCCTATATATAGGCATGATGAAAATCTCATGGGTTTTTCGAGCAGGTCTCAGTGATCTGATCGCTCAACACTTGGGGCGAGAGCTGTTGAAGGAGCAGCAGTGACTGGGCACGGACTGGGGATGACTGGGGGATTTCGTGGGATTTCACCAACAAAAATGGGGACGTCACCGTGACGTCACCAAGAAACAGCAACAACAAGAACTACGACTGGGATTTAATGAGATTTATTAAGCTGATTTATGATAGCCAAATCGGCACAGATAATATACTTAGATGGTGCTACAATGCAATTTAGAGCCCTTCCTGTACTGTCTAATCAATTGATCCCAATGACAAGCTCCAAACGTCTCCCAAGGGCTCCAAGCAAGAAGCGCAGTAACAACCAAAAAAAACCTGGTAGGGAGCCCTGATGATTGATGCCAAGATGATACTAGTAGAATCTCCAAGTGGCGCGGTGCTTCAGGGTACTGATGTGGCTGAAGGGGCTGAAGGGATGCTCAGGTTTGCGTTCTGACTGCTGAATGATGTAAAGAAAGATGCAGAATTGGTTTACTGTAGCACTGAATTTTTACTAGGATTTTACCAACTTCTATCTTTTTGGGTTACAATGGTATGTAATGACACTTGAGACCTTAAGGAGCCTTCACCACCAGATGAAAGTAGGGGGAGATGATAGATGGAGTAGACTCAACCAGGTTTCATTACATATTCTATATGTTTATATTGTATATACATATGTTATTTTGTATGTATATATAGATGTGTATACGTAATTTGGAAACAGACAAATAGACGGACAGACTGCTAGGTAGACAGGCTTATAATTACTTAGATGCAAATCAATGGCGATTTCAGGATATTTCAGGTACCTAAGCTGGAGGTACGGTACCATATAAACCACATTTTGGGGACATACCCCGTACATAGCAAAGTTTTGATATGTTTGTCTATTGCAGCATCTATATAGCTGAGGTGCTCAGATTGGTCGTGCAGACCCTGGTCTCCAGAGCAACTTCGCTGCTCAGCTGAGCCTGGGGCAACGGTGGAATCCCAAAGAAACTCCTGAGTATCCATGGAAAACAGATACTTTACGGTTACCCCCAGCATAAGCCCCAGCTTCATAACTTTTTAGTGAGACACAGAGAAGGGTCTTCACCCCTCCCGAAGCTGCCAATCTTGCGCACGTTGTTCTCGTGATCATGGTGCAAAAAGATCAGTTCCCAGTGGATCTAAGGATCAGTTTTCAGGATCCGAATTTGTCTCCACAGTGATCTCAATATGATCCTAATTTTGGGCAAATGAAGTAGATCGGAAAAACCTGCCATATCTTGGATTGTTTTCCTGTGGGTCATGTTTGTTGCCTGCCAGGTGAGTCTAGGGGCGGAAAGGCATTGAAAGGGCACCATGAAAACCATGAAAACACATAAGGAACATGAAAAAAACACCAAAACAACCCAACAAAAAAGCACAGCAGCCGTCCATGAAGATCTAAGCCAGCTTTGGTGGCGAGGTTACGCCGCCCTGGATGCCCATGCGCTGCTGTCCCTGCTAGCTTCCAAACTGGAAGCTACACCGTCCTCGCATCAGGATGGGTTTCCTGATGGGCGGCCTCAATTTTTTGGGGATTATGTGGAGACCCAGAAATCGCATATGTTTCACCACGATTTGTCAGTGTAATTGCAAATTGGAATATAGTGCAAGAGTAGTGATACATCGGTCCCGATATCCTATTTTCAGAGCACCCCAACTAATCCTGCAAGGCCAACTGGCTGTCAAATGCTATTCATGTTGGGAGAGCAGAGAGGGAGCTAAAGGGCCCAGTGATTGGTTGACATTGCATGATTTTACGTTCACACTTGCATTTTGGTTTGGGATGAAACCAACAACAAGGTCACAGTTAGTTCATATCCCCATGATGTCCCTGAGGGTGGTCCCATCATTATGGAACTTCCATTTGGCATACCTTAGGACTTTACTTCATGGACATGCTACCCCGCATGTGGGTACTTTTGGCCATTTGCACAATTGTCATAGATAACATACTCTGGCTCAAGGGAAAAGGTACAATATATTCACATATATTTATGTATATATTTATATGTTTACATATATATATACATATATGTACATGTGTGTATACTGTATATACATATATAGAGAGGGAGATGTGTATATATATATATAATTATTCATTTATGCATATATGTGTACAGGTAGTACTGAATTATATAGATAGAGATGTATCCACAAAGCCATCAACAGCTTCTTTCCAGCTCTTTGCTGTGTGTATATATATGTATACAGATATATATGCACATGATTCGCATTACGATTCATAATATGGATACCTACAAGCATCAACAGCCCCTGGATCCCTTTTATTCCCCAAACAGTGTGTCCACACTGAGGGGATCTTACGGTAGGTGTAAAGGCGTGTGCTTGATCAGGGTGCTCACTCTGGGCCCGAGCATTTTTCCTGTAAGTTTCCGTCTAAAGTGGCTCTTGTGATATGTTGAAGTGCATTTCGACTGCGCAGGCTCGCACAAAGTACGCGCCTAGGTTCTGGGATTGGTCCTCCTCCTCCTCCTCCTCAACATCATCATCCCCCACATCATCATCTTCCTCCTCCTCAACATCATCATTCTCAGCATCATCATCTTCATCCCCCTTCACATCATCATCCTCAACTTCATCATCCTCCACCTCATCTTCCGCAACATCATCCTCCTCCACCACATCTTCCGCAACTCTATCATCCTTTTCATCCTCCTCCTCAACATCATCATCCTCAACCTAATCATCCTCAACTGCATCCTCCTCAACATCATCATGCCCCGCCTCTTTTCCGCAACATCATCCTCCTCCACCTCTTCTTCCGCAACTCTATGATCCTTTTCACGAACCTCCTCAACATCATCATCCTGCACCTTGTCCTCCTCCACTTCATCTTCCGCATTACAGGGAACAGACAATGTCGTGCCCACGGGCTGCAGAATGCCAGAATTAGCTGCGGAGAAGTTAACGTAAGAAGTGCTGCAATGCTGGGTGTGGTCCTTATGACAAGGGAACATGTGTTAAACAACTCAATCGAAACCATTGGCCACAAGAACAGTTTGAAACCACATCAATTGAATGAGTGCCGGAATGATTGCGGTGACAAGCAGGAAAGCCTTTTAGGCATGACTTAGGCGTGACTTTTGGAAACAGCGGTGACAATGGGGGAAGCCCCGTAGGCATGACTTAGGCGTGACTTTCTCTTTTGCCTGTAGCATCCTCATCCTCATCCTCCTCAACATCATCATCATCATCAATATCACCGTCCGCAACAACAACAACCAACAACAACATTATCATACACTATCCTCCCACCCCCCCTGCACTGTTTGTGGTCTCTTGCCGGGATATTTTTTGTTTGGCTTCCCAGGTGATCGTTTCACCAGGAGCTGTCGCGCTGTTTTCTGAAGCACCAAGAGCTGCTCTACGACGCCGCGAAACCGCGCTTTGTGGCCTTGGGCCCTGCAACTTGACGACGTACCCAAGAGCTGGGAAGATCTGGGAAAAAATTGGATTTCACCAGGAAAACATGGAAAGTTCACTAGGAAACATTGGATTTACCAGAGGCTAGTTGAAATCTCCGTCACCAAAATCGGATGTAGATATTTTGGATGCATCCCCATGAATTTTGTTTCTGAAATAGGTTGGAAGGGTAAGATGAGGTATGGTTCTTCAGTTTGTGGGACCCCATGAACTACTGAGTAAAACAATAACACTGTGATTTCTGAATTTTGGAGTGGAGAGTAGTGTTTCACACATTGATGCAACAGAATTTCCAGGACCCATCCCATGGAACATGATACAATTGTTTTTAGGTGGGCATTGAATGGGGTAAACTTACATGGATGTGGGAAAGCCCATGGTTTCCCGTTCGGCAAATGATCTGCAAATAGTGGATGTCCCACATCGTTAGTTTAGAGGAGGGTATTGAATGGGGTTCCAGATGGTTCCAATATCTAGCATCCATGGCGACTCCACCATCCTAATCTTAGCTAACGCATTCTTACGGGAAAAACACATGTCAGAACAGCGATCGTGATGAGGGGTCATGTTTGAATGAATCCACCCAGAATTTGTTGGCACAAGATTGAGAAGCTGCCGCATCATGGGGGAGTAGGGAAACTGCAACATAGAGTTTTTTGTCAATAGTAGTTGCTTTTAGCACGCACTTACTTTGGCCAGTTTCATCGGAGTATTGTTTCAACACACTGATCAGTCTTTGCGTTACTTTGCATTGCAAAGGGGGTGTCTTCCAAAAAAAAACACCGGCAGAGTTTCTTGTCTTAGAGCATCATCAATGGGTATTCCAATCGGCCCATCGTTCTCACGAAGTGTTTGTGTTCTCAGTAGGCCAATCGTTTTCATGAGAGGGACCGTTGATAGCCTAGTTTTTTCCCGGACGTTTTTGATCAAAAAAAAAGCTCAGAAGGATCCCGGTGGGAATGGGTGTGGTTGCGTTTCAGAGGTGGGAAAAAGCAACTTTCCATTCTCAGCAGGCAATCGCTTTCAGTGACTAGCATCGTTCTCAAGGAAAGAAAATGAACGGTTTTGGCCAGATTTTTTCAGCTGAGTTTGGGCAGGGGACAGGAGTGTGTATTTGGGTGTGCAACGTGCACGCATTGTACTCACGAACACCGATCGTTCTCACGAACACCGCGTCCATAGACTTCGGATTAGACTGATTTGGGTGCCTAAAGCGGTTCTCCAGATAAATCACAATAAATTATCACGTTTTTCCGTTCAGGAATTTGGTTCATTCAGCAATTTAAAGGATTATCTGAAATTTGACTGCAGCAGCTATGAGCTCCATAGGTTGAGATTCCTTTGGAAATGGTTTGCATTTTGCCAGTATGAAGGGTGATTAGTGTGATTTTTTGGGCATTCTATATTTTCATTCAAAAATATGCAAAGTTGAAACAGCCCTTCGGAATGGGCAGGGTTTCATTAGAATCATGGCCCTGGGATGCCAAAAATCAACATCAATGGCATGGATTGCAAGGGAAAATCTGCAGGTAAACGATGTTTTCAACCTACAAATAGAATAAATAGAGAGGTATCCTGCAACATGTCCACCAAGAGTTTGTCTCACACCACCCTAGGAGGCGGTGGATGATGCCTTACGCGCCCTGCAGTTGCCGATCAGAGAGGCGTGGATCGAGCTGACCCGGCGTTTGGGGTCGCACTTGGAACGTCGCCACCCGCCTTGGTACCACATTCTAGGTGCTCCCCTCAGAGCATTAAATTAATGCCAATCATTAGTGGACGTTCTTTCTGTGCACGTAGAAGGTGGGTAAAATAATGTTCTAACATGTTTTGACTGACTTTGACATCTCTGGCTGCAAATGAAAACCGTTTTTTCAAAACACGTTCTAAGTGATTGTCCGTCCCGATATATCATGGGGGTTCATGGGAGAACCAACCCCAACCAGGTGCCCCAAGGAGGGAATGTTAATTACAGTGTAACTACAGTAATCACTGGGTTTTCACGGGCCTTTTTCTTGGACAAAGCCGCAAGTACGCGGCCGAGATAGAAATACTATGATTTCTCAGCATGATTTTCCAAGGTTTTCCGAGGTTTTCCTCATGGATCAACCCATCCCAACTCCGCCACTCAGGTGGTGGGTGCAGTGCCTGCCGGTGTAATGCACTGCAAGACACTTGGTTTGGTGACAACCGGCTCCATCAAGGAAGCCTGGCGGGGGGTTTTAGCTGTGTTTGATATTTTCAAGTGCTGTTTGGGGTTGATGTGCCTGATGTTTTTAAAATGTACTTCAGGATATTTTAATTGTTCTGTTGTGTTTCTTTAGTTATTTGCAGTGTTCCGATGATGTGTCCTGATTTGAGGGAGCTTGGAACTGCTAGACTGGCCGCCCAAAAAGAGCGACAGATATGATGGGCCTCTAATGCCTTCCATGGCTGACGGGTATGAGATATGGAGGAAACATGTGAGTCACGGTCAAAACGCTTGAAGACCGCTTTAGTATTGCAGGAGTTTTTTGTCAGAGATGTGCACGAAACACTGTAAAGCAATAGGGCCACCCAAAAGCGATAACCTGGGGCCATACACGACAGTCCATCGAACTTGGCGTAAGCCAAGCAAATACTGTTATGCACATTTTCAGAATGGGCAAAACCGATGAGAGAAATTCAACCTGTGGTGCCCTCTTTCCTGCAGTTAACATATCATTTGGCATCGAACTCGCTCTCTTTCTTTCTTTTGTTCGTTCTTTCTTTCTTCCTTTCTTTCTTTCTTCCTTTCTTTCTTTCTTTATGTATTTCTTTCTTTTTTTTCTTCTCTCTCTCTCTCTCTCTCGGTTTCTCTCTCTCTCTCTCTCACCCTGTCGTTTTTGTGGCAAATTTACTTCCAACAATGTCATACGCCCGAGGGGTTATTTAGCGGTAACTTAGCGATAACCATTTGTTGCACTCGGCCCCCTGGCCAAGCCATAGGGCCATTTCCATAACTTTAGAAAGGAAATGAAAGGACGTGAATCCAAAAAGAAAGGAAAATGCATGCAAATGAAAGGAAGATGAAAGAACATGAATGCAGATCGGAATGAAATGAAAGGAATATGAAAGGAAAATGGAGGGAAATGAACACAAATGAAAGGAACATGAAAGGAGAATGAATGGAAAATGACAGGACATGAATGCAAAATGAAAGGACTATGCATGCAAATGAAAGGAAAATGAAGGAAAATGCATGCAAATGAATGCAAAATTACAGGAACATGAATTGTTGCCGAAGCACCTGAAACCAACAAAACAACTCCTCGATCCATTTCCGAGCCTGTTTAGGAATGGATTTTGGCTTCATGTTGGATCTCGAATATGCTGATTTCCACAAAACCCTGGGAAGCGGTAGGGCCCCCCAAAAGTGACAACCATAACAATAGCAACTACTCACATGTATGTAAAGGATTTTGACGGGAGCTCATGTGATGAGATGTGCCAGTTATCCCGGGTTTTGTTCCAGGAATCGGTCAACTGCAAACAGCATCTTTTTTGGTACTTGAAAATGTTCTCAGGGCACTGGCAGTTGATCAAGGCGACCCCGGAGCCAAGGAGTATTCAATGTCTAGTCGATGGTTTCAACATGTATGGCTCGCCACCAATTTGAGGATCTTATTGCTTGAGGATTGGTGACTGAATCGCCATACCAGCTATATTTCCCATATTTTCTCCAACCTGGAGGGTCTTGAGACACAGGAGGATGAAAAACAGCTCCTTGCTGTGGCCGTATTGAGTGCCTTCGTCAAGAAGTGGCTCACTGGGTTTGTTCGAGTGTTAAGTATCCTGTAAGAACAATAAGTCATGCTCATTTGGAGTTTGCTACATGCACATCGGTATACCCAGATGCGCAATGATGTGAAAAAACAAAATGGCTTACTGCGGACTGTTTGTGTTTCGAAATTGGGCTTACGACAGTAGATGTTTCTTTTCCTGTGCCATTCTTCCAGCCTTGTTATATGCAGGGAGTTTTCTGCATACTTTTCTATCGTCAGATACTAAATACTCAGAGTTGGGCGCATTCCTTGATCTATAATCTGGGAGAGTCCAGGAAATTATTTTTGGGTGGGGTGTGGTATGGTGGGGTGTTGAGAGGCTTTAACTTTCGATTCATTTATATAATACAACCCATGTTCACAACACTCCACTTCTTCTTGGGCAGAACATAATAAACCGTTTTGTGTTGTGGAAGGCCTTTTGTCTAGCTAATCGTTCCTCCAAATTGTCGCTTTCTTAGTTTAATTTTCTGTGATATGCTGCGATTCAATCACCATGTGTGTGAGCAAAATTCCCATGGTTCAATCCCGTTGTAATCATTTCTCAGGGTTCAACGCCCCATGCTGGATTATTGTGGCCGTGCACTTAGATTTTCAGTGTGGGTTATATAGATTGATTTACCACTCACTATCTACCATTGAAAGTTCAACCAACTTAGCAGTTGATCAACAGCTTCCACCAAGGTCAGTCGTAAATGTTATGTCGCTTATCATTGCTTATCGGCTTATCAGCCATCGTTGACACCAACAATAATGGCTTGTTGTAATCACCCATTATTGGATACCATTTAGGGGGATGCCAAATACTAACTTGTTAGGGATAGCTACTAACCCAGGTCCATGGCTCTGCGCCCCACTCATCTGGCTGGCGTATAAGTTGCAACATGGTCTGGCAGCAAGAAATTCCCAGCTGAAATCGAGGTGTTGGCTCCCAGCTCTCCTTGACCAAGACGGCCAAGGCAGGTGTTGTTTTTCTCTTATGAGGAGGTTTCCTTCATCCATTTTTCCCAAACAGTGTGTCCACTCTGAGGGGTTCTTACGGTAGGAGGTAAGGCCGGAGTTAGTTCAGGGTGGCGGTGTTTTTCAGGTAAATTTTGGCATAACATGGCTCTTGTGAATTTGTGAGGTGTCCATGTGCATTTCGACTGCCGAGCGGCATTTCTCCTGTAGATTCTCGCATCAAATGGCTCTTCAGACATGTCCATGTGCATTTTGACCGCGCAGGCTCGCACAAACTGCGCGTCCGCGCGTCCCGATCTTGAGACTTTCTGGCGATCATGGGGCGCGGCATTTTTCCTGCAACTTCTCGCTTAAAATGGCTCTTGTTACACGATTTACATGTCCATTTACATTTCAGTTGCGTAGGCTCGCACACAACAAGGGTCCCGCCCTTGGGGCGCGGCATTTGTCCTGCAAATGTTCGCATAAATGGCTCTTGTCACATGCCCCTTCGACTGCGCGGGCTTGCACAAAGTGTGCGTTGCAGGGTTCTCAGGCTCTTGCAGCATTTTTATTGTAAATTCTCGCATAAACGAGCTCTTGTGGAGGTCCTGCCAAATTCCTGCTTACAGGTCCTTGCATGATCCTGAACAGGTCCTTATCAGAAGATCTTGTGGAGATCCTGGCTTGGAAGAAGATCTTGCAGATGCTATGCTCTTGGGAGGTTATTGCATCAAGATTTTGAAAGATCCGGCTAGGTGTCCTTAAGATCTTGTGGTGATCCTGTTACATAATCCTCTTCAAGAGGTCCTTGCATTAAGATCTTGAAGATCCTCTGCGTTGAATTGGTGCTTGTATGAAAATTCTTCTGGGATGCTGATAGGAGATTTTTGTTTCAGATTTTGCGAGCTTTTTCTTAGATATATATAGGCGGTACTGCTGCTGCAGGTGCGATCATGTCTAACTTCGTCTGTTACTGTTCCATACCTATTGTTGCTTGTATTTGGTACATTCACTTTCTACCCCCCACACTGTTTGGGGTCTCTTGCCAGTGTACTTTTTTGGATTTTCCATGAAATGCACCATTGAGCTTTGGGGATCCCCCATTTCCAGTGCCTGGAACGTGACGCAGGCCTTGGGCTGGTCGCAGGTCCGCTTGGCCAAGCGCCGGGACCTGCCGGCGCTCTTTGGCTTCGAGGTCGAGTTGTGGATGGGTCTGGACCTATGTGGTAAAACCAATCGTACACAAGACTACCATTTGGGGATGGTTATACCAGCCATTTCTGATGATACGGGGATTTTGTTTGAAGGTGTGAGCACAGTAATACCATATTTTAGAAAATCAATATTCAGAAGTTCCAGCTGTTTTGATCTGAACAGAAGCTGCTAGGGGATTGACACAGTTTTGTCTTACTGGCTGTTCATGTTTATGTCCATGTTGTTGTTGTTGTTGTTGGTTGTTGTTGTTGGTTGTTGGTTGTTGGTTGTTGGTTGTTGGTTGTTGGTTGTTGTTGTTGTTGTTGGTGGTTGTTGGTTGTTGGTTGTTGGTTGTTGGTTGTTGGTTGTTGGTTGTTCGTTGTTGGTTGTTGGTTGTTGGTTGTTGGTTGTTGGTTGTTGTTGTTGTTGTTGTTGTTGTGGTTGTTGGTTGTTGGTTGTTGGTTGTTGGTTGTTGTTGTTGTTTATTATTAAAGGTATTCTAGCCAATGGTCCATTTTCATTCCTCACCACCTATATAGACACCTATGGATTCCCAGAATTGGTTGAATTGAAGGAAAGAGTCGGAAGAAACCTTCAACCAGTTCTTGGGATCCCCAAGTGTCACACCCTGGAAATGTCAACAAGTGATATACCAAACTAGCCTCTCCATTCCATTCTTCTCGAAAGGATACGTAATGCATATATATATATACTGTACTAATAAATAGATAGACAAATACAGTATATGTATAATTATGTAATTAATTATAATTATATATACATATACATACATGTGTGTGTGTGCGTTTATGCCCGTGATGTGTGTGCCTGTGTCTATAAATGCGCGTGCGTTTTTTTGCACAACGTCGGGACTTGCAGGACGATCGGGGAATATCCCTGAGGCACCATGAAATGTTTTGCCATCATTGATTCCAGCATCCAACTGGCCGACTGGCCGTGCTTCATGGAGCACAATTATAGTGGCAATTGAAAGTCCACCACTTGTTATACTATAGATGATTTTCCCATTAAAGTTAAAATATCCGTTTGCTGCGGGGAATTCATGGGATTTCTCAGTTTGCCATGTTTGATTGCCAGAGGGCATACCACTTTTGCAAAACCATAGCATTCATCAAATCTTCCGATGACCTGCTGCCAGGTTGGTGGAATGGGCAACCTGGCCACAAGCAAAACATCCTGGACTAAGAACCCATTAATGTTACCATATTTGTTGCACCAACGTTTACCCAAAACAACAATGACATCTTCAGTTTTGAAAGATGAGCAAAATCAAAATGAAACCGCACTAATCACTAATCAAAGAATGGGTCTGTATTCATTTTGTTCTTAGTTTCTGATGACTCTTATCATCAAGATTTTTTGGGGAAGTGCAAAAAAGTACTGTACAGCGAAAATGATGCCATTGGGGGAAGATAGAAGGGTTCGATTTCTTACCTTTTTTTTGTTCGACTGCTGTGTTCATTTGTAGGTCAGGTAGTTCCTGCAGCAATAGTATTTTCTTAAGTACCACAAAGAAATTGTGTATAATTCTGTACGATGGTCTCCGGGTCCGTTTGAAGAAGATCATCGTCTGCAGATAGATGTGCTCGGAAAGATGGTTTTATGTCGCGGAAAATTGATATTTGGAGAGAGAGAGAGAGAGATTTATGTATATAATTGGTATTTATGTGAAGGAACATGAAGGAACCCTGGAACAATTTAGACAGTAAGGCAACAGGACCCGATTCCCGCTGATGTGATTGTTTTTTCATAGCAGACATGTTTTTTGTGGGTTTTCAGCGGCATGAAGTTATCGCATAGAATGCTTGTTTGATAGAGAGGCAATTTCGCTTGCAAGTTTTGCTTTTGACCTGATTTTCATCCTGGTTTGAGAGCACCAATCCAGTTGGTTATATAGTTTTTGTTTTTTTCAGGTGTTCAAAACCACAAGCCAGCCCACAGTCAAAGTCGTGATTGCTTGACTGAGAGCGACCTACAAAGGGTATACCATTGTATAGCATAGCGGGCCCCCACATGATTGTGAAGTTGTTTGCAGGATGTTAGAAATTGCCGCCTCATACTTTACACGTTCCTGACTGTTCCATCTATTTTGGGTTTGCTACATTGAATCTCTCTTTCCTGTTACAATCATTTGATTACACTATGTAAATTTAAAGATTTGATAGGATATCACAACATATATATATATACATAAATATGTGCGTGTGTTCATTTTATTGTACATGTATACCTCATGCACCATGCAGACCCTGTTTAATCCCAGCTTCTGACAGTTTTTGGGCGGGTTTAGTCAGTCTATGGTCAGTAAATGAGACAATCCACGGCGCCCAGGCCCCTTGGGGCTCCGCACAGCTTGCCCCTTGCTGCTGGATGAGACGATGTCAGAGGCGGAGGTCGACACGGTTCACGGTTATGATCTTGTTTTAGAGATGGGTTTGTCTGAAAGGGGGATACCCACAAATAGCGATCTTAATGGGGAAAATAAGGAGAATCCACTGGAAGATGGGGTACCTATTTTCAGACACACCCAGATGGTTAGCCCCTGGTGATCCTTGATGAAAAAAATCACATAGATGTGGAAAGCATTTTTTGTCCGGAAAATAATCTACATTCATGGAGGGTTTTCCACATCGAACGCTTAGTTTACAGGAGGGTAATCCCTGGTAATCCTTGATGAATACTTGATCCCTGGTTCTAATGGTCATATCATATCATATCTCCATGATATATCCTACATTTATCCCGACTCTTCGGTAATCAAACATGGTTTGCTGCAAACTAACTTGTTTGATGACCGGTGGTTACAAAGACTGGCCTGGCTAAATATGTGACCGTAATATTACCTAAATGTGCTATAAATGTATGATTGTGTGTACAGATGCCTTCACTTGTGATGCTTACGTGGAAAACATTAGGAAACATTGATGGAAGACGTGCACAACAAATCGGCAGGCCAAAGACTGGAATTTAGGATAAAATCAGCAACTTTGCGGTCACACTTTGGTTTCTTGGCGGTCATTTGCCTGAGCCATGAATGTATCAGAAAGTCTATCGCCCCGGTCGAAAAACCGCCCAAGGCGAAGACGGGTTGGTAGATCGAACTCTTCATTGCACGCCATCCCTATCCATTCCCATCCTTTCATGGGATGGGTCATGACCTGCAGCCAGGCTATGTTTTGTATCTCACTTGGAACCCACTTGTCCTGCTCATTGAGGTTATGTTCCAAATTTGCAGAATTGGTGTGTGCAGTTTGTTTGGCGATATTTGGAGTAAAAACCATACTTTCCAGTAGATTTTCCAGGCCTTTCCATTTTGCCCTCAGATTTTCTTTGAGACCATGGTTATCCATAGTTTTCTGATGTTTCCCGTCGATTTTCCAAGTTTTCCCAATGGAATCAGTCCATTTCCAAATGGCCCCATGACTCCCCAGGAGTTGTTGGTGGGTGGTGGAGCGCCCAATCGCGATGTGTTCGTGCCACAGGCGCTGCCGCGTCTTATGGGAAAACATGGGTTCATTTGCAAATGGAGGCAATACACACACACACATATATATATATATGTATATTTGATAAATAGGGATTTCAATGGGAAATCCTTTGCACATGGATGTTCTAACGAAAGGGGGTTTCAAGGGGAAAATATGTTTTAATACATGGGAAAATCATGGAAAAATTAGAAACTTAAATTATGAGCCAAACAATTAAACATAATATTACAAAGATCATTAAAATAATGGGCATTTGATGATGTAGTGACCAAAGATGCTTGTTAGGGACTTTTTCCAAACACCGTACAAATGGGGCCTCCATAACGTCCCTTTCTGTAATGTGTATATATATATATATGCGTATGGTTTTTAATGGGAAAAATCGATCAAATTCGATCAAAATGAAGGTGTTCATGGGAAAAACATAAAACTACATACGGGATTCTCCATGATTTTCCAAGAGGCCATCTGATTGATCAGCTCCAGATTGGTCACGTCACTCTGCCTTACCCTTTTTGTGACGGTGACCACTGATAAATTGATATAGGTTGCACACGCCGGATGTCCTTTACCTTTGCTGTTTCAGCTTTAAGCAGATCAACGATAACATGAAATGTGTCTCCAAATCTGGGGCCTCAAAAAACATAGGTTTCCCTATCAAAAGCACCTGTTTGCGGGTAAAATAGTCCGATAATTTCCGTCAAAAGATGTCAGGAGATAGATCCTATGAAATCCTCATTGAACACGTTGCAGCACGAAATCTGCGGAAGCCTGAAACTCTCATACGCGTGCCAGAAGTAGACATAAAGGTTGCCCGTCTCCAAATACCAATGTCCACCATCAAAACATATTTTCTTCAAAACAGCCTAGAATCACTACACATGTATAGAACTATATTGGCCGTTCCTTTTTTTTTCAACATGTTAATGGTTCATGAATGGTGGTTGCGTTGCAGAGCCCGAAACTCACCTGAAAACTGCCCCAATTTTTCCCCACATGGCTGCTATGGCCACCCCCGGCGAGCGCGAGCGTGTGGACGCGGCGGCGGCGGATGCGGCGCAGCGGCTGCGGGGGAAGGTCATGGCGGGGCTCAGCTGTAAGGCCGAAGAAGCCCCGGGCTTGGCTGGGCCCCTGTTGAGTAGATTTTATACTTGGTTGATGGTTGGTTGATGTTTATATTTATTTATTAATAGCATGCTTACATATGTTTACCATCAAACTATGCGAATATAAGTGGATAAAACTGATAAATGATAGTTGATGATGAGTTCGGGGGATTATGATCATCCAAGAGGATAATAATTTGAGGGTTTTAGTTTTAATGATGATTATACTTATATGATTTTAGTTAGCGGTTATACTTGGAGGATTATACTGCATTTAACCAATATATCGTTTTTTAATCCAACAGGGGAATCTCTATGAAGCCATGTTGAAAACCCCTGTTGGTTGATGATTATAGTGAGCTATACTAACCAATATTATATTGGAAGAGTTTTTAAATAATCCAATAAGAGAATACCTATTGACCGTCCAGTATAAAGGGACGACGCAGGGTTTTAAAAACTGCTCAACTGTCCAGTGGGGGGGAGCCAAGGAGCTGTAGTTGCCTTTTATCCCTTTCAAACTTTCAAACTATCATTAAATGATTTCATGGGGGGCCAAGGAGCAAACGAAAAGACTCTAAGAGTGTCCTAACCATATGATAGTTTAAGATGACTGGAAAATCTGAACTTCTCGGTGGGAAAATCTATGAAAATATAGGGTAGTCGATGATATTCAGGAATTAACCACCGACAAATGGGATGAAATTGATAGCTGGTATCGCAGTGGGATTTGTGGATATTCATACCCCCATTAACATGGTATTTATGAAGGTTTTGGTTTGAGCCTCTCTAACCATGGTTTGGAGCCCACTATCCAATTGTATAAAAAGATGATTCTATCATATATTTTCTTGACCTGCATTGGCCTAGGAAAAATATAAATTAGGAGGTTCTTCATTTTTATCCTAAAAATGAACCTCCTTTTGGTGAGTTGGTGCACCATTTTAGGCCGAGAAAATTCGCACACCCAACCATACACCCACCCCTTTGGGTTGATATTGTATTTTATTACGCTGTATCAAATTATTGTATTGAATTGTGTTATAGTGTATTTTATTTTACTATATATTGTTTTTTATTGTTTTTGCATTGTATTATATCATTTTGTATTAGGTTAAATTATATTAAGTTATATGATATCAAAATATGATATTATGTATAATTATTTTTATAGTGATATATCATCATGTTTTGTATTATAAGAAATTAAATTGCAAATGGGATATATTTAATATATCGTAGTATATTGAATTGAATTAAATTATACTCTGCTACATATATATATATATATATTAGATTGTGTTATATCAAAATATATTACATTATATTACATTGTACAATGCTACCAAGTTATCTTGTATTATGATATATTGTATTATGTCAAATTATGTGGTATCTAAATTATACAATACTAGGTTATGTCAAGTTGCAATCTGTTGTTGTATTATACTACATGTTGTTTTGTTATATTATACAAAGTTACATTGAAATTCATTATAACATAGTAACATATTTTGTTATATTATGTTATCCATATATATATATATAACTTGTACATGATTTTACCATCCAAACGTGGGATTAGACCCTTTCAACATTTTGCTTCAACGACTTCCGGATTCCGGGATTCAACCGCACCCCTACTCACCTTTTGGTCGGCTGAGCCGCCAACTCTTCCCGTATATTGGACACCACAAGTTTTAATAGATAAATCTATATATGACTTCACAATTTTCCATTGCTATGTTGAATCAACATTCCAAGTGTAGCAAAATCCAATAATTTTCCCGTTAGAATCCAAGTTTTTGCGGTGAAGGCAGGACAAAATCATGCCAAAATCCCATAGGGGTGGCACCCCTACAAGAGAAGGGAGCAGACAAGCTCCATGTTCCGATTCCATAGATGATCCACTTTCAGACTTCCCAAACTTTCCAGACTTGGTTGGAAAGCCACAGGAAACTCTAAATGCTTCAGAGTTGGTCGGTGCATCCTTCAGATTTTCCGGTTAAAAGCCAGCCCAATGAGGTTAGTTTCCCTAACTGGTGGTAGGGGCATCCGTCCAGCAGGAAGCAGAATGGCTCCTGGATGGTAACTTCCGCGCCAACGATGAGGCACAACGACCTGGCCATCCTTGGTGGATGATGCATGCATGCATACATGCATCCATCCATCCATCCATCCATACATCCATACAGCCATACATCCATACATCCATAAATCCATACATCCATACATCCATGCATCCATCTATACATGTATATATATATACACATGTAAGTAATTTTGAGCATGCATCTATTATAGAGAGATGAGAAAATTATAAAGATGAGTGAGTGATGGTATTGTTATCGTCATATTATTATATATTATCATCGTTACAATGGTAACTATTCTTGTCATTCTATGGATCTCCGACACATGATTTCACCAGAAGCTGTTCTGATCAAGCCTGAAGCACACGGAAGTTGAAGGCCCATCCAATCAAGCATCATGGTGATATGTTTGTCCTTGACATGTCTCCTTCACACAAAAACAAACTTCAATCGATATTACTGCACTTCACTGTATGCAAGATACTTGGAGAGAAAAACTATATATTTACAGTATATGCATATGTACTGTATATATATATATAGATAGATATATGTGTATTGCGTTGTACGTACATACATATATATATATATACACTATGTATACATATATATATATATATACATATCTGTGTGTGTGGCTATATGTGTGTGCATTTGTTGATGCTGCATTCCGTACTTGCATGCATCAATAACTTTAGCCTGTACCTAAAAATGGTTTTGTCCGACAATGCGCACATTTGGAGTTTTCCAGTTTTTTGACAAACCCAGGTGATTTTTGATAGTTAATCATGTGCCAATGATATTCCTACTATATCCCTTTACAATGGTTTTAGAAGTTTAAAAACCCCTAATGTTTGTAGGTTACATGATCTACCATGGTCGTTGGGGAGAAGGATGCCAACTCGGCCTCATCTCGCCAGTATATACCACATATACCCTTTGGTTCTTCGAAGGTGTAGATCATCATTTTGATCATGTTTTTAATGCGCCATGGCTTCGAGTTCGCTAAATTGTTAATCAAAGGGTATCCCACATGATCCCAAACGTACATTTATATATATACATGTGTGTATATACGTAAGATGTACATATATACATATATACATACATATATACATATATACATATTTACAAATATACATATTTACAAATATATATATATGTAAATGTAAATGCATTTGTATTTGTACATGTATGTAATGTAATGTAATGTAATGTAATGTAATGTAATGTAATGTAATGTAATGTAATGTATGTATAGATAGATAGATGTATATGTACATAGATAAATAACTGCATTTATATATATATATATAATATGTATATACAATATATATATATACATATATATACATACATATATATATATATATTTACTTATACACATATATATGTATTTATTTACACAAATACATATATATGTAGGTTTATATATATACATGTTTTTATACTTACATCTTTTAAAATATACATGTATAAATTTTGATGTATATACCTATTTATTTTTATATTTACTTAACTGTATACATATATATATATGTACACATATATATCTATACATTTCTAGTTATACTTATTTATATATACACATATAGGTATTTACATACATATAACATATATATTTACAAACATACATATAATATGTTTTTATCTACATATATATATATATATTTACATAAATGTAAACTACATGTATATGTACATATACATATATATTTATATGTACATATACAAATATATATATATATACATATACATATATATGTATACATAATATATGTTTTATGCGCACACCGCATAACCAGATTGCTGCCCTTTTGATTCCTGCAGGTTTGCAGTTCCCTACGCCTTGCGTGGGACTGCGCCGTTCGCCTGGAAGCGCAGCTGGGGGAGGCGGATCGGCCCTGGGAGCAACGCAACCGATGGCTGCAGGCGATCCCGGGGGTGTACCCTTGTACCCCAAAAAATTGCCGAAGTGATAGGGAAAATATATACTGTATAGGGAAAAAAATCTACATGTTGAGGGGGTGAAAAATGTTGAAAATGAAAAATTGAAACATGGTCTAACCGTTCATCCCATTCTTATCCCATTCCAACTTCGATTTTCACGGTCGCCCTTGTTTTCAGCTTCAAAATCCAGGACTTGTCGGCAGAGCGCGGGCTCCTGGAACAGCAGAAACAGGACCTGGAAGCAGTGCTGTTAACTGCCAAGCTCCAGGCCCTGTTGGGGTGTTGCCCCCTCCAGGTAGCTGGGAAGTACCACCAAAAATTATGTGTTTGCTTGGTGAACCAAAAAAAACATTTCTTTGTTTTGCGGAAAACTGGATCGACGAAGCTCGGAATGAATAGTCTTTATTTTTGGGGAATATTTAAAATGAATAGAAATTAGAGACTTAATGGACCAAGGGAAGTGGTTGAGGGGAAAAATTAAAACTCCCAAGAATGAGAAGCAATTAATTGGCATCACTGTTTTGAGATTTGGATTTTACGTTTGCATGTTGTTTGGATTGTCAAAAAGCCAACAGAAAAACATGGAATAAACTGTAGCCCCTTTGTTTGGTGATTAAACTTGATTTTTGACGTTTGATTGGTTCCCCGACACCGACCCCCGGCACATCTCCATTGGAGGTTCAAACCGCTTGCGCTTCTGCCACGGGCTTTCAAGCCTCCCGCTTCGCTGAGGCATGGTGAGTTGTTGAGCTGTCTGCATAAGGAGTGTTTTCAATGCCCAAAACCATGCGCTTAGGAAGAATGCACGATGGGATGTTGAGGCATATGATGTTCTCAATGTTTGTATACATGTCTGCATTGTAACAAAGGCACATTTATTCTTTGATTTGTTTCATTGCAGCCTGCTAGTGTCTATTGAATGTTGATGCGCGTCGAAGCAAGTGACATCGAGTGACATGTTGTGATTATGGTACGTGTTAGATGTATAGGCAGTTCCCTCTATTGACAACTGCCAACACTCCAAAAAGGTTGGATGCGTTCGTTTTGGAAGGATCGCCCCCCACTTACAATGTGGACGCAACACGATGCATTTAATGATTGTAATATTCAACATTCCTGGCTAATGATCTCAAATAAACTGGCCCTTCGTCTAATTTACAACTGGGTTAGCACCCCGCCTTCTTTGGGTCAACCTTGACTGCACACTAATATTTCAAACGTACCCTCCAAAAATGGCAATGGAGAATCCCGCCTGTATATATGAGATTCCCGTTAAAACCTCCGTTTATGGCGGGGTTCCCAGCTAGCCGTGTGTGATTACTGGAGGTCTTAGAGGCAAACGTCGCCTTTCGCCAGCGATGCGATGAGCTCGGGCACCTTGGCCCCGAGAGCGCAGGAAGCAGTGAAAGGAATGCCTGGCAAGTGTAGCAAATATGTAAGGACCATTCCATGTTTTTTTTGCTGGAAAAACACGACAAATCGGGAGTAATTGTGAATTTGCTTCGGGGGGTGGAAAAAGCAAATCCAAGAGGAATGTCTCAGAGCTACCGTCAACCTAAAACCATTGAACTTCCCCCTTTCAGAGGCGAGAAGCTCCTGAAGTCAACCACAGAAGTCTGGGAGATATGTCCCAGTTGCTTTCCAGCCTTTGAAAACTTACCCTTCGTCATTTGGCAAAAGCTGAATGGACACTGGGCAGATCATGACTATGACTACAACTTCCTGTTCTTCCTGTTATCATATATACTGCATTTTCCCATCATTTCTTGATTTTGGCACAGCATACTTCAGCATGCCCAAGGGAATGTTTTTTGACAATCTCAAACAGAAGCAAGTTTGCGAAGTGCCCATTTCATTTGCAAGAGGCATTGTCATAGTTTCCCCAAAAATGTGCTCCGGGCAGCCACTTCAGGAAAGACACATATTTATATATTTATATACATATATATATATGACAGGTTGAATTCCAAATTGTCATTGTTCAATCCCCGCTGATGTCCATGAAATATCAACAAATCATGCGTAGATGAATAGGCGCACAAATGAGTAAATATGAAACTATATAATTATTATAGATATAGATATGTAGATTATTATGTTTTAAAGAGATTGTAGATATCATATATATATATTCAAATATTGCACATATATGTCCCGTACCAATCCTACATTGTCAACTGGCCGGTGGTTCTTCCAAATCTCTGCAGCCGCACTTTTTCCTGCTAGGAACCAGTTGGAGGCGGTTGTGCACTCCGCGCGTCGCAGCCTGCGACTGCCACTGGACGGCTCGGGAGTTGACCCTTTGGACCTTTCAAAGAAATGATCATGAATTCAATGGGAAGTTCAGGATAACATGGAGTTACTGTACCATATTTGCGGCCTTACATGGATTTATTTGGTAGGTACTTCAAATTTAGGTTCCCGAAATGGCCATTGATGAATTGCGACAGCATAATGATAAGGTCGTTGAACCAACAAAGAAAACAGGGACGAACATGTGGAAAAACAACCAATGCGAGACTTAATTACCATGAACAATTGCGAAAATTGGAAACATAGTGATGGGATGGCGATACAACCAACCATGTTATGATTTGAGCATGGCTGAACATGGGCTATACTGTACTCCCTAAAAAATCCATGTGATGGGGAAAATGGTAATAAACCATGGGATTTGAGGGGGTACCCTATCTTCAGACACACCCATATGATGAGTTATGTATGAACGATGTTTTAATTGATGCACACAGATTTTTATTTCCAGAACATAATCCCAAATGCATCCATATCCTCTATCGTATGGAATAGTTGCCATGTCTCCCAAAAGAGACCCAAATGTATATAGGCACATTTGCCACCCGCGGAGCATTTGGAAATTATTGGTTAAGGGATGTTAAGGAAACTAGCAAGTGACAGAAAGACAAAAAGTGGAGGCAGGATGAGACATGGCCAACAACAAGCACAAGAAAGAAGAGGAGCAATAGCCAGCCATGGAAATCAAACATATGCCAACATAAAGCGACAAAAAGGGAAAGGCATAGCCAAAGAGAGGGAAACTACACCCAAACAATGAAGGTGCAAAAGCCAGCAAACATGGAGCATATATTATATATAATTGTCGGTCGGTGCAGAAATCCAAAAGAACCGTTTTGCATCGTTTTGCAATGATACCCGAAAGAATGGTTTTGCCATGACCATGTATGTGTGTGTTTTTCATGCGGGTTCGCATGCGGAAAAAATAATCCATTGCAGAAAGTCAGAAAGAGTAGTGCTTGAATGAATGGATTGTCACCATCGGGGTGCAAAATGTTCTGAGTAAGCAGGCCTAAAAAAGAATAGAGGGGACGGAATGCATGTACCAATATGATTCAAAATGTTCGAATCAGTTTTGGATTGGAGATCTACAAGCATCTACAAGCTGGTGCCCCACTCGGATCAGCTTGATTGCCCCCGCTTGGGGGTTGAGACATTGAGTTGCCACTAATCCCCCAATTTCCCATTGCTCCAGGTTGGGTGAACGGCCTGATGTGCGACCGGAATCAGAGGCTAATGCTTCTCACTTTGGGTGGCCCTCACTAGCCTGTGCTATCCTGTGGTTGTGAATCAGGAATGGGATGCACATGGGATGCACCACCAGATTTGCAGTCATACTTCCAGGAACTGCGCTTCTAACCAACTAGGATTTCCGAATCCCTCCTTGGCTACGACAGAGTGCCCTGAAGTCGCTTACAAATACTACAGTCTACAGGATGCCAGAATGGGGGAAGCCTTACTGGAACGCCCATATTGTGATAGTGGAAGCCATGTTTTCCTGTATCAAATGGGTTTTGTCTGAAAATGGTGCGTACCCAAAAAGTCCCAATTTCATGATAAAACGGTTCGGTTCTGCGGTTTTGGATTCATTTTTGAAACGGTTCTACGGTTCCACGGTTCCAATTGTTTTATTATTTGCTGTTCGGTTCGGTTCGAAAATGTGGACATGATGTCAATCATGTGATAATCAGAATTTGGTGTAATTACTCCATTTTAAGGCACCCCAAATGCCAAAAATCCAGCCAGATCGCTGCAGGCTGCTGGCATGGCACGCCGCTGGCGCTTGGAATTTGATGCTGCCAGCGATGTGGCAGAAGCCATGTTGAGATCCCTTAGGCCTGTGGTAACGGCGCCTGTTGTGTACATCCCAGCCATCGTATCCGCGGGTAGTAGTAATCAACATATCGTACGCCCGCCATATATATATATATAATCAGTTTTTTGTGCATATATTTATATATATATATATGTGTATATATATATATATTTATATGTATGTAATGTAATGTAATGTAACGTAACGTAACGTAACATTACGTTACGTTATGTTATGTTATGTTGTGTTATGTATGTATGGATGTATGTATGTATGTATGTATGTAAGTGTGTGTGTGGGGGCTATGCAATGACAAGGTACATAGGGGTTTAAGAGCTTATAAACCACTCAACTGCGATGCACATCCAAATGGCATTGTTTTGAGGTTTTAACACTGGATAAGCCGACTGGTGAATGATGTCCCCGGCAAGAAGATAGAAAAATGTGATAGCATCCAGGAATGTAGGATTATGTAACATGTAGGTATGTGCTATGGATGCATTGGGCCCAAAATATGACCAGATCCAACACCAAAATCTTCAACATTGAAAACATTGAACACATTGATTTGATTGAAAGCACGTTGAAACACATTGAAAGCATCGAAGACGTTGAACAACCAGAATCTGGAGTGCTGGCCAAGAGGCGACAAATGATACTCAAATCATCAGGGACTGTTCAACCCCCAAGGCATCCAGCCGCTTGGGTCACCATGTCAGATCCAGCCGTAGGCATCCAGAAGCTGCTTCTGGTGTTGCTTCTAGCTCTCTGGAGCGCGTCGGATGTTGATATGCCTCCACTTACCACATTTTGCAGCCCAGTTTGCGAACTCAAGAAACTGAATGGCACCAGAAGGCAAACGCACATGAATCCAAAACTGCTCAGTTAGAACAGTGGGTTGTTTGGTTTTTTGGGGGGATCCCGGGAAAAGAGCCTGTGCATTCACCACCATGAGAATCACAAAATGGGGTTGAAGAAAAACTTGCACATTCCCAACGATCTAGATGGTCAAAAGACTTCTGGGTTCCGCTCAATTTGGCCTAGAAAAACAAGAATCAGAATCAGACCCAATATTTGTCCATAAACACCAGCATGATCCTAGTGAAGGCTCATATAAGACTCTCTGATGAAGGCTGGTCCTGGAATTTGTCATTGATGGTGAGGTAAATATTAACTACTGATGATATTGGTTTATATTGGTTTATAACTGGTCGCCCCCCCCAACAAAAAGGTAACCAGTGTACTATGTATACTTTTCGATCTCATAGCGTATAATTGTATAATTACTGCAATACCCTTTGCAGTAGCCCCAAATTAAGGTAGACCCTGGCATCAGTCGGGCTTTGGAAGTTTCCACTCAAAGTTGACCGTTTTCAGGGGTCAAACGTTTGTAAACTAACAGTTCGATGTGGTAAACCCACCACTTGCAGATCATTTCGATCGAAAAACTATTTCTTTTCCACATCTTTGTGAGTTTATCCTAGGGTAACCACTGTACTGCGGTAAACCCAATAATAAACCATCCCGAAAATCCATGAAAATCCTCATATGTTGATTTCTTTGGAAAAAAAGATCACGCATCCTCAAGTTTGGTAGGTTTATGGCATTGGGTTTCCCACACTTCATACCCTTTGCACTAATCCCATCCCCCTAATATTAAACACTCCCATTCTATGGTCCCAATTATACGTATGGCGATTCTGAGGTTCCCTACATCCACCATGGTTTCACAGGGGTGTTTAAAACGAATGCCACATGGCATTCGTTGTTGAAAATGATCAGAATCATAAACTATATCAGAAACATGTTTAATAACATTCACTAGGTATATGCATATATGATATATACATATATATATATATACATTAAGAAACATTTAAGAAACGATATTCTTAAACGATGATCCCCGCTCGTTTTTTTTTAAAGGAGCACGCTTTGGACCAGACCTGGCGCTTCTTGTTGGAACTCGTGGGTCTCTTTGAGCGCCTGGACGCCGAGGAGGCGGAGGCCGAGGCGGAGACTGGGTGTAACCATGGTGAATGGTGGGTTATACTGGATTTAATGGATGGATAAAAGGGTGGCTTAGATGTTAATGATGTATATATATTAATATATATATATATATAGTGATTTAATGGTGTAACCATGTAATGGTCAATGATGGCTCATAGATGCGAATTTTATTACATGTTATAGGATGATGGTTAAATAATTAATGGATGATATTGCTTAAGAAACATATTATAGTCTTTATATGTATTTGTGTAAATTATGGTTATGAATGGATGCAACAATGGGATTCTAACCCCCACAAGTTGGTATATGGAGCGGTTGGATCGGATGACTGAAACCTGGGCAAAGAAGGCGAAACCCCGAGTTCATTTGCTGCTAAGGACACTTTGAGGGAGCGCTTGGAAGCAGTATTGCCACAACTCTTGGAACCTTGAATCAGTGCAGTGGGATCATGTGATACCATCCGTAAAGCCGAAGAAAGGTGCGTTTCTGTCATGAGCAGTTTTTTGTGGCACAAGATCGCTCCTGAAAGCACCAAGTTTGCTTAATTGCTCCTGCGGATACATGTGGTGGTCATATACTGTGAATTACATAATATATATATATATATATATATCCCAACCTTTAGAGTAGATGCTAAAAGATAACATACATTTATACAAACAATAATGTGGATGTAAGTTTTTCGCAGGTTGAAGTCTCATGTTTGTTGGTTCACTCTTTGATTTTTGGTGATTAAAACATGTTGAAACTTTGGTTAGTGAAATCACGTATGATTATATCTAAATATATATATATATATATGTATGTATGTGTGTGTGCTTGTTTGTCCGTGAATGCTTTCCACGTTCAACAGTCGCATTTTTGTTGTTAAATTGTTGAGGAGTTAGTACTCTGAAACCAAGGTGTTTTCTCATTAAATCAGATTCTATCCCAAGTATTTACTGCGGACATCCCACCATATCAACCCCGAAAAAGATACTCGTAGAAAAGCAATTTCCGACCAAAGTAGTAAAGTAGCACACCTTACTTCTTTTTTTGGGGCGGTTGCATGGGTTACTTACAATATACTAATGTTGTGCAATTCCATTCACCACGCCCAGGAATGCAAGTTGCAGGTGCAAGACTCTGCTGCCAAGCAGCAGCCCCTGGAGGTTCAGAGCTGCATGGAGGCTTTGACACAAGCACGTCGCTTGGTGGAAGGGAGGCCAGAGGACAAACACACTGGGGAAATTCTCGGGAGGACGTCAAAGACAAACCTAATTTTCATCATGTGTTTTCTATGTTTTCTTGGTAGGTTTTGAGATGGTTTTTTGATAATTATTGTGTGACGCTTTGGTGGCTTTCATCTTAGTCTTTTGTTGGGGGTCTTTGAACCCGAGAACTGGTGTGTTTCTTTAAAACGTGTGGGATGAGACCATGGTTTGTCTCCTGGGGAGGGGGAACTACGGCTGCACATGTCAATTAAGGTAGCTGTCAACAGATGGCCTGGAAATATTTGACAGATGCTCGGTCACAGAATGTGCTGCTAAGGTTCGATGTTCCTGAACAAGTTGACAGGTGCCATCATTTCCATGTTTTTCAAGGTAGGGAAGATCAACAATGTGGGCAACCCAACCAAAAAACTACCACTTAGGATGGTTTATACAAGCCATTGATGATGATTTTATATGATTTTATGCCATTTGGGGGATGTTTTGTTCTTGGGTTTGTTACATCAATTCAATCCCGATGGTCAAAAATTACCCCATTTTTGTTGACAACGATGTCTTCCAGAATTGTCGCCAGCATGACCAGCATGTGGCTCGTACTTCGCTTGTGGCGGTAAGATGCGCCAATCGCTTGTGGCAGTAAGATTGTTCATTTTTTGACTGCCGCAAGTGATTTTGTGTAACTGCCGCCGGTGATTGCTGTTTTTGCGTGGCAGGTGCAGCATTTCAAGGCCTAATCGCTTGTGGCGGTAAGATCGCGGTTTCGTTTTTTAAAGCGCTTGTGGCGGTAAAAATCTGTCGCTTGTGGCGGTAAGTGGGTGTCCTTGATGCCAGGGTATATAAAACCAATCGCTTGTGGCAGTAAGATGCTTTGCAGCACTTGCGCACATACTTATCTTCTATCAATGTGATTTCTACACATTCACTGGAACCATTGCAACGCTGACGTACAGGAGGTTTACGTTAACTTTTTTCTGTTGTACAAGATTTCCCTGCTTTTAGTGATTTCTTGATTGGAATTCAGATCATGTCTGTATTCTTTAAAGAGGATCTAAGAAAGAGGGTTGGAGTAACTTTTTAGGGGGCTATTTGACTCGGTTACCATAGGTAAAACATATGGCTTTTGATTGCATTTGGTGTGAATCCAACCCAGAGAGAATGAATGAAAGGAGAAAAAGGAAGACCGACTTTTATCCAGGTGGAATTTCAGCTCTGCTGTCTTTTTCATGTCTTTTCGTTTTGCATTTGGGTATATATAATGCGACGGTTGCTATATTGGTTATAGATACCGTGGCAATAGCCTCACGTTAGGATTTACATAGAACGGCGCGACCGCGACTAGATTTGTAGCTGTTAAGCGAACGTGTATTTCCATGGAAGGGTTGAAGGCTTCGGGTGGAAACTTTACTTACATAGCTAGCACATCATCATTAACTTTCTCCTCCTCCTCCTCCTCATCATCATCATCATCATCGTCATCATGATCATTTTCCTCCTCAACATCATCATCAACAACATCATCATCATCAGATTCATCATCACCATCATCATCACCATCATCATCATCATTCTCATCCTCCTCCCTCCTCCTTTTTGCCGTCATCATCATCATCATTATCATCATCATCATCAGCTTCATCATCATCATCATCATCATCATCCCCACCCCACCCCACCCCACCCTACCCCACCTCACCCCACCAGTAACTGATGATGAAAGAGCAGTGCCTGTTGCTGTGCCTGTGTGTGTACAAAACATGAACGTTATTATCCCACCCCAAACCAAGCCCACCCCACCCCACCCCTAACTGATGATGAAAGAGCTGTGCCTGTGTCTGCAGGACAGCAAGAAAAGATGATGAGTTTGCCGTGCCTGTGTGTGTACAAAACATGAACGTTATTTTCCCACCCCACCCCACCTCACCCCACCCCACCGGTAACGGATGATGAAAGAGCAGTGCCTGTGTCGGCAGGACAACAAGAAAGATGATGAGTTTGCCGTGCCTGTGTGTGTACAGGAACATGAACGTTATTACCCCACCCCAACCCCACCCCACCCCACCCCACACGAGCAGTAACTGATGATGAAAGAGCAGCGCCTGCTGCCGTGCCTGTGTGTGTGTGTACAGGAACATGAACGTTATTATCCCACCCCACCCCACCCCACTCCACCCCACCCCCGCAGTAACACGAACGTTCCGGAATCTTTCTGCCGCAAGTGGTTGGCTTTGAATTGTCTTACCAGAGTCTTACTGCCGCAAGTGATTGAGTCTTATTGCCGCAAGTGACGGAAAATCTTACTGCCGCAAGTGATCGAATCTTACTGCCGCAAGTGACGGTAGAGCCCAGCAGGTGGAGTTGTCCATCGCCGGGTTGAAGCACTCAAGCCATCTCAAGCCAAAACCCTGATGAAATCTCAACTCTCTCTATGCTTAAATCATCTTGAATCCAGATGTTCGATGCTAAAATTCGCAATGATCCGCATTTTTGTTGGTGAATTCGAATTCCTCTTTGATTCAACCCCATCCTGCCTCTCAGTCCAACAGCATCGACCTGAGCCACGTGGTGCCAACGAAGTTCGCCGAGGACTGGCTGGGAAATCCCCGAACTCAGTGGAGCTTTCTAGCTGCAAAAAAGCATCGAACTCACGTGTGGATTTTCCAGGCCATGGAGATTACTGAAGGGTGGCTAACTGAAGGGTGGCTATATCATCCGTTGAAATCCATTGAACAGAATTATAACGTCTGTTTTTTTGGCATTTAGCATTGTTCACAGCAATTTCACCCATTTCCTGCAGACCTAGGGTGACGTTCAGCAGGAGATGCTACCGCACCCCGCGGCTTTCGGCCCAGCAGCCGGTCCCCTGGGAGAGGGGGAGGATTTCCCTCCGGTGCTGCGGCTGCTGACCTACAACCTGTTTTTGAGGCATCGATGCGCTTAACCACTGGTTGATTAATGGTGCCCCCCAAGAAACACTAGGCAGATGATACGAAATACCCTACCAAACTACTACTGGAGGGTGAGTTGTTTTGGACATTGGGGGAATTTGGGGCAGAGAAGTTGGATGTCTAAGGGCAGCAACAAACATGGGGAGTATTGGAACCAATCATGGGGACATGCAAGCAATATCAAGCAATCTAATGGAGGCATTTTTGGATGGAGATTCCTGACTTAATGATTGCGAAGGAGAGACACTGCATATTAGAGCTCAGCGTCAGGACCCAAATCAGCTGGGGCATTCCTGTAGGCATGTCTACGTCGTTACATGCTACTGTACACATAGATTCTAGGACATATGATATATGTATAAATAAATTATATCTATGTTGTGCTTTCAAGTGTATATATATATAATGTAATTCTATTTGCGTGTTGTTCATCCAATATTCTACTATAGCTATCCCATTGAAGAAGATATTGCTACTCGTTTTGTCATATTATATAAATCAATAATTAATGAATAATTAATGTAAACCCCGGATTAATAACCCCCCCTCCTCCCTTCCCCCCTCCCCCCCTATAGGTCAACAAGGTCAACAAGGTCCAGTCAGGGAGTCAAAAAACGCAACCTCCCGAAATAATGTTCCTTTCATTCATCCAAGAACCAATGTTGCTGGAATTAGCTTGCAAATAAGCACCGATGGAGCGTCAATTCTATGATGGGAATTAGCTGCATAGTAGCATCCATGAGGTATCAAATTTGATAAACTCAGTTATGAATTAGCATCCATGAAGGGTTGAATGGCTTGAATTTGGAGGGAATTAGTTGGAAATGACAATCACTAAGGCATGAGTTTAAATGGAAACAGCTGCGTCGTAGCACCCATGAAGGGATCAATTTTGATGAAATTGGCTGGACAGTGGCCTCCATGAGGGGTTCGTATTGTTGAAATTAGCTTCGCATTAGCATTCATGGAGTATCATGGGGTGTTAGTTTTTTTAATGAAATCAGCTTGTGAATTAGCTGCATGGTAGCATCCATGAGGTGTCAAATTTCTTGCATGTATAGTTATCCTGACATAGACATAATATTGCGCCTGCCTTTGCGGTCCGGCGGAGTGGCAGGGCGCCAGCTCCGCAGTTTACACACAACAACGAGGATGATCGCAAGGATATGGGACAGGAAACCATGGGAAAACCGCAAGCTATTTTAGATTTTAGATAGCTTTCATGAATTTAGCGGGTGCAAACGGTGTGTGAGTATGGGGACATTCTGCAAAAATGCTTTCAAGATGGTTTCTTGAGCACACAAAAGTTTGAAGAGGTTGATATTTCAATTGGCACCCCATAAATCCCCATAATTTAACAAATTTGACAAATGTTGAAACAGTGCGGTTTTTGGGTTCGCCATTGATGGGCAAATAGTCCAACCAACACAACTGGTCAGCAAGTGGGGCTGTGAACCGCTTCTAGGATGTAACTGGGGTTATGGCAGTAACCACTTGCCAGCCTTCTCCATGTTTTTGGTGTAACAGTATCATTAAAAGAAACCGTACACCCATATATACATATGCACATACATAAACTTATTTCATTACTTTTTATAGTTCTTATATAGATCAAGAAAGTATATGGATGAATGATGTTTCCCAACATTTATCCCAGCAGCGCCCAACTGCAATCCGGAACATGCAGATCTCATCAGATCTCTCGTGCCGTGTCTCCAGGATGAGCGTCTTTGCCGATTTGTGGAGCACTTGGCCAGGCTGGGACCACCACCGAGGGCGAGCAGCAAGAAATTGGGGGATTTAATCGCCAACAAGGGCAAATCGTGGCAAATCGCAATCAAGATTTGAGGCTGTTTGGGAGGTGAAGAGTACCCGAAACTTTTGGTTTTGGCCCATCAAAATTTCGATGTTGGTTCCACTTTGACGGATTTGGTTTGTTTCCCACTCTTGGACAGATGCTGCTGGTAGGTGAAAAAAACACTCAACAAACTTGACAGCAAGATGATTTCTTTGGAGCCTTGCTGGGAACGTGCACTATCGCACCAGGGGTTGAGCTTGAGGCTATGCTCAAGACTTTACCAGCTGGGTGGAGTTCAGTAGTGTCGACTTGGAACCACCCAAGAATTCTACAATGTGGGCCCCGACAGATAGCGAATTTGTTGTGTGACAAGGCTAACGTAGATATATCTAGAGCTAGATGGTTTCATGAACCAGCTTCAATCTGGAGTTTGGGGGCACAACCCCACATTTTTTCCATGTTTGCAGGGGATTCTTCGTGCCAGGTATGATCTCATCTGTTTGCAGGAAGTTTTCGGCGCGTTTTCACAGCCCTTCGGCAATGACCTGTGGTACCTGGAAGGGCTCAGGAAATATCCACAAAGACAGGTGAAGTAGTGGATCTATATGGATCTATATGGATCTATATATCTATCCATTTCTGGGGTCCCATAATGTATTGAATTCATTGAATCTTGGGGGATGGGCCTGATGGAAATTGAAGGCACCGATAGATCCGAGCTCGCCATGGCAAGGAGGCGAGATTGGCTCATCAATGTAGCCAAACGCTTTGGCCTGAAGGACCGAGGTTGGTGAGGGAAGTGAAATGTGCGTAGTTGCAGGCCATGTATGTCCATTTGTATCTCCATATGCACAACCTATATGTATATACATGTATATACATATACATATATACAACAACGTATGTATTTTTTTAAAAAAATGTTTATTTAGTTATTTATGTATCTATTTTATATATCTTCTGGATATGCGGGAAAAGTGCAGTAAATGATGTACACATCTCATTATGACGGCACAAGTCTGGGTCATGATCTCACCCTGACCCCCATTTTATGTGGGCCCATGTGTGCTGGGATTTGGCTCAAGCATTGGGTTTGATTCAACAATTTCTAGAAATGATCAACCTGCTCTTTGTGTACATTCATTTTCAACTCTACGTAGCAACATCCACCACTCTCGGAAGATTCAGAATCTATTCTCAGTAAGGGTCAAAGAAACGCTGGTTGTTCAGCTATGGTCATTTTTTGTCCCATTCTGACCAGCTATTCTGACCTAGACCTATGCTGATTCCGATCAGCTGCAGGACTCTCATAGATCCTCTACCTCTGTGCGCCCACGTTTTATCGTGGATGGTGGGCTTTTGATTCTCTCCCGCCTTCCAATTGCATCTCACCTGCAGCTGGCAGGCTAAGACGGCTAAGGCCAATAGAGAAGTTGAACATTTGGTCAGATTCCTGGCTTATGGTTTTCTAGTGGGTTTCTCATGGATGTTCAATCGTTGAAAACCCAAAGACCTCAGCGTGGCCATGGGAAAATAGTCGGCAAATGGCAAACATGGGGATATTCACATATATTCACTACCATGGTGGGCAAATGAGTCTTCATTGACTTTGGCGGCCTAGCTGTGGCTCGCACCCTAAAGACCCAGGTTTTCAAGTCCTCACTGACTTTTGAACCGGGAATGCATCTGGATCGATTTTCGGCGAAAGGTGCCCTTTACGCCAAGGTAGGAAAGCAGAAAGGTTGCGGGCAGCAGTGGAGTGGTGCAAAGTGATACAAGTTGGATGGCTTGTTTTGTATGTTTTGTGTCAAGATTTTAAGCTACACAAATGGAGTTTCATCTCTAAAGGTGCCATTAGGTGACATGATGTACAGTAACACTCTGGTTCAATCCAACCAGCGGCTGCTTGCAGCGCAGGTCCAGTGCGGCCCCACAGGGCCCTTTCTGCACGTTTGCACGACCCATTTACAGAGCACCTATTCTGAGGAGGGGACCGCTGCAGCTTGGGATATGGAACCGTTGTGGGCTAGCGGCTACAAACAGCTGAGAACTCATTCGGTGGTCAGAATAGTGGCTCGGTGACTCTGCAACAATAGTATTGCAGACATTGCTGCACATATAAAAAGGAATATTCAGCATACATATGTCATCATATGTCTCCATTCACTTCCACATGTGTATATATATATAATATACGTATATATATATATATCTTTTTATTTATTTATTTTTATTTATTTAGTTATTTATGTATTCGTGCCTGTCTAGCTGGGGATGGGCTGCAACCTGCTTTTGGCGGAGGATGCAGCGGCTTCGGCTCAGACAGTTCGACACAAGCAACTTCAAAGCCCCTTGGAATGGAAATCCATTAGGTTCGCCCAGTACTTCGGACAATTTCCCTAAAGGTCACCCCTCGAGAATACCCCTGAATCATATTCAGAGATAGAGATAGCTTGAATTCTTCCAATCAACCTCAGGGCTAGCAGCATAGCAGGTTGTTTGCTTGAAACATGTTGGCTTTTCCATTTGCTATGCACGGCCTTTCGCCTGGGTGTTTGCATGTAGCAGGGTGCCCCAAAACCACTCGCTTCCCTTTTGCTTTTAAAGATGACAAATTGTGGATGATTTTGGGGTCCCCCATGTTCAGAACAATACATATATCACAACATGGTTGGCCTCCACCTGCCACTGCCATCATCATCCATATATATGTGTTTTATATGAGTAACCGACAAAATTATTCTGATAATAATTTAGTCTTGCTTCGCCTTGGCCTTTCTGAGGTTGCACAAAACCTTCATAACCGATAGTGGACGACCCTATACCGATACCCCACTTGTTATATCTCCGGGAGTACTGAAATCCTCACAACCGATAGGGGACGACCCTAAGTTGCGCACAGCATTAAATTTAACAAATATATGATTTTGCCCGCTGCTTATATATATATTATATACACTATACACATTATATACACATATAATTCAAATGGCATATGTGGCATGAATGATGTCGCATGATAGTTGGCTCATTTGGTTCCGGGTGCTGTTTCGGGATCGCCAGTCACACTGGTGACTCTTCCCAGCTTGTTCCTTCTGATCATTTTGCGCCAAAGTTGCCATGCAGCTTCAGATTTTCCAAGGTCTCGTGGAGTTTTTGCAGGAACAGACCAACGACCACATCTCGGACAGCGGCCAGTTTTGTCGTCGCTGGCCCCTGCTGCTGTGTGGCACTCTGAATTTCAATGGCCGCAAGGGTCTGATGGAGCCTGGGCTATATAGCTTTCAAGAATGGCTTCAAACGTGGGATGGAACGGTACTTGGCCTTGACATCTATTCACAAATGATGGATTGTCCACTCCATGCTCGGATTATTCCCAGCTCAACCCTCTGATAATTCGGAATTTGAGCCATTCCAATGACATTTCCTGTTGGAAACTTCGCCATTCTTGGGGTTCCACGTTGCCACGTTGCCGTGATCGCGCGGATGACCGGCACCGTCCCTTAGGACGGTGGCCATAGTGCGGAGTACCGGGCGGTGCTGCAGTTGTTCAAGGAACGCCTTGGAGAGGTGGCATGGCATGTCATGGAGCCATCGTCCCTTGAAATCTGCTGGGAAATCCGCTATAAATAGAGGTTTTGATGGGGAAAACCATGGAAAACCAAGGGATGTTCCATTGCCATGTTTGATTACCTGAGGGTAATTACTAACAGAAATATGATGAAACATGACGAAATCAATATGGATCTTTGGAATCTAATGGGATGTGACCAGAAAACAATGGGGATACCCTCCGTATTTTCTCAGAGTTTCCTCTGGAAAAGGATGAAAATAGATGACTCTGGCCCCATCTAGTTCGATGATCTGGCTATTATACGTAATTTTCTCGGCAAACTGTTCAAATCTGTTCAATTACAAGAGGGTAATGTGGTAAAGCCAATGCCATAAACAACCGTAGCATTTGAGGATTGCTTTCACCGTAGCCAACCATCGCACCCCAACATGGGATGGTTTACGACTAAACTTGCCATCCATAAGATGTGTTGGGTTTTGATCTCTGAAATATTGACTGATACCCGTGGATATACAGGAAATTGATACCATATGATTCACATGATGTATATATTAGTTTGAATTTGGACAAAAAGCTGGGCTACGATGTTGTTTGGGCATTATATGCGTGCATACCAGTAGTACCGCACAAGGCGGTGGCGGAAGTTTCAGAAATAGGAAACCTATAGCAGAGGTTGGTTGTTGTGAATCACGGATGGCAGAGCGAAGCCACTGATGGATCGAAAGGTGGTTGAGGTCTCCTCTCTTTCTCTCTCTTTCTGTCTCTTTATGTATCTATCTATCTATCTATCTATCTATCTCTCTCTCTCTCTCTATCTATCTATCTAGCTATCTATCTACTCTCTAGGGAACAAACGTATCCACTTTTTTTGTGGAAAATATTTTTTTTTGGATACGTTAGCTGCTGTGAACATAGGCTATGATAAATGCCCTATACTTGAGACATGTTAGTTGAAAATCCAGAATGGACATGTTAGTGGAAAAGTTGTTCCCCCCGTTGGGGGTTCCCGGGAAACTGCCAGAAGACTACCGCCCCGGACGCCCCAGCATCTTTATTTCCAGACCCCAATAGGGCTCAAATCAAAGACCGCATTGATAACAAAACGGTGGAGAAAAAAGGGGTCCCAACTCCTTCCGGAAGAGCGCATCATAGATGATGCCCGTGGGTGGGCAGGAAGATTGGGGGTGCATTCCAAAAACCAGTTGCATTTACTAAGGGTTGGATGACTGGCCATGGAAAGCGTCCACCTAACGTGTCCGTGTTGTTCAGAGGATGTGGTTTTGAGATATGTGAGTGGTTATTGGCTGAATCTATCCCCCCAAAATAGCGAACATATCCCAGATCAGGGTCGAAATCCAAGGGCCCCAATTGCAGGAACTGAGACATGTTAGCTGTTTTTGGGTCAATGGTCCCAAAAAAAGTTGCAATGCATTCCCCAGGAAATCCAAGAAAACGCCGGTACAGAGTGGACATGTTAGTTGATACCTGAAACGGTAGCCCGAGACACGTATCCACTTTTTTGTGGAAAAAAGTTTTTTTGGATACGTTAGCTGCTGTGAACATAGGCTATGATAAATGCCCTATACTAGAGACATGTTAGTTGAAAATCCAGAATGGACATGTTAGTGGAAAAGTTGTTCCCCCCTCTGGGGGTTCCCGGGAAACTGCCAGAAGACTACCGCCCCGGACGCCCCAGCATCTTTATTTCCAGACCCCAATAGGGCTCAAATCAAAGACTGCATTGATAACAAAACGGTGGAGAAAAAAGGGGTCCCAACTCCTTCCGGAAGAGCGCATCATAGATGATGCCCGTGGGTGGGCAGGAAGATTGGGGGTGCATTCCAAAAACCATTTGCATTTACTAAGGGTTGGATGACTGGCCATGGAAAGCGTCCACCTAACGTGTCCGTGTTGTTCAGAGGATGTGGTTTTGAAATATGTGAGTGGTTATTGGCTGAATCTATCCCCCCAAAATAGCGAACATATCCCAGATCAGGGTCGGAATCCAAGGGCCCCAATTGCAGGACCTGAACTGAGACATGTTAGCTGTTTTTGGGTCAATGGCCCCAAAAAGGTGCAATACATTCCCCAGGAAATCCAAGAAAACGCCGGTACAGAGTGGACATGTTAGTTGATACCTGAAACGGTAGCCCGAGACACGTATCCACTTTTTTTTGGTGTTTTTTTTGGATACGTTAGCTGCTGTGAACATAGGCTATGATAAATGCCCTATACTAGAGACATGTTAGTTGAAAATCCAGAATGGACATATTAGTGGAAAAATTGTCCCCCCCTCTGGGGGTTCCCGGGAATCTGCCAGAAGACTACCGCCCCGGACGCCCCAGCATCCTTATTTCCAGACCCCAATAGGGCTCAAATCAAAGACTGCATTGATAACAAAACGGTGGAGAAAAAAGTGATCCCAACTCCTTCCGGAAGAGCGCATCATAGATGATGCTCGTGGGTGGGCAGGAAGATTGGGGGTGCATTCCAAAAACAAGTTGCATTTACTAAGGGTTGGATGACTAGCCATGGAAAGCGTCCACCTAACGTGTCCGTGTTGTTCAGAGGATGTGGTTTTGAGATATGTGAGTGGTTATTGGCTGAATCTATCCCCCCAAAATAGCGAACATATCCCAGATCAGGGTCGAAATCCAAGGGCCCCAATTGCAGGAACTGAGACATGTTAGCTGTTTTTTGGGTCAATGGTCCCCAAAAAAGTTGCAATGCATTCCCCAGGAAATCCAGGAAAACGCTGGTACAGAGTGGACATGTTAGTTGATACCTGAAACGGTAGCCCGAGACACGTATCCACTTTTTTGTGGAAAAAAAGTTTTTTTGGATACGTTAGCTGCTGTGAACATAGGCTATGATAAATGCCCTATACTAGAGACATGTTAGTTGAAAGTCCAGAATGGACATGTTAGTGGAAAAGTTGTCACCCCCTCTGGGGGTTCCCGGGAAACTGCCAGAAGACTACCGCCCCGGACGCCCCAGCATCTTTATTTCCAGACCCCAATAGGGCTCAAATCAAAGACTGCATTGATATCAAAACGGTGGAGAAAAAAGGGGTCCCAACTCCTTCCGGAAGAGCGCATCATAGATGATGCTCGGAGGTGGGCAGGAAGATTGGGGGTGCATTCCAAAAACAAGTTGCATTTACTACTCTCGTGAAATCTTACCTGTTGAAAGTTTTTTATTTTTATTTTGCTATGTTAGTGTTTGGGTTTTGGGGCTGAGATTCAACTAACTTGGCGTTGGGAACGCATGGTGTGACATGGGCATTTTGGTGCTAACTTGGCGCGTGTGAAGCATCAAGTAGGTTCAATCGGGAACTGCTTTGTTAGCGTTCGTTTGTGCGCGCGTTCATCAGCCTTTCCACCAATATATGGTGCCAAAAACATTTAATCGTACTTCATAGTAGCAAGTAGCGAGATTGGCAACATCGACCAGGAGTTTTTTCATTAATTATTCAATCTATTATATAAACTTGTTGATTATATAAACTACTCCTTCCCCGTTGTGTCTTCCCCGTTTTGGGGTCGAAGTCCTCGGGCCTGGCCGAGTTGTTTTCCGCTAACGCGCGCGCGCGCGTTGGCGGAAAGGTTGTGAGCCCAAGGCGACTACTAACATAGCATTTGCGCAGGGTTCCCAAACTTCCAATAGTACATCGTAATCATCATGGCAGCAAGTAGCCAGATTGGCAACTTTGACCAGGAGTTTTTTTCCTTATTCAATCGATTATATAAAATTGTTGATTTTGAAGCTTTTTTGGGTCCAGTAAGGGTGAGCCCCAGGAAGACATCCAAAAACACTTGTGGTTTGGTCTGGTCGGCTGGAGACTCAAAAGAGACACCTAACCTAGCAACCAGGGGTACTTTCATTCTAGATTGATTGATTGATGTGTTCGGTTTCCTGTTTTCTAAAACATGTTTTCCGTGGAGTTTGATGCTAACATAGCACTTTCCATTTGGTGGTTCCAAGCTGTGACAAGTCTCCAGACAGCTATGTTAGCTTATTCTGGTACATTTCTTTTACCCACTTCCTGGGGAATGCCAAACATTGGGAGGACGGAAACAGAGGCTATGTTAGCAGGTGTTGGCAGAAATCACCCAAATGATCACTTTCTCCAAATCCCCAGGGTTGACAACGTAGCCAGATGCTATGTTTGTGAGTTGGTGCCAGGGCTAAAAAAACGCTATGTTAGATTTCACCGGTGTAAGGGTTAGATGACTGGCCATGGAAAGCGTCCACTTAACGTGTCCGTGTTGTTCAGAGGATGTGGTTTTGAGATATGTGAGTGGTTATTGGCTGATCTATCCCCCAAAAATAGCTAACATATCCCAGATCAGGGTCGAAATCCAAGGGCCCCAAATGCAACTGGTTTTTGGAACCCCACATTGAAAAGGCCAATATTCAGTAGCTTGAGATATTGGAATCTCTTCGGGGAATGACTGCACTTACAAGACCCAATTTTTGTCAAAACACTGTTGTTTTCCCTGAACCCCAAAGTCATGGCCAGCATCCGAGATGAAGTGGCACAGGTGCTGCTCATTTGTTGTTCATTGTTTCCGAATTCCAACTTGCTAACATGTCCCAGTTTGGTACGAAAGAGCACGCACTGCACTTCCAATCCTTATTTCCAGACCGCATTGATAGCAAAACGAGCAGAAAAAAGAGTCCCAACTCCTCGGAAGAGCGCGTCATATATGAAGATTGGGGGTGTGTTCCAGAAACCAGTTGCATTTACTAAGGGTTACTGGCCATGGAAAACGTCCACCTAACGTGTCCGTGTTGTTCAGAGGATGTGATTTTGAGATATGTGAGTGGTTATTGGCTGAATCTATCCCCCAAAAATAGCTAACATATCCCAGATCAGGGTCGAAATCCAAGGGCCCCAATTGCAGGAACTGAGACATGTTAGCTGTTTTTGGGTCAATGTGTAAAAAGAAAGTTGCAATGCATTCCCCAGGAAAACGCCGGTATAGAGTGGACA